GCTGGCCGTGAGATTAGACACATGGCCTGTCTATGATTTCCTTGACACACTTGATGCCCACAAAAAGTGAGATTAGACACATGGCCTGTCTATGATTTCCTTGACACACTTGATGCCCACAAAAAGTGAGATTAGACACATGGCCTGTCTATGATTTCCTTGACACACTTGATGCCCACAAAAAGTGAGATTAGACACATGTCTATGATTTTGTTGATACACTTGATCCCCACAAAAAGCGAGCACGCTATGACTGTGTGTTGAATAGTTAAGTCAACACAAGGCTGTGTTCTTATCGCTGACGTCCCATCCGACCCAGTGAGTTATTTATAGACACAACGTCACCCAGTCTACGTGCTGTCATCAATTACATTTATTTTATTGACTTGACCTAATAGACGGCCGGTCAGAGATCCAGTTCAACAAAAACTATTTCCGGAAAAAAGTTTTTATACACTCTGTTTTTGTTTCAAAATTTTCGTATGCTATAGGAGCATAGACATACAATAGCACCACATAGACCTACAATGACACCACATAGACATACAATGACACCACATAGACATACAATGACACCACATAGACATACAATGACACCACATAGACATACAATGACACCACATAGACATACAATGACACCACATAGACATACAATGACACCACATAGACATACAATGACACCACATAGACATACAATGACACCACATAGACATACAATGACACCTACATAGACATACAATGACACCACATAGACATACAATGACACCACATAGACATACAATGGCACCACATCAAGTGTTGGACCAGAAACTTGTGTACAATCAAGTGTTGGACCAGATATTTGTGTACCACCAAGTGTTGGACAGAAACTTGTGTACCATCAAGTGTTGGACCAGAAACTTGTGTACAATCAAGTGTTGGACCAGATATTTGTGTACCATCGAGTGTTGGACCAGAAACTTGTGTACAATCAAGTGTTGGACCAGAAACTTGTGTACAATCAAGTGTTGGACCAGATATTTGTGTACCATCGAGTGTTGGACCAGAAACTTGTGTACAATCAAGTGTTGGACCAGAAACTTGTGGACCAGAAACTTGTGTACCATCAAGTGTTGGACCAGAAACTTGTGTACCATCAAGTGTTGGACCAGATATTTGTGTACCATCAAGTGTTGCACCATAAACTTGTGTACCATCAAGTATTGGACCATAAACGTGTGTACCATCAAGTGTTGGACCATAAACGTGTGTACCATCAAGTGTTGGACCATAAACGTGTGTACCATCAAGTGTTGGACCAGAAACGTGTGTACCATCAAGTATTGGACCAGAAACTTGTGTACCATCGAGTGTTGGACCAGAAACGTGTGTACCATCAAGTGTTGGACCAGAAACTTGTGTACCATCGAGTGTTGGACCAGAAACGTGTGTACCATCAAGAATTTGACCAGATATTTGTGTACCATCAAGTGTTGGACCAGAAACTTGTGTACCATCAAGTGTTGGACCAGAAACTTGTGTACCATCAAGTGTTGGACCAGAAACTTGTGTACCATCAAGTGTTGGACCAGATATTTGTGTACCATCAAGTGTTGGACCAGAAACATGTGTACCATCAAGTGTTGGACCAGAAACGTGTGTACCATCAAGTGTTGGACCAGATATTTGTGTACCATCAAGTGTTGGACCAGAAACATGTGTACCATCAAGTGTTGGACCAGAAACTTGTGTACCATCAAGTGTTGGACCAGATATTTGTGTACCATCAAGTGTTGGACCAGAAACGTGTGTACCACCTCCACCAACCAAGCTAAGCACACATACCAGGCACACATACTCCCAATATCTAGGTTCCAAAATGTATGTACCTTTATGCGCATGTCACAAGTCGATGATCCAAAGATGTGGGGCAAGCATTCCACAGGTCACGTGTCATTTCGCTTGAGTGACTTGTGACGTTTTTCATCTTTGGGTCGCGCCAACCGAGGTAGTGTGTGACCTGTCGATGTAGTGACTGTGTGACCTTTCGAGGTGGTGACCTGTCGAGGTGGTGACCTGTCGGTGTGGTGACTGGGTGACCTGTCGAGGTGGTGACTGGGTGACCTGTCGGTGTGGTGATTGGGTGACCTGTCGGTGTGGTGACCTGTCGATGTGGTGACTGGGTGACCTGTCGAGGTGGTGACTGGGTGACCTGTCGATGTGGTGGGTGACCTGTCGAGGTGGTGACCTGTCGGTGTGGTGACTGGGTGACCTGTCGAGGTGGTGACTGGGTGACCTGTCGGTGTGGTGATTGGGTGACCTGTCGGTGTGGTGACCTGTCGATGTGGTGACTGGGTGACCTGTCAAGGTGGTGACCTGTCGAGGTGGTGACCTGTCGGTGTGGTGACTGGGTGACCTGTCGAGGTGGTGACTGGGTGACCTGTCGGTGTGGTGATTGGGTGACCTGTCGGTGTGGTGATTGGGTGACCTGTCGGTGTGGTGACCTGTCGATGTGGTGACTGGGTGACCTGTCGGTGTGGTGACTGGGTGACCTGTCGGTGTGGTGACTGGGTGACCTGTCGAGGTGGTGACTGGGTGACCTGTCGGTGTGGTGATTGGGTGACCTGTCGGTGTGGTGATTGGGTGACCTGTCAAGGTGGTGACCTGTCGAGGTGGTGACCTGTCGGTGTGGTGACTGGGTGACCTGTCGGTGTGGTGACTGGGTGACCTGTCGAGGTGGTGACTGGGTGACCTGTCGGTGTGGTGACTGGGTGACCTGTCGGTGTGGTGATTGGGTGACCTGTCGGTGTGGTGACTGGGTGACCTGTCGGTGTGATGACTGGGTGACCTGTCGAGGTGGTGACTGGGTGACCTGTCGGTGTGGTGACTGGGTGACCTGTCGAGGTGGTGACTGGGTGACCTGTCGATGTGGTGACTGGGTGACCTGTCGGTGTGGTGGTGACCTGTCGGTGTGGTGGTGACTGGGTGACCTGTCGAGGTGGTGACTGGGTGACCTGTCGGTGTGGTGATTGGGTGACCTGTCGATGTGGTGACTGGGTGACCTGTCGATGTGGTGACTGGGTGACCTGTCGAGGTGGTGACTGGGTGACCTGTCGGTGTGGTGATTGGGTGACCTGTCGATGTGGTGACTGGGTGACCTGTCGATGTGGTGACTGGGTGACCTGTCGAGGTGGTGACTGGGTGACCTGTCGGTGTGGTGATTGGGTGACCTGTCGGTGTGGTGACTGGGTGACCTGTCGGTGTGGTGACTGGGTGACCTGTCGAGGTGGTGACTGGGTGACCTGTCGGTGTGGTGACTGGGTGACCTGTCGAGGTGGTGACTGGGTGACCTGTCGATGTGGTGACTGGGTGACCTGTCGGTGTGGTGGTGACCTGTCGGTGTGGTGGTGACTGGGTGACCTGTCGAGGTGGTGACTGGGTGAGCTGTCGGTGTGGTGATTGGGTGACCTGTCGGTGTGGTGACCTGTCGGTGTGGTGACTGGGTGACCTGTCGGTGTGGTGACTGGGTGACCTGTCGGTGTGGTGACTGGGTGACCTGTCGGTGTGGTGGTGACCTGTCGGTGTGGTGGTGACTGGGTGACCTGTCGAGGTGGTGACTGGGTGACCTGTCGGTGTGGTGATTGGGTGACCTGTCGGTGTGGTGACTGGGTGACCTGTCGGTGTGGTGACTGGGTGACCTGTCGGTGTGGTGGTGACCTCATCAATTTTTAGCCACCAGCTTCGTGTGAGTTGAGAACCCAGCGTGTCAGCCTGACCTTGGCTTTACATGTCACGTGTCACAGTTGAGGTTGTGCACATGACCTTTGACCTCCCTTCTTGCATGAGTGAACTTGGCCAAATGATATGATACGCTCTACACACCACGTGACCCCCTGTGTTGACAGTCACCAGCTCACGTGATTCCCGTGTTGACTACCAGTTCTATCGATTAAGTAGATTTAGTATCCCCTACCAGTTCTATCGATAGGGCTATCGATTAAGTAGATTTGGTATCGAACTGATGGCGTTTCTCACGGCATAACGATATCGATCTCTCAGTAGCTGCTATTGATTAGCGCCAACAACTTTACCAATGGGTCGATTTAAGTCGATCGTTTATTGATCCGTGTGTACAGATGTCGGGCCACTGGTAACATCTTACACAGACAAAATGTTTGGCCAACAAATCTTACACAGACAAAATGTTTGGCCAACAAATCTTACACAGACAAAATGTTTGGCCAACAAATCTTACACAGACAAAATGTTTGGCCAACATCTTACACAGACAAAATGTTTGGCCAGCAAATCTTACACAGACAAAATGTTTGGCCAGCAAATCTTACACAGACAAAATGTTTGGCCAACATCTTACACAGACAAAATGTTTGGCCAACATCTTACACAGACAAAATGTTTGGCCAGCAAATCTTACACAGACAAAATGTTTGGCCAGCAAATCTTACACAGACAAAATGTTTGGCCAACATCTTACACAGACAAAATGTTTGGCCAGCAAATCTTACACAGACAAAATGTTTGGCCAACATCTTACACAGGCAAAATGTTTGGCCAGCAAATCTTACACAGACAAAATGTTTGGCCAGCAAATCTTACACAGACAAAATGTTTGGCCAGCAAATCTTACACAGACAAAATGTTTGGCCAACATCTTACACAGACAAAATGTTTGGCCAGCAAATCTTACACAGACAAAATGTTTGGCCAACATCTTACACAGGCAAAATGTTTGGCCAGCAAATCTTACACAGACAAAATGTTTGGCCAACATCTTACACAGACAAAATGTTTGGCCAGCAAATCTTACACAGACAAAATGTTTGGCCAACAAATCTTACACAGACAAAATGGTTGGCCAACAAATCGTAGAATTAGAGACCAATTAAGATTTTTGTTTGACCCCTCAAGTAAGTCCAGATTTTTGTTTGACCCCTCAAGTAAGTCCAGATTTTTGTTTGACCCCTCAAGTAAGTTCAGATTTTTGTTTGACCACCCGACAGCTCCGCCAGGGTCAGCTAACGGAAGAGCGCGAGCGATGTCGTGTGCTGCAAGATTCCCTCCACGCGCTGGCCACAGAACATCATGAACTAGAGAGGTCCTTCTCCAGACGACAGTCGTTTCTCTCCATGGATGAGGAGTTCTTTGATTGTCCTGACGCAGGTGGGTCTTTGTCCTGACGCAGGTGGGTCTTTGTCCTGACGCAGGTGGGTCTTTGTCCTGACGCAGGTGGGTCTTTGTCCTGACGCTGGTGGGTCTTTGTCCTGACGCAGGTGGGTCTTTGTCCTGACGCAGGTGGGTCTTTGTCCTGACGCAGGTGGGTCTTTGTCCTGACGCAGGTTGTCCTGACGCAGGTGGGTCTTTGTCCTGACGCGGATGTCTTTGTCCTGACGCAGGTGGGTCTTTGTCCTGACGCAGGTGGGTCTTTGTCCTGACGCAGGTTGTCCTGACGCAGGTGGGTCTTTGTCCTGACGCAGGTGGGTCTTTGTCCTGACGCGGGGGGGGGTTTATTATCTGTGCTGGAGTGACATTGTTCGTGTTTTACTCTAGGTTTAGGTCTGATATCTTTGTGTCTTTGGTTTTTGTCTGAACTAGTTTGATCATGTGGCATCTAGTAGCCTATAACTTTAGTAAATAAAAGCTCGTAGTTTGACCATGTGGCATCTAGTAGCCTATAGCTTTAGTAAATAAAAGCTCGTGCTAACGCTGTAATTGTGACAGTGGTTTGGGCTGACCTTTCACCCCACGCGAGCTAGACTGGACTGAGTCCATTTGAAATAGCCATCACATGGAAAGATCGCTGATGACATAAGGGGCCAGACCTCTAGTTACCTACGACGTGTTTAACAGTCGGCACAGTTTGTTGTTTGTGTTGACTCTTCCAGAAAGTAACAACTAGGGCGGTCCTGTTGGCATTATTGATTGACCTACATCGGCAAGTAGACGTAGTGTAAGCAGTCAGTCGTATCTTGTGGTGGTGTTGTCATGTGCCCAGTGGCCTAGCAGGATTTGTCGTGGGGGGGGAGTGGGGGTCAAAGATCTTATTTCATATAACACGTCTGTTTGTGCGTGTGTAGATCTTTATTTATTATATGCGGGGAGAAAATCATTTTGCTTGATTCGTCGGTCATCGCGCAAATAAACCGCCTTGACCTACTTGCGCGGGACAGATGCGCACTAAATGTTTTTTATTTCACAATCCACACACATTTCTATGAAATTATTTCAGTAAAACGCTAAAATCACGCGAATGTCTTGGACTCCGATGGATGTCAGTCAAGGCTAAGACACCTCGGTGTTTAGTACTCGCTCCCCCCCCCCCTCCCTTTCGGCCGATAACGCGAAATACTTCAGCCTTGAAGCTAATTCTAAATTAATAATATCAATAAATAAATCGGTTATTCCCGCCGTTTGAATATGATTGTGTGCATAGCTAGGTTGATCAATAAAATAATGATATTTCTTTTAAATTAATGTGCTCGTTAATTTGAAGATAAAATAAAACCAGTTTGAGAACTAAACTCTAGTCTTTCGTCAATCTTCTAGCGATCGCTTCATTGTTGAAAAAAAACTGTGTAGTATTCTATTACCAGAGGCGTAGCGACCCTTCCCGGCGCCCCCCCCCCCCCCCTCGGGAACAAACCTTCAATTTTCGATTTGCATCCCCCCCCCCCCATATATTTTTACTTTCTCGTATATACGAAGTATAGAGAAAGTCTTGTAATCGTGCAAAAAAAAAATCGAGATTTTTACAAATCTCGACGTTTCACACCTCACTGATACGGAAAAACATAATTTTGCAATCTTGTCCGTATGTCTGTGTGTCTGTCTGTGTGTCTGTCTGTGTGTCTGTCTGTCTGTCCGTGTGTAAACACGATAACTTGAGTACCGTTACAGCTAGGTTGATGAAATTTCATATATAAGTATTTCATCAAAATCGTAGATCCGTATCAACTTTTGAGCGCTTTCCGATAACCGGAAGTGGTATTTTTCCTACTTTGAATTTTTCAAAAGCCTATAACTTGAGTACTATTTCAGATAGATAAATGAAATTTCATATGTAAGTAAAAGATCTAATTCTTTACCTTCTATTAAATTTTTAGTCATTTCCGTTGACTGGAAGTAGTACTTTACGCTACTTCCGATTTCTCAAAAAACTAATGTAAATTTTAAAAGTAATAATAATATTGCGCACCATTATGCGCTTTTTTATTTGGCGTTCACTTGGTGTGCAATTAATTTGTCTACGAGATTTTATTTTATTTTTAAAACTTTAAGTATTTAAAATGGATTAAAAATAATGTCTATAGCCCGAGTTCCCATCCCCTGTTATTTTATATAAGAATATTCGAGAAAGTTTAGGGGAGATCACTCCCGGTTTATTTTATATTTATAATGCAAAACTGCATCTAAAATGAGATTTTAATTTGTTTTTCCAACCCATTTTGGCGCCCCCCCCCCCTAAGGTCGGGGCACGGGGACATATGTACCCCCTGTGCCGCCCCCCCCCCCCCCTTCGCTACGCTTCTGTCTATTACTAAACTTTTTAAACCTCATTTCAACTCTTCTCTTCCCATTCCCCCCCCCCCCCCCCCCCTTTCACGACCTGGGTAGATGCTCGTGGATCTATCCATGATTACACATCATTAGTTTACATGCTGAGTGTACTGAGTGTACCAATTGTCTACTGCAGGATCCCCTGTCATGGACGCCTTCGCTGACGCCATTTCACAGGACTCGGCCGCTGATGACGTCAACAGGGAGAATGGGCAAAGCTTTGGAAGGTTTGAAGATTGTTTCGTTAACTTTTTAAATCCTAGTTTTTTTATTTGTGATCGTCGGTGTGAAAATTTAAACTCACCAAGCAAGATGTCGCAATGTAAACAAAACATCCCAGTTTACTATTGATGACGAGAAACATCGGGCACATGCCCCAACTAATTATTAACTACAAGAAAAGCACAAGATTGTCATAAAAGCCCATTCTCATTTTTTTTTTAAAAGTCTATAGACTAGATTCTAGATCTACGTGCTTAGCTACACATTTTCACTAAACTGAATGTAAATTTTACTTAACCTTCTCTTAAGAAGCCAAAGCTGTTCAACTTTACATGTCCACTGGCCTGTAATATTACGCTGATGGTGACAATGTCAATTATAAAAATCATCTAATTCTAGTTTATTCAGACTAAATCCGAACTAAATCGCCTTTAGATCTAAATGTTATTAATTCTAATGGGCCAATTAAATTTAGGCTAGCGAGTAGGCCTAATTGAAAAGATTAGGTCTAGATTCTAGATCTAGTTTTTTTTTAGTATTTTTTTAAATTAAATTTATTTATAATAAATAAAAATAAATAGATATCTAGATCTATTATTTAAATTTACACATCTAGGTCTAGTGACTGTTTAGGAGTAGATTCTATGTCTAGAAAGGTCTAGAGTCTAGAGTAGATTGTAGATACATAAAAAAAAACCTAGATTCTAGTTCTAAAAGATAAGTTATTAAGTAATGAATTTTACCCATGATTATTGTCAAATGATTATTATGTAATACTACTAATACAGCTAGAGATTAGTACTTGTTATCACTAAGTCTAATAGACTAATACTGTCTAATACTGTCTAATAGTATGTAGTCCTATTGAATATTAATAATAATAATACTTAGAATCTAGTGATCCTCACCATTATTGTCTTTTTCTTAATAGAATTTTAGCTAGTCAAATAGCTCTAACTAAACTCTTAAACTTTTTAAAAAATCATATCACAATTTTTTTACTAGATCTAGATCTTAAATGATATAGGCTGATCTAGCAACTGGTGGTTGAATATGTATTGGGTTTAGCGTAGCAATCAAATATTAGATGTGCATTCTTGATAGGCAAAAACAAAAGATTGAAAAATGTACATGGCCTAAATAGAAATAAATAAAATGAAAATCAAATGGAAGACGAAACTTCATCTCATCTTTGAACTTAATCAAACATGCGTCTCATTAAGACCATTTGTGGAAGAAAAAAGATGAGCAGAAACTCTTAACCAAAAAAAGAAAATGTGAATGTAAAAGCATTGATTATGAAGAATGTACCATAAACTAAATAACGAGACTAGGCTACTTTGAATGTTGTAACATTAGATAACCGTTAGACAACACAAAGAGAAATGTCTAGTGTGGACAAACAAAAACAACAAAGCCAAATGGCTTTAACTTTCATGAGCCAAATACAAGCAGATCTGAGAACTCAAAATCCAGTTCCGCAGACATCACTGCCACCTGGGAGCTACCACACCTACAGGTAAAACACTGAGCCATAGAACCAGGTGGGAAGTGTGCATTAGATCTGGGATGCTGGTTAGATAAGAATGGATGTCTCAGATACTGACAAAAATAAACTTTCTGTAGGATAACATGTCTCAGATACTGACAAAAATAAACTTTCTGCCTGATAACATGTCTCAGATAATGACAAAAATAAACTTTCTGTAGGATAACATGTCTCAGATTCTGGTGTTTCAGAGGTTTAGTTGTGTGCTGCTGTTGTACTAGTTACAGTTTGTAATGAATGTGAATTGTGCTTTTCTGTTGGGCCAAGCATTTAGAGCTAATTTTCTCTGACAGGACAAAACTTCCTGTGCCAATGTTTTCAAGGGCAGACTTCAGTTTCTGGAGCATCCTCAAGCAATGTATCGGCAAGGTAACCAGAAATATTGTAGCTCTTTGTATCACTGAGTTACATGTAGACATTCAAACATGTATTAGCTTGTTTCTTATTAGAGTTCTGAAATCAGGTGGAAATATATCGATCATAATGTTTTGTTGGGGGTAGTACTCATGTCATGTTTTGTTGGGGCAGTACTCATGTTTTGTTGGGGCAGTACTCATGTTTTGTTTGGGGCAGTACTCATGTCATGTTTTGTTGGGGGTAGTACTCATGTCATGTTTGGTTGGGGGCAGTACTCATGTCATGTTTTGTTGGGGGTAGTACTCATGTCATGTTTGGTTGGGGGCAGTACTCATGTCATGTTTTGTTGGGGGTAGTACTCATGTCATGTTTGGTTGGGGGCAGTACTCATGTCATGTTTTGTTGGGGGTAGTACTCATGTCATGTTTGGTTGGGGGCAGTACTCATGTCATGTTTTGTTGGGGGCAGTACTCATGTCATGTTTTTTCCCTAGGAACTGTCCAAGATAACAATGCCTGTGGTGTTTAATGAGCCCCTGAGTTTCATCCAAAGACTGGCAGAGTACCTCGAGTATGCTCCACTCATAGAAAAAGCTACTACCTGTGATAACCCAGTAGAGAGGATGGAGGTAATGCCCTGACCTTTAACCCCTGGCTGCTTGCTAAACAAATTACTGGCTATTAGCAGAAGAGATTTCTAATCTGTGTAGCCTACAAATAATTATCAAATTACATTACAAAAATATCATTCTTTTTATTTCTATTCTGTTCATTAAAATGGAATCTACTTTCATTGTCATTGAAACCAGCAGATGTTGAAGTAATTAAGCTTGATCTCTGTTTCAGTATGTTACAGCTAATTAAACTTGATCTGTTTCAGTATGTTACAGCTAATTAAACTTGATCTGTTTCAGTATGTTACAGCTAATTAAACTTGATCTGTTTCAGTATGTTACAGCTAATTAAACTTGATCTGTTTCAGTATGTTACAGCTAATTAAACTTGATCTGTTTCAGTATGTTACAGCTAATTAAACTTGATCTGTTTCAGTATGTTACAGCTAATTAAACTTGATCTGTTTCAGTATGTTACAGCTTTTGCTGTGTCAGCTTTATCCTCTAACTGGGAACGAATTGGGAAACCTTTCAACCCACTCTTAGGTGAAACTTTTGAACTTGATAGGTAAATCTTTTACTTGTTATGGGCTGGTAATGTTTTGTTCTTAATATGGGCTGATAAATGTTTTACTTGATGGGCTGGTAATTTAAAGTGCATGAATATTTTAGACCAAATCTTGTTAACAAATGTTTGATATTTTAGACCAAATCTTGTTAACAAATGTTTGATATTTTAGACCAGACCTTGTTAACAAATGTTTGATATTTTATATCAAATCTTGTTAACAAATGATATTTTAGACCAGACCTTGTTAACAAATGTTTGATATTTTAGACCAGACCTTGTTAACACATGTTTGATATTTTAGACAAAATCTTGTTAACAAATGATATTTTAGACCAAATCTTGTTAACAAATGTTTGATATTTTAGACCAGACCTTGTTAACAAATGTTTGATATTTTAGACCAGACCTTGTTAACAAATGTTTGATATTTTATGTTAACAAATGTTTGATATTTTAGACCAGACCTTGTTAACAAATGTTTGATATTTTAGACCAGACCTTGTTAACAAATGTTTGATATTTTAGACCAGACCTTGTTAACAAATGTTTGATATTTTATGTTAACAAATGTTTGATATTTTATGTTAACAAATGTTTGATATTTTTTGTTAACAAATGTTTGATATTTTAGACCAGACCTTGTTAACAAAAGTTTGATATTTTATGTTAACAAATGTTTGATATTTTATGTTAACAAATGTTTGATATTTTTTGTTAACAAATGTTTGATATTTTAGACCAGACCTTGTTAACAAATGTTTGATATTTTATGTTAACAAATGTTTGATATTTTAGACCAGACCTTGTTAACAAAAGTTTGATATTTTATGTTAACAAATGTTTGATATTTTATGTTAACAAATGTTTGATATTTTTTGTTAACAAATGTTTGATATTTTAGACCAGACCTTGTTAACAAATGTTTGATATTTTAGACCAGACCTTGTTAACAAATGTTTGATATTTTTTGTTAATAAATGTTTGATATTTTAGATCAGACCTTGTTAACAAATGTTTGATATTTTTTGTTAATAAATGTTTGATATTTTAGACCAGACCTTGTTAACAAATGTTTGATATTTTAGACCAGACCTTGTTAACAAATATTTGATATTTTTTGTTAACAAATGTTTGATATTTCATGTTAACAAATGTTTGATATTTTAGACCAGACCTTGGCTTCAGGTTTATTGGTGAGCAAGTCAGCCACCATCCTCCCATCACTGCAGTACACGCAGAAGGGCGGGGCTACTGTATACATGGATCTATCCAACCCAAACTCAAGTTTTGGGGTAAAACTGTAGAGATCAATCCTAAAGGTATCATATCTCTGGAGCTTTATAAGTAAGTTTTCCTCTTGCTCTCTACTCATTAACTTAGCAAATACTTGAACATTGATTGAATCTGAACTGATGAATGTCTGATTTAGATATAAAGAAACCTACACATGGCAGAATGTCAACTGTTGTATACACAATGTGATAGTAGGAAGCTTATGGGTGGAACATGTAAGTTCTTCTATGCAAGGTAGTTTTTTTCTGTCTTATGTGTGGTACGTTGTTCTTGTACACAGGTTAGTTAAACCTACTTGTACACAGGTTAGTTAAACCTACTTGTACACAGGTTAGTTAAACCTACTTGTATAGCATACTTTTCATAAGGGTCATTTGTTTATTTTAAATTTAACCCTTTACAGTCTGATGTGTGAGCCTCCACCCAAACTATGTATTGTACCTTTATTTAACTGAAGTAACAAGATTTTTACACCTTTCTCTTGTTCTAGCAAGAGCTGTTGATGTTCTACACATTTTTAAAACTCAGAATTTTTTTCTGAATTATGGGAAATATAATTAGTGCAAGTAGTATGAATTAAATGCCTCTGCTGTTGAATCAGGCTTAATTTATAAAATAACCAATACAGTGATATTGGAAAAGTTTTTAATAAGTTATAAAGTTATTTAACCTCTTAAGTTATAAAACTATATAACTTACTGTGAGTTATAAAGCTATTAAACCTATTAAAAGTAAGTTACAAAGCTATTACACCTATTAAAAGTAAGATATAAAGCTATTTAACCTTTTAAGTTATAAAACTATATAACCTACTGTGAGTTATAAACCTATTAAAAGTAAGTTACAAAGCTATTCAGCTTCAACTTCATAATACATTCTTTTACGCCTCATAATGCTTTTTGTTTTGTTTTTATTTGTGGATAATTTTTTAAAATTTTTATGAAAGTGTTTGTGTTGAAAAACGTGTTTTTGCTTAGCCATGGGGGAAGGAAACAGTTGTTATTACCCGGACTGTAAAGGGTTAAATGGATTAGGAATGAGTTTTTCTTATTTTTCTTTGCGTTTGAAAACTCTAAAATGCCAATATTGTGTGTTTGATCTAGTATGGTACAATGCCAATATTGTGTGTTTGATCTAGTATGGTACAATGGAGATAGCCTGCAATACAAGCAGCATCAAAGCTGTGCTTAACTTCAAACAAAGTGGTTGGTTTGCTAAAGATTTGCATCATGTTGAAGGATACATTTTCAATGGAAAGTGAGTAAAAAGGTTTACTATTTGTTATAAATAAGTTAAAATTAAAACCCGTTGGATGTTGTCTCCCTTTGTTTAGCGTGATGTTTTCTGGAATAGATAGTGGCAATTGGATTTTTTTAAATCTAAGTACTAGTATCATTCTTAATACTCCCATGTCCTGCTAAAGTGGCAATTAGTTGCTTGCTTTTATAAACCTTTTCAAATGTGTCCAAAAAAATCTGAGTTAAAAGTAAGTTCCCTGGCAGCACAGTGGATAGGTGAAGTAGAGTTCACCTGTTTCTGTGACCTCAGCATAGGACAGGTTAGTTTGGTCAGCACTATGCATCAGTTACCCATCAGAGTTGGGTGGACTCAAGGATGTACTACGATTCTAGCCAGTAAAATGTGTTGGTAGCTAAATTTTAAATGTCCAAGAGTGAAATGTGTTGGTACTAAATTTAGAATGAACTTTGTCCAGGAAAAAAGAGCGGGCCCTGTATGGTAGTTGGGTGCTGGGCATGTACTCAAGTCCAGCTGACGTATACGACAAATTTATCAACGACACAGAGGCTGTGGCAAACTATCGTGCTAAGGTAAACTGCTGGCACATACAGTGCTCTTGTACGTCAACCACTGACCCATACATCAGTACTCTTGTACGTCAACCACTGATCCATACATCAGTACTCTTGTACGTCAACCACTGACCCATACATCAGTACTCTTGTACGTCAACCACTGACCCATACATCAGTACTCTTGTACGTCAACCACTGATCCATACATCAGTACTCTTGTACGTCAACCACTGACCCATACATCAGTACTCTTGTACGTCAACCACTGACCCATACATCAGTACTCTTGTACGTCAACCACTGACCCATACATCAGTACTCTTGTACTATCTTCTCTCATCATCTTCATCCATTTCTTATTGATATTGCAGTTCTCTTGTCCGTGGCTTGATTATAATGAATAGGATGATAAAATGTTTAAAAGGAATATTTGTGGATTGATACTTTGATAATTAAAGACACCCCATTAAAATTTAGATCATTAGTCACCCCGTTAAAATTTTGATCGTCCAGCTATTGAACTCATAAATTGTCTTGTTGACAGTTTGAGCATACACACAACGTAAGTAATTTGTTTGTTCCTGTTGGTTTACACAAGGAAGTTTCTTACTTTTTAGTTTAGCATTTTCTTGAATTAGTTGAGAGATTTCACCTCAAATTACCAAGCCAATTTTGTTAATTAGTTGAGAGATTTCACCTCAAATTACCAAACCAATTTTGTTAATTAGTTGAGAGATTTCACCTCAAATTACCAAGCCAATTTTGTTAATTAGTTGAGAGATTTCACCTCAAATTACCAAGCCAATTTTCTTGAATTAGTTGAGAGATTTCACCTCAAATTACCAAGCCAATTTTGTTAATTAGTTGAGAGATTTCACCTCAAATTACCAAACCAATTTTGTTAATTAGTTGAGAGATTTCACCTCAAATTACCAAACCAATTTTGTTAATTAGTTGAGAGATTTCACCTCAAATTACCAAACCAATTTTGTTAATTAGTTGAGAGATTTTACCTCAAATTACCAAACCAATTTTGTTAATTAGTTAAGAGATTTCACCTCAAATTACCAAACCAATTTTGTTAATTAGTTGAGAGATTTTACCTCATATAACCAAACCAATTTTGTTAATTAGTTGAGAGATTTTACCTCAAATTACCAAACCAATTTTGTTAATTAGTTGAGAGATTTCACCTCAAATTACCAAGCCAATTGTGTTAATTAGTTGAGAGATTTTACCTCAAAATATTAAACAAATATTGTTCAATTAGTTGAGAGATTTTACCTCATATAACCAAACCAATTTTGTTAATTAGTTGAGAGATTTCACCTCAAATTACCAAACCAATTTTGTTAATTATTTGAGAGATTTTACCTCATATAACCAAACCAATTTTGTTAATTAGTTGAGAGATTTTACCTCAAATTACCAAACCAATTTTGTTAATTAGTTGAGAGATTTCACCTCAAATTACCAAACCAATTTTGTTAATTAGTTGAGAGATTTTACCTCAAAATATTAAACAAATATTGTTCAATTAGTTGAGAGATTTTACCTCATATAACCAAGCCAATTGTGTTAATTAGTTGAGAGATTTTACCTCATATAACCAAACCAATTTTGTTAATTAGTTGAGAGATTTTACCTCAAATTACCAAACCAATTTTGTTAATTAGTTGAGAGATTTTACCTCAAATTACCAAACCAATTTTGTTAATTAGTTGAGGGATTTTACCTCAAATTACCAAACCAATTTTGTTAATTAGTTGAGAGATTTTACCTCAAAATATTAAACAAATATTGTTCAATTAGTTGAGAGATTTTACCTCAAAATATTAAACAAATATTGTTCAATTAGTTGAGAGATTTTACCTCAAAATATTAAACAAATATTGTTCAATTAGTTGAGAGATTTTACCTCATATAACCAAGCCAATTGTGTTAATTAGTTATTACCTCACATAACCACCAAGCCAATTTTTGTGTTAACTAAGGTTTTCTAAGCATAGATCAATAGCTGACAGTTTCCTTTTTTATAAAGAAATTGGATTTTTGTTGTAAATAATTAGATTGAATCATTTCTAATGAATTCTTATTGATAACATACCACATCAATATGATAGATAATATACCACATCAATATGATAGATAATATACCACATCAATATGATAGATAATATACCACATCAATATGATAGATAATATACCACATCAATATGTTGCAAATGTATGTTGTTGTCATACACCGCCAACATTTGATCAACCCATTAAAATTTTCTGCATACATATTAAATTCTAGCAAGAAGAAATTTTTTATCATACAAGTTCAAGAAAATTACTAATAAAACAAAAATGTGTTTGAAAATTACAACTACAAAGAAATTAGTTTTTATAACATTTTAGTTAAAACTGTATTAGTCACTGTGGCCAGAGGCGTAGCGAGGGGGGGGGGGGGGCAATTGAAAGTTTGTCCCCGGGCGCCAGGAAGGGTCGCTATGCCTCTGACTGTGGCTTGTGTTTTCATTTGTTTGTAGCGATAGTGTCTTGCTGTTTAGACTTACTAAATGTGGTAGTAGATATCTGCACTGTCAATGTCAGTTGTGCTGCAGTCACACATTAAATATGGTATTATATGTGGACTTCTCAGTTTAAATAGGACCTGTATCACACACAACTTCTGGCTCCTATTTTTTTTTTTTAAATGTATTTCTAGCATGAGAAGAAAGATGCGCAAAAGTACTTTTTTTTTTTAAATGTTTTATTTTTAGCATGAGAAGAAAGATACGCAAAAGTATTTTTTTTTTTAATTTGTATTTTTAGCATGAGAAGAAAGATGCGTAAAAGTACTAATTTTTTTTTTTAAATTTATTTCTAGCATGAGAAGAAAGATGCGCAAAAGATGACACTGCTAACTTATAACTACCAGCTCCAAAACCAGAAGACAATCTGGTTAGTCAACCCACGCCCACCACACTCATCTGATGTAAGTCTTTTCTTCTCCCTAACCTCTATACTCAGATTAACATTGTTTTCATTGACTATTATCTGGCCATCTCATCAAATGTTGTCCACCCAGTACTACCATAAATCTATACTCAGATAACCAATGTTTGACCATTATCTGACCATCTCATTTGTCCACCCAGTACTACCATAAATCTATACTCAGATGAACATTGTTTGACCATTATCTGACCATTGTCCACCCAGTACTACCATTTTTCCCTGTTTGCCATGACTCTGAATGAGCTGCTGCCAGGCATGAAGCAAGCTCTCCCTCCTACAGACTCCAGGTTCAGGCCAGACATTCGCAGTATGGAGGAAGGAAAAATTGGTTAGTCTTAGACACCCCAACCTTGTCACACTTAGATCACATATAGATTGTCACACCCCAACCTTGGTTTTCACATTTAGATAGGTCACATAAAGTGTCACACCACAACTTTGGTTTTCACATTTAGATAGGTCACATAAATTGTCACACCCCAACCTTGTCACACTTAGATAGGTCACATAAATTGTCACACCCCAACCTTGGTTTTCACATTTAGATAGGTCACATAAAGTGTCACACCACAACTTTGGTTTTCACATTTAGATAGGTCACATAAAGTGTCACACCACAACTTTGCCACACTTAGATAGGTCACATAAATTGTCACTCTTAGATAGGTCGCATATAAATTGTCACACTTTGGTGGCACATGAATTATCTTATCTGTCACATTTGTAAACTTCCTTTTTGACAGATCAGTCAGCAGAGGAGAAAAATAGAGTGGAAGAAAAACAACGTGAAGCGAGAAAAGAAAGGAAGAAAAGGAGTAAAGAATGGCAACCAAGGTTAGTTGAGACACCGTCAGACTTGTAGGTCTTAGAACCATTTGCTCACATCCCCTCAGATCTTTTGCTTTCCTTAGAGATTGAAATATTTTGTTTTTACCATCACCAGAGGATTGAAATGTTTTTACTCCCAACAAATGGTTGAAATATTTTTACCATCACCAGATGATTGAAATGTTTTTACAATCACTAGATGATTGAAATATTTTTACCATCACCAGATGATTGAAATGTTTTTACTCCCAACAGATGGTTCACCCTAACAAAATCTGGAGGACGGGAGGACTGGGTGTTTAACCCAACCTACTGGCAGAAAAACTGGAAAGATTGCGCTGATATATTTTGATTGGTTTCTATGTTATCAGGGTTTTCTTTTCATTTCTCTGTACGTCACATGACCAGGTCAGCTGACCGGGGCATTTAGTTTTGTTCTAGAACATTTCCGTCTTGTTTGTTTGGTGCCAGTCCCCACAGCACCCTGTTGGTCATACCATGTCCTGCTGTGGTCAGACTAGAATAGTTGCCACAAGGACTGGATGGAAATGTTGAGATGCATGTTTCTCCTCTCAAGAATTAGGCAGCTGTTGGATGTTAACTCTTGTTTGATCAGGACATTCCAGCCTGGCAAGCCTTACATTGGCTTCTCATTCATCTTGTTTCATCTATAGGATATTGTATTAGGTCTTTTATTCCTATCACTTAGAAAATAATTTTTGAACCAGTGTAGTCATGGCTTGCTCATCTCCAATATGTAACTTAATATTGTGTGGGAAATGTAAACAGTGGGGAGGCAACTATGTTGTATTGTCTATTATCTGCCCTTTGTCAGCTGTTAATGGGGAGCCATTTAATCTTCACATTTTAACTGAGTTATTGATTGACCTAATTTAAATAGTGGAGATTTACTTCTTTACTCGCTCGCGAAAACCATTTGAGACTTGGGAATATTCCAATAATTTGTAACCAATGTAAGAAGTGGCTGAAGTTGGTCCCATCAAAGTACATTTGATTACATCATGAATGTCAAGCACATGGCTCACACCATAGTATCAAAATGTGTTTCTAGGATATTTCTTGAGCTAGCCATAGACCGTGTAGCACTCAGCATTCATTCATGTAGATGATAACTTCCTCAGGTCAAGCTATAAATAGTGTCACATGTCCCATTGCTGATCACCACTTGTATATAAAATAAACAAATGTCTTATTTCAGATATGCTGGGTTTTTTGTCTGTTAAATTACCCTACTTTTTTGATGCAGTATCTCATTATGTAACTAGTTATTAAAATCATTCATTGACACTCAATCATTGTTGGCACTCAGTTTAATTATTCCCAACTAACAATTTTAATAATTTTCATTTTACAAAAGCAAAGTTAGATGCCCATGATAAAGGGTGTTGATTACACTGTACAAATACTTGTGTGATTGTTTACATGGCCAGCACCAGGTTATAAATACATTAGAGTTATGGTAACACATTCTTCAATTACAGCACTTTTTCAGACTTTAGATTTGACTAGGCATAAAAGAACAAAGTTTTTTAATCTAGGGTTTGGGCACAATAAAATAGTTTCCCAGTACTTGATTTGTACATTCTCACCTTTGCCCCACCCCTTTCAAAATGCCCTCAGAATATAAAGCAAAAATAAAAGCCCACCAGCACTTAAGTGTGGACAAATGCCATGAAAAAATATAATCCAGCATTGTCTATCACATTTTTTTGGTACAACCTGCCCCTGGTAGGCCATGAGGAAAGACATTATTTGTTTGATTTGTTAAATACAAAAACTATTTGGAGTTGGATAACCATTGCACAATTTCAAAAAATATTATACATCTTTAAATACCACCTGCCTTCAACAGGAAGACAAACAACAGATTTGATTGGACAAAGAATTTTTGACAAAATAGTAAAACAAATGTAGATTGGTTCAAAGTTCAGTACACTACATGTGTAGAGCAACAGCAGAATATGAAACCAAAACCTTCAGCAACATTGAAGCTCATAGATAAATGTAAAAATATTTCATCAACTGATTCACCAAGCTATTAGCACAAATTGTGTCAACATAAAATCCACTATTTCAAAAATGTAAGTAGACCAAAGACTCCCAGGACATTTCCCAGACTAGAACCACTTTCTTCAGCAGTTGGTTCCCTGACCTGTCTGCTTTTAGCAGCATCAACAAAAACCAACTTAGTTTAAAACAAAAAGTATAATGACAAGATGTCTTTCTGCTTAAAGCAGCTTCAACAAAACTTAGTTTAAAACAAGAATAAATTAATGCAGTCTAGAGAATATATGATATAAAAAAACAGCTGTTTAAATAAACTGGGAGTTATCTCCCCTAAACTTTCTCAAATATTCTTATATAACACTACAGGGGATGTCAACTCAGGACAATATTTTAAATTACTTAAACTTTAAAATAGAATAGAATCTCATAGGAAAAAGAATTGCACACCAAGTGAACTCCAAACAATATGTGAATAATAGTGTGCAATATTATTAGTACTCAAGTTTTTAAAAATTGAAAGTAGAATCTTCCAGTTACCAGAAATCGCTGAAAAATTGACACAGAACTACAAATTTGATATTATACTTATATATGAAATTTCAGCTGTAACGGTACTCAAGTTATTGTGTTTACAGACACACACACAGACATACGGACAAGATTGCAAAACTATGTTTTTCAGACTCGGGGAGGTGTAAAACGTCTTTTTTTTTTTGCACGATTACAATACTTTCTCTATATTTCGTATATATGAGAAAGTAAAAATGTGCATTTTTTTTTAATTCTGCCAATTATCCCATGTTTGTCCTGTTAATGTTAGGGAAGACCTAATGAGGGGTGAAAACCTGTGTAAACTAGCTACAATTAAACTAATACCGGTTGTCTAGACTAGTAATTAGTTACAGATTTTTATTTTTGAGTTGCAGACTTTTCATTATGGCAAATAATTGATCAAAGGGCAGCAAGAAACAAATGTCCTGTCACACATTTGCAAGCTAACCCCCCCCCCCCCCCACCCCCCTGATCAAAATACTCCTTATGGAAGCTGACAAATTAAAAAAAATGGAAGTGAATTAACTCAGCAGGTGATGGACCATCACAATAAATTAATCTCACAAATTATGGAAGCACAGCTTAAAGCAGCAAAACATTACCATACCGCACACATCACAGCAGCAAAACATCACCATACCGCACACATCACAGCAGCAAAACATCACCATACCGCATACATCACAGCAGCAAAACATCACCATACCGCACACATCACAGCAGCAAAACATCACCATACCGCATACATCACAGCAGCAAAACATCACCATACCGTACACATCACAGCAGCAAAACATCACCATACCGCACACATCACAGCAGCAAAACATCACCATACCGCACACATCACAGCAGCAAAACATCACTACTGCACACATCAGAGAAGGTGACAGACACTCCAATAAATTATTTTGTCCTGACCTCTACCACAGTTCCAACATTTTTAAATAATGTCAGAATGCATCAGTGATAACTGAAGAATATGTAAACATTTGGTCAGTCAGCAATGGCCTGTCTGTCATCTGATTTGCTGGTCATTCATAAGTCCTGACTGACCCTGCCAGCCTCTACCACCCAGAGGATTTAGATGAGCTCGCGGTACGACATTCATCTTCATCATCCTCATCTGACGAGGACAGAGACAACAGGGACGTTAAAAACTTTTTTAGCCTTGACCTTGGCTTTTTTTTGCTCTGAAGCATGCATGTCCCAGGTTGGGCCTCATCCTCATCATCACTTGAGCTGACCGCTCTCTGGCAGTGACCAGTGGGCTCTGGGCAGGCATTCAGTGGACCATCTGCACCTGGTGCCACAGTCTGATCAATGGCAAAGGTCGTGGGGGCTAAGTTGATCTCTGACAGGTTCCTAGCGCGGGCGTACCCAGAGTTGCTCTCATCTAGTCTGTCTGTCAGAGACAACTCACCATAGGAGCTAACAGTTGAAGGAGTTCTCTCCCTTGCTGCTAGACCCTCCTGTCTAGCAAGCCACTCCCCAACCATTCTTCCATGTAGGTCAAGGTTGATAAAATTATCATAAACACTGGTCAATTCCCCGGTGCTGAGCTGCCTGTCAGTCAAACTTGTGGTTCCAGCATCTACTGGAGCACTGCGGCCCAGACTGGTGTCTGTGGCAGGATATGTTTTCAAGTCTTCAATGTCTGTCACAGGATTTCTCTCATCCCTCCCCCCCTCTGGGGCACAAGGTACATACCTGCTGTAGGTGCTCTTCATGTTATCATACAGCGTGGCCTGTGGGATCCCCACACACCCACTTGCACCCAGGGTCTGCTGGCCCGCGTCTTGTGTTGGGTCCAAACGCTCGGCAACTTCTTTCAGTTCTGTTCTAGAAGCTTGAGCATCACCAGTTGCTGGATGGTTCTCTAAGTTCTCCTGGCTCTGTAATGTCCCTGGTGCGGCACCAGCAGAGGCAGCTACCTGACCCACATCCCCCTCACTGTCTTCTGATGAACTAGAATCAGAGAAAATGATGGACTTCAAAAACTTGCTCATCAACCATCCTTTGTTTTTAGACTTCGATCCTTTGGCTGGTGGGGTGGACCCTTTGGGAGGTGGGGTGGGGTCCTGGCTAGAACTAGAGCTTGTTGAGGAGTTGGAGAAGAAATGTTTTCTCTGCCTGGGCTTGCGTCTAGCTTGGCCTGCTATTTGTGGGCCGTGTTTACGTGGGCCATCCCCATGTGGGCCGTCACCGTGTGGCACACTTTGAGCTCTCTCACTCCTGGCCACATCGTGCGACACACTGAGCTCTAAATTTGGTAGTGACAAGGACGAGGTGGACAGGTCTTGATGACATTGTGTTGAGAGTTGCTCCTGCTGGTCACTATGGCAACTCACTTCTGGTAACTCACCATTTACTGACACGCCCCCAATGGCACCTGACACGCCCCCAATGGCACCTGACACGCCCCCAATGGCACCTGACACGCCCCCAATGGCACCTGACACGCCCCCAATGTCAGCTTGGACAGACTCGGCTGGCCACCCTCTGTTGACTGGTAAGGTCGCTGCCTCGTTGGTGTCTGAGGCAGGATGGCAGATGACAGTCTGCTGGATGACAGATGACACACCTGCCTGTTGGATGACAGGTGACACAGCTGTCTGCTGGCTGACAGATGACACAGCTGTCTGCTGGCTGACAGATGACACAGCTGTCTGCTGGCTGACAGATGACACAGCTGTCTGTTGGTTGACAGATGACACAGCTGTCTGTTGGTTGACAGATGACACAGCTGCCTGTTGGACTGATGCAAGATGTTGCTCTACAGCAGTTTCCAACTGATGTGTTCCAGCATGTAGCACAGTGTTGTGGGACACACCCTCTTCATCTGAGTCATCAGCATCCTAGAGAAGAAAAATAAAACAGCAGCTCAAACTTTGTGCCCACCCAGAGAGACAATATCTGTTGACAACAGAGGCGTAACGCAAGATAATCATCAAATTAGCCAGGTCCATTCAGATTTGTCAGAATATAAAACTTAACCTGACAAATAAAACAAATAGAAAATACCTTTATAATAAATTATAAGAACAAGCTGATAAAAGCTTTCAAAATTAGGAAAAAATAAGAAATAGTAGTTACTTTTTTTCTTATATTTAGGTTCATTTAAAGCTTTTTATAAGAAAAGGTTTTTTTTTTTTAATTTTTTGCTTATTAGTATCTAGATTTAGGAATTGTAAAAAATACATGAGCAAGTAGATCTAGATCTAGATTTAGAAATTGTAAAAAACATATGAGCAAGTACATCTAGATTTAGGGATTGTAAAAAATATTTGAGCAAGTAGAAATAATTGAGTAACCCGTTTATTTGTCTACTCCATCTGTTGTAAACTGACTTCCCATACAACTCAAACTATTTCAAGCCTTAAATCAATCAGTAGCTTGTGTTATATTTACAAAATTTCTTACCCCTTATTAGCACCCATCTCAACTTTAGATTTATAAACATTTCTTTACCCTGGGATCACCTGACATCTAGTTATGTAGGCCTATCTTTTTTAGTTGTATTCAAGTTGTATTTAATTATTTATAAAATCTTTTTAATGAAATATTTAATCTCAAATTCGATTAGAAATGAGTTCCAAGAATTGAGCACAGGTAAGCTAAGGTAAATCTGGTTAACTGTACAATACATGTAAGATTTACGTGGTTAACTTTACAATACATGTAAGATTTACATGGTTAACTTTACATTACATGTAAGATTTACCTGGTTCACTTTACATTACATGTAAGATTTACCTGGTTCACTTTACAATACATGTAAGATTTACCTCAAGCATTGGAGACTTGGGCGATAAAATGGTATTGCATACATATTTTGAAAATGTTTAACAGCTAAATTAGTAAAAGCAAAAAGCCATGAGACAAGGTGTTGATACATAAAGACCAGTTATTTGGGAACAGTAACAAAACATTTCAAACTAGTGTAAATTAAATAATATAGGATAAATCATAGCAAGCAAAGAAAACATCGAAGCATGCACATTTATAACAGCAAGAAAAAGGCTTGGGATGTATGAAGCCCTATGATTGCTGAGGTACTGAACAGTTTGATTGTGTCAATTAATAGGACTGCTAGAATCTCTTGAATTCATTTGATTTTTAATGGAATCTATTTGAGTACAAAGAAAATGCTATTTATTTTGACTGTACCAGAAGTAAACAAATGTAGGCAGTATATAACTTGTCATGTATAAACTACAAATAGATCTAGCAATTGAAGAACAAGGACTAAGTACCCAGTGTATACTGTGTAATTACATCACTACAAATGCAGATTTTACAAAATAAAACTAAGTATTTATTTTTAAAATTAATTTAAAATTCAATGAAAGCAAGGCTTAGTCTTTCAGTGGCCATCATTACTAAGATGATGATCTTAAAAAGTTGGTCCCTTATTACATAGCTGGGATTTTCATAATGTAATTTAGTAGTCAGATGCGGGTTAGCAAAACTAAGCAAACGTTGAAATAAATCTGACCTTAAGAAACTGAAATAATTCCACAAGCTTGGTTAGCTTGAAGTCTGTTGGGATGGCTTCAATGCCTCTAACAAAATCTATACTTATCTCCTCTCTACATTCTGGACATACTAGTGGACGGAAATAGTGGTGGTACGACCTGCAATCAGGAGAGTTTCATCTGCTCAAATTTTGTTTGCCTAGTAAGGTGGGGGAACCAGTGGTAGCATCGTACATGTACACAAACAATGACAAAACCAGTGGCGTCATGTACATGTACACAATGACAAAACCAGTGGTATCATGTACACAATGACAAAACCAGTTGTATCATGTACATGTACACAAAAATGACAAAACCAGTGGTATCATGTACATGTACACAAAAATGACAAAACCTGTGGTATCATGTACATGTACACAAACAATGACAAAACCAGTGGCGTCATGTACATGTACACAATGACAAAACCAGTGGTATCATGTACACAATGACAAAACCAGTTGTATCATGTACATGTACACAAAAATGACAAAACCAGTGGTATCATGTACATGTACACAGACAATGACAAAACCAGTGGTATTATGTACATGTACACAAATTATGGGAGAACCAGAGGTATCATGTACATGTACACAGCCAATAGAGGTGAAATAAAAAAAACAAAATCTCAAACAATCAACCTGTGTATGAGTAGATTGGTTTGACTTGTTTTAAACAAGAAAAAAAACACTAAACAGTTACTAACTTTTTCTAAATACCTTTAAAATCTGAGCTAGCTGTAGATGTGCAGGCTGGCATCACACTAGGTCTAAAACTGTGATACCAGCACTGTCAGTCTACTCAAGTATCCTGCTATTGTCTCCTTGCTAGCTTTTAGCAACTCTAAGTAAACCAATGGGGGGTAACTATGTCAAGATTATTTTTACAGTGAGTGGACAAAGTTTTTCATCACATCATTAAAACTTCCCTCCCTTGATTATTTTTACAGTGAGTAAACAAAGTTTTTGACTATTTCATCACATCATTAAAACTCCCCCCCCCCCCCCTTTGTATAAAAAATTTGCTTTTAAACAACACACAAAAATGGTTTGTTTAAACTCAGTCTAATTAAACATGTTGTAGATACAAATATACACTGCAGGTATACAATAGCTCAGGAAAGAGAAAAGACCCCAGCTCTACAGATTTACACTTGAGGTGGACATGCAATGGTGGACAATACTTGCCCGCTCTCCTCAGCTTTCTTCTCAATCATGGCCCGGATACACAGCTGGCAGTATGAGTGACCACAGGGGAGGCGCCGGGGTTGTCTGAAGAGCTCCATACAAATTGGGCAGGTCAGTTCTGCTTTCATCTCTTTGAGTGGCATTCTAGTGATTTGCTTGACAAACCCGTTTAATATCTGATTCACAAAATGAGCATATTGTAACTATTGGACAGTAAGGTTACTGTGGTGCATGTGTTCTAAAATAATTATTAAAGTGATTTATTTAAGTCAGTCACAAGTCAGGTGATTTCAGTCACAAGTCAGGTGACATCTCTGTCCTGTAGTTACTTGACATATCTGCCTTATTTGTCCTGTGGTTACTTGACATTTGTCCTATGGTTACTTGACATGTCATATGGTTACTTAACATGTCTTGTGATTACTTAACATCTGTCCTGTAGTTACTTAACATCTGTCATGTGGTTACTGGCCTGCATAGTATCAGCAGATAAGAAAATATAGTCTTACCCATTTAACAACTTTTCTTTATCTTGCTTTGCCAGGCTACACTCATAAGCCCTTCAATGATAATGTTATGATAAGTTTCATGCAGTTCAATAGAAATATTTCAAGATAAATTGTATTCACATATTTTTCAGTAGGATTCTTATTAGACCTAAAATTGAGTTGTTACTTTCAATACTTTTTAATATTTTGTGAGGGGAAAACCAGTGGTATCATGTACATGTACACAATGACAAAACCAGTGGTATCATGTACATGTACACTATGACAAAACCAGTGGTATCATGTACATGTACACAATGACAAAACCAGTGGTATCATGTACATGTACACAATGACAAAACCAGTGGTTTCATGTACATGTACACAATGACAAAACCAGTGGTTTCATGTACATGTACACAATGACAAAACCAGTGGTATCATGTACATAAATTATGGGAGAACCAGTGGTATCACGTACATCAGGGGTCTCCAAACTTTTCAGCCCGAGGGCCGCATTAACTATCAAATACCAGTTCGGGGGCCAGTTCCACCGAAGAACATATACACCCCCCTCCCCTCCCCCCACAAAAGAAATATAAATTATATAGAAATATATATAAATTTCAGCGACTCATCCATTGCAATTGAAAAATGGTGAAACTTGCTTGCATTTTTCGCTATTTGAGTCACAATGTTTTCACCATTGTAACCAAAGCTACATTTTCAAATTGTTTTGAATTTTCTGGGCAAAGTTCCACAGCCACCTCCAACAAACATTTTTTACCGACAAAAAGATCTTCGCGGGCCGGATGAGAGGACCTCGCGGGCCGCATCCGGCCCGCGGGCCGTAGTTTGGAGACCCCTGATGTACATGGTTGCATCTGTTGGAAACATCGCTAGTCTTCATTTATTACTGAAAAGTTTTAATTCAGTTGTTTAAAAACAGGTACATAAATGAAACAAGGAAACATTTTTGTATTTTAAAAAACATGAGTCCTCCTCTAAATGTGAAATAATTATTAAAATTTAAGGAGTTAACTGTTTTTCACATTACTAGATCTAGTCGCGGGCGATTTTACGTAGCCTATCCAAAACGATAGATCACCTATTCTATTAGGCTATTAATTTAGCCATTGATTTAGGTTTATTATTCATTTATCTCAGGGGCGTAGCGAAGGGGGGTGGGGGGTGCGGACCGCACCGGGTGACACCATTTAGGGGGTGACACCAAGGCAAAAAATAGCAAAATATATAGAGAAAAACTCGAGGGGGGGGTGCAAATCAAAAGTTTGAGGGGGGGGTGCAAATCGAAAACTTGATGGGGGGGGGGGTGCAAATCGAAAGTTTGAGGGGGGGTGCAAATCGAAAATTTGAAAGTTTGTCCCTGGGAAGGGTCTCGGTAAAATCTTAGTTTAGCGTCGTAAATTCCAACGTAGCTAGTAATGTGCGATGAAGGTAACTAATGAATATTTCTTTCATTTGGCCATATTTATGTCCTATTTTACATAATATAACAGATAATTGAATAACAAATCACAATCCAAGACCAAACCAGTCAAAAATATCCTGGAATAAACTTTAAACTACCCCGTTCGAGACAACAATGAGTAAATACATGCAGCGGCCATGTTTTAAAAACAATAAATTGTCTATTCGCATGTCTTTTGTGTTGATTTTGTGGTTTAATATGATTGTTTTGTATTGTTTTAATATATGCCTGGGGGTCGTCCATACATGACGTCACACTCGTAGGGGGGAGGTGGGACCCGTAATTTTGTGACGTGTGATGAGGGGGAGGGGGGTTCAGATGGTGCGATGTCACACTTTTGCATTTTAAAAAAGCAATGTTAGAAAACGAATTTTAGACGTTATTTTGCGTTTTAGAAAACTGTTTTAATACATTGTAATAACAATTTATTAAAATACTCTATTTTGACAGTTCAGACAAGATTTTGGAAAAAATATAGCTGTTTAAAAACAATTCAAATGCAATTTTGAGGGGGGTTGTAGGCTGAGGTGTGACGTTATTTTAGGGGGGGGGGTCTGGCTTTTTGTGACGACGTGTGACGGAGGGGAGGGGGAGGTAAAAAGCGTAACGTCATTTATGGATGACCCCCTGTATAGTAATTTTTCTATTTTTTTTAATATAGTTGACATGAATGACTAATAGACCTTTTCAGACTTAATAGTGTGCACCCACGACCACAACAATTGTTGGGAGGTCGAACTTTTGAACACTTTATTTGCATCAAGCAAATCAATATTAGATCGCTCATAAATGACGTCGCTCTTAAGATAGTAATGACAGCGTGCATTATTACAGAGCAAACATATGAACATATTGTTTCAGATAGAAATTGTGATTTGTGGTGGGGAGAGGTTGAGTAGAACTCAGTGGATGGTTGTGGGAGAAAGACCAGCTGTAGAAGTATGACGCGACATTCATTGGTGATCCATTTTCTCAGTGGGGACGATAGAACTATCAAGAAGGGTCAAGAAATTTAAAAAGCTTGCCGAGTCGCATTTCTTGAACCCCACCTTTTTCATTCCCCCACTTAGCACATCGTCACCGAGTTAACGCTCGCACGTGACGTCATGTACCGGTACTGCCGACCGTTAGGCTAATTTTATAGAAAAAAAAACAACAACAATTTAAGCACTGCTTTTTTGACGCTTTTGCGACGTTTAATTTGATTACAGAAGTTGGTGTTCATTAAACATCCCCTAACACATCTATCACTCGTCCATTTAAACGTACGTAGTTATTTCTGCAAGCTTGCTGTCTTGAGACTTTCGACCCTTTAAAATGTATTAAGCTCTCACCGTATAGAACTAGACTACCCATATTAAGCTCCAAAAGAAGCTTGGTGAAAACAGGATGGCCGTCCGATTTTGAAGCTGCTCTGCGCTTTATAAAAAGCACAATAAACGATAAGAGGACACTTATATTAAAGTAAATTATAGTTCTGAATCTTGATACATTAAAAGTGATATTCGGAAATTAAGAGCCAGACAGTCAACATGATATTTCAATTTAAGTCCAAGAAAATAAATTTCCTCAAACGATGGAACATTACTAAATTTTCGCGCAGTTTAGCAAAATCGAATTTAAGTATTTACATCATCTTATAAAGCGCGATAGCCTACTGGTGCTCTAACGCGGCCCATGCTAATGGCCGTATTCCTAACGCCCCGCATTAGACGCGGCTTATTCGTCGGCAGGCATTTGGTGGCAAGCCTTTTTGACGGGGATAATGTGTTGCGGCCGTTTTGCCAAATGTCTTAAACTAGCAGGCTTGCAACATTTGTGATGATTAGTTTTAAGCAAGGTATACGTATATTAATGCTTATTTATCGTTATTTTGATTGAACAAAGCATTATGAGTTTCTCCATCAACCACCTAGGTATTTTTCCCCGTTCACCTCCTTTCATGAGACCGACACGTCATAAATTGCGGAGCCGCCTGAGTTGACGTCACAAATCTTCACTCACTCCCGTAGCAAATCATCATATGTGACATCATTTATGGAAACCCCATATCCATCACTTGGGTACTTGATATTGATAATTTGATAACAAAGGGTAACCAAAATGTGTCTGGCAGGTGGAGACCTGCGATCGACCATAATTGACAACACGCACTTAAGGAGTGGAGTGGCTGATTGTTTTAGATGATGTTTTTCAAGGGAAGCTGGTGTCTCTCTGTATATGTAAATGATGACAAACATTTAATGTTGTCAAAATTATGGTTAGAGATCTTAGATAAGGCAGAGTGAAGCGTAATTTTTTACATTATGACTTGTTGTGACATTAACGACAAAAATATGACGGAGGTTGGGGTTTAATTAAGGTAAAGAGTAGTAAAAAAAATGTCATAAGTTAGGATAGAATTACTAATTGATAAAAAGAAAAACCTGAAATGAAAATAGTGAACATTCAAACAATAAGAAAAAACTCAAACTATAATATAGAAATAGTAAGCTCAAATAAACATTAGTAAAAAAACGTGATTTAATACATGGATACAAGTTGCATTTCACAATGCTTCTAGAATTAATAAAGTTCTTTGTTAGGAAATTCACATTAAAAAAAAAAGCTTTATAATACGGACTTTACAACAAGACGATCATATTTAAATACATTTTCATACGAATAGAAATGAAAGGGAAGCTACTCTCAATAACATTTTCCTAAGATGGCGGCTGTTTTTAATAGCAAATTTACTATCTCGAACAGGGTTGATAAAAATTAATTTCAGGATATTTAAATTGATTTAACCATAAATAATAAATGGTGATCTATTATTCAATTATCTATAATATTTTATCAAAATATACGAAAATATAGGCCTACTTATATTTAATGACATATTCATTAATTCACTCTCTCCCACATTACTAGTTTTGGCCGAATTTACGACGCTAAACTAAGATTTTACCAGGGTCTCTATGCCTCTGGGGGGGTGACACCATTAAGTTTAAGTGCCGCACCGGGTGACACCCGACCTCGCTACGCCACTGCTTTATCTATAATATTTAACACAAACATATCACAATATAAATAATAAATATAGTATATAGATCTACTTCTATTACAGCCTTGACAACGAGGTAACGTTTTCGTACATTAATAGCCGCGGGCGATTTTAATATTTTGTTACGTACCCAAAACGATGGATTACCAAAAAAAAAAAAAACAAGAAGAGCAGAGGAGTGTTTAGTCCACTGTTTAGTTAAATTATTTTAAAATTATTAGTACTTAAATCTAGACACCAACTACACTAGTTAGTTTAGATCTAGAAGATCTAGAAAAATTACTTAGATCTAGGGTAGATCTAGAATCTAGGTCTAACTTACTTAAGATCTAGAATCTAGAGTCTAGTAGATCTTGGTAGATCTTTTTACTTACTGAAACCAAAACACTCCATTTCCGGTTTAGGATAATTCTAAAAACTACAATTCTAAATCTAAAACTGGGCTCTAGCTCGAGGTCCGGCTTGAAATGAAATATATTAAACAGTATTGTAAATATTTAATATCTAGATCTAGATCTAGTAAATCTATTACGCGCTAGTTTTTGTGTATTTCGCTCATCGTACAGAGTGTATATATAATAATAATAATATATATAGAGTCTAGATCACGGGTTCCCAAACTGGGGGTCGCGAAGGCCTTTCTGGGGGGTCGCGAACTGGTAGACCAAACCATATCAATGGGGAAAAAAACATAAATATTTAGAAAATTATCTGAAATTCGGCCTTACTAACATCACTGAAAATGGAATAGAGAAAAAACAATGCATACTGAGCTCTCATCGACGAGTCTATGAAACCTTCAAAACTAAAACGTCATTTGAAACGAGTCATTCGAAACACATCAAAAAGATATGGAGTTTTTTCGTCGGCATGTAGTTAGTTGCAAACGTCAGAGACTCAGTGTTTCTTCCAGACTTTTTTCTCCGGGGGGGGGGTCTGGAAGAAACACTGAGTGTGATTGTGAGGTAAATAATACAAATTTGAAAGAAGAGATTTCTGGGCATCTTGAATCTCTTGGTACCGAACTGCAGCGTTATCCCTGAGCTGAAAGAAGAAGAATCTTCGTTGACACGTTACCAATTCTCTGCTTCCCTTGATTTTGCGAGTATTCCCAATGAATTACAAGATGGATTCTTAAATGTGCGGAATGATTCCGCGTCAGATAAAAAACTGCTCACACAATTTTCGTGTAGTATGCACCATTCACACCCAAACGTAAAATTGATTGCCTTTTGAGTTTTAGTTCCTTTTGTGTCTACATATCTTTTCGGCTTTTAAACTAAACCTAGGGAAAATCTCAGCGGTCGCCCATTGAGTGTTTTTTTTTTCATGTATCTCTCAGAAGGTGGGGGGTTCATGGTTCCTTTCACACATTAGATCTATCCTTTCCAAACATATGCTTTCTACTTTGCAGACTTTCGGTTTGGTATGAGAAAAACAATAAAATAAAGCAATGTCTTATACTTTTATGGTCTATTTATAATTTGAAGTTTGAAACATAATAGGCCTACTGTTGTTTGTTGTTGTTTTTTTGGTAAACATATTCTAGGTTCCACTTTGTTTATTTAGGTCTAATGATAGAAACTAACGAAAATGATAAATTCCTATATTAAAGTAAATTGGAAGTAAGTTGAGGGAGGTCTACAAGTTTTTTTGGTGTATGACAGCATTGGGGGTGGGGCTCCGTCGAAAGTGGACACATGTGAAGGCTTGGATGTGTGTGGGAGGGGGGGGGGGAACATTCCAAATTTGTGGGACAACCCCATGCGACTGACGCAATAATGGGGAGAAATGGCAGGGACAGCGGCTAGCCGGAACGGCTGGTTACACTGGTAGTTTATAGCATAGGTCTTTAGAATGGGAGACACACGGTACCTCCCTGTGGAGAAGCCAGGCCAGGAGAAATGCGGAAAAGTTTGACGGATTTTACAATAAATAAAAATACAAAGATGTAGATGGGTTCTACGTCTCATCCATTTAATAATAAAATAGTCACGTTTTGTCTTCGGGTAAACTTCTTCGTTCTTAAATTGTGATGTCGAAGGATGTTTCCCGCTAGAGAGGGCGAGTGTTGCAGTTGCCCCGTGGACCAACCCTAAAGGGACGCTAAACAGATTAGGATTTACTGAATTACGCACAAAGTTCAGAAAGTAGACTGCTACTTTACGGACTTTCTACAGTACTTGTAAAACACCAAAACAAAAATTGTTTTTTGCTAACGTGGATAACTATAACCTATATAACCGATGGGGGGGGGGGGGGGGGTCGACAGTTCGCACCGGGTGCCTCTGATTTCTGCGGCTTTTCTTTTTGGGTTTGTATCCACCCAAGAACAATCTGCAGCAGTTTTAGAATTGTTTCCCCTTGATGGGTTGTTGTCCTCCAGATAACGGGTCCTTATTTGCAGATTCTTCCAGGCATCTCTTCTGGGGGAGGGGGCTCGGCCCCACGATGAAAGTCTACCCCCCCCCCCCCCAAACGAAATGGAATTTATATAGAAAATATATACTTTTAACTGTGTCCGCCCCCCCCCCCCCCGGAGAAAAATGTCTGGAAGAAACACTGCTTATCTGCCCGAGTGTCCGTTGCAAAATCGACTAATCATGGTCGGACGTATTCTCCTTACATTAAAGAATAAACAGTTCTACCAAGAACCTCACCCCCGCCCCAAAGATATTGAAGGCAGAGCGTTATGGTTTCGGGTAGGACCTCCACAAATTGGCTTTGAGAATCTGGTTTTTTTGTGCCCAACCTGGAAGAGACACCAACCATTTAAAATTTGAATAGAAATGATGAGGGGGTCAATGGGGGTCTGCTGACACCAGTTTCTTTGGGGGGGGGGGGGGGGGGGGCTCGGCCCCACTGAACGAAATAGAATTTATGTACAAAATATTTACTTCAGCCTGTCGGTAAGTCTCCACATCTCCGATAGTTACACGTACCCCCCCCCCCCCCCCCCCCCCCCCCGCAGAAAAATGTCTGAAAGAAACACTTGTTGACACCAATCCTTGGAGAAATGGGGTAGAAGGGGGAAAAAAGACGACACAAAAAAACCGCTGCATCAAATGTTTTATAATTTTTTGCTATTTATCATTAATCACTGCGACATTAAAAAAAATTAGAATAAAAAAGAGAACGCTTCGGTAGCGTTCAGTAGCTGAATTTAGGTGAGCCAAATATTCTACGTGCTCATTCTAGATTTGATGGTGATTTATGTACAAGAACATTTTTTTTTATTGTAGCTGTAGGCGTAAGTATCGCTCAACTATTGTAGTCTAATGTAGGCTTGGGGATAATGTGCTTTTGTTTAAAATAGTTCAAATTCTCAGGCATGAGCAGTCGTGGCATTAAGGACTGAGGAGAATTCTAACTTAACTATGTATCATTTTTAGGGCTTTAGGAGGCTTTGTCATCTTAATTCCTGCAGCTAAAAATAGCTTGCACGTGACAGCACACTGCGTGTTTGGTGCCATAACGAGATTGTGAAGTGGGGGGGGGGGGGGGGGGGCTAAAGATTCACGACCATTGTTTGTTAATATATAATTGTTGTACGTGAGTTGAAATGGTGAATAAACGGCAAAATGTGGTATTTGGACAGCTAAAATGTGGTTATGGACGGTCAAAACGGGGTGCGGGCGGCTGAATGAGGTTTGTGGACGGCTAAAATGACATTTGTATATGGACGGCCAAAATGACGGGTTATATGAAACGCTAATTTGACGTGATGTATGGACGGCTAAATGACGTATTGTGTGGACGGCTAAATGACGTATTGTGTGGACGGCTAAATGACGTATTGTGTGGACGGCTAAATGACATATTGTGTGGAGTGGTGTATGGACGGCTAAATGACGTATCGTGTGGACGGCTAAATGACGTATTGTGTGGAGTGGTGTATAGACGGCTAAATGACGTATCGTGTGCTCCATCAATCCACTTCTTCTACCGTGGGCCCGCCTTGCTTTGAGCAACCACTCTGTGAGCACGGGTGGAGCTTGGTCATGATGGGTGAGCAGATCTTCTGCAGGTGCTTGAGCCTGTCTTCAAACTCCTCTTTCTCGGCCAGCGTGTTGGCGTTCATCCAATCCAGGGCGTCCTTACATGCGGTCAAGGCCGTGTTGCGATCCGATTTTGACAGTTTCTCCCCCACAGTTTCCACAGCTTGCTTGACACTAAAAATATAATTCTCAAAGCGGTTTTTGGCCTCGACCCGCTCGCGTTGTTTCTCGTCCTCAGCCTTGTAGCGTTCAGCATCGGCCACCATTTTGTCGATCTGCGCCTGCGTCAGCCTCCCCCTCTCGTTCTTGATCTGGATGTTGTTAGACTTGCCCGTGGTCTTGTCCAGGGCGGTCACGTTCAGGATGCCATCGGCGTCGATATCAAATGTCACCTCGATCTGAGGCACCCCCCGGGGCGCGGGGGGAATCCCCATCAGCTGAAACGTCCCCAAAAGGTTGTTGTCTTTGGTCATTGAGCGCTCGCCCTCGAAGACCAGGATATCAACGCCGGGTTGGTTGTCTGCGTAGGTCGAGAAGAGCTGTGACGTTTTGGTGGGGATCGTTGTGCCTCGCTTGACCAGCACGGACATGACTGAGCCGTGGGTCTCGATCCCCAGGGAGAGGGGCGCCACGTCCACCAGGAGAACGTCCCTGATGGCCTGGCTCTGGTCGCCAGTCAGCACGGCCGCCTGCACGGCCGCCCCGTAGGCCACGGCCTCGTCCGGGTTGATGGACTTGTTGAGCTCCTTGTCGTTGAAGAAATCCGAGAGAAGTTTCTGCACCTTGGGGATCCTGGTGGAGCCCCCCACCAGCACCACCTCGTGGATCTTGCTTTTGTCCAGCTTGGCGACTTTTAGGGCCGTCTCCACCGGCTGGATCGTTGATCGGAATAGATCGATACACAGCTCTTCGAATCTGGCTCGCGATATTTTTGTGTAGAAGTCGATTCTTTCAAAGAGAGAATCGACTTCGATGGAGGCTTCAGTGCTGCTGGACAGAGTTCTTTTGGCGCGCTCGCAGGATGTCCGCAGACGGCGGATGGCTCTGGCGCTGCCGCTCATGTCCTTGTTGTGCTTCCTCTTAAACTCCTGTACAAAATGGCTGACCAGACGGCTGTCAAAGTCCTCCCCTCCCAGGTGGGTGTCGCCAGATGTCGCTTTCACCTCAAACAACGAGCCCTCATCGATGGTTAAAATGCTGACATCAAAAGTGCCGCCACCCAGGTCGAAGATTAAGACATTTCTCTCCCCTTTCATGCCCTTGTCGAGCCCATACGCCAGCGCTGCCGCGGTTGGTTCGTTGATGATCCTCAGCACGTTCAGACCGGCAATGGCGCCAGCGTCCTTGGTCGCCTGCCTCTGTGAGTCGTTGAAATAGGCCGGCACCGTGATGACGGCATCCGACACTCGCTGCCCCAGGAACGCCTCGGCCGTCTCCCTCATCTTGGTCAGCACCATCGAGCTGATCTCCTCCGGAGCGAAGAGCTTCCTCTCGCCTTTGTATTCCGCTTCAATCTTCGGCCGACCTTCAGACTCCACGACCTTGAAAGGCCAAAGTTTCATGTCACCCTGCACCGTTTTATCCGTGAACTTGCGGCCGATGAGACGTTTGGCGTCGTAGATGGTGTTGGTGGGGTTCATGGCCACCTGGTTCTTGGCGGCGTCCCCCACCAGACGCTCCGTGTCGGTGAAGGCCACGTAGCTGGGCGTGGTCCTGTTGCCCTGGTCGTTGGCGATGATCTCCACCTTGCCGTGTTGGAACACCCCCACACACGAGTAGGTCGTCCCCAGGTCGATCCCAATGGCTGGCGCTTGCTTTGGCATCTGAAATCATCCAATTGGTCAGACACTTTAACGGGGAGTTTAGACCAAATTGGTCAGATACTTTAACCGCGAGTTTAGACCAAATTGGTCAGACACTTTAACCGCGAGTTTAGACCAAATTGGTCAGACACTTTAACCGGTGTTTAGACCAGTTTTGTGAGACACTTTAACCGGAGTTTAGACCAAATTGGTCAGACACTTTAACCGGAGTTTAGACCAGTTTTGTGAGACACTTTAACGGGGAGTTTAGACCAAATTGGTCAGATACTTTAACGGGGAGTTTAGACCAAAATGGTCAGATACTTTAACGGGGAGTTTAGACCAAATTGGTGAGACACTTTAACGGGGAGTTTAGACCAAATTGGTCAGATACTTTAACGGGGAGTTTAGACCAAAATGGTCAGATACTTTAACGGGGAGTTTAGACCAAATTGGTGAGACACTTTAACCGGAGTTTAGACCCAATTGGTGAGACACTTTAACGGGGAGTTTAGACCAAATTGGTAAATTAAAATCAGGGCTAAAAGTTTAATGCAGTTTCTTTAGAGTTTAGGGCATCGCTGAGGGGGAGAGGGCAGTGCCTCCGTCCGCCGCTCCCATTGACGAAATAGAAAAAAAAAGTTATGTAGTTCCCTCAAGTTTCTATGACGGTTGTTTTTTTTTTTTTTTACATGGACAAAATCTGGGGAGGGGGATGCACCTTTTGTCTGAACCTTTTCTTAACAGACCTGTCAGTCTTGTTGTACCTGGCAGGAGCTTAGCCCCAGCCGTCACAGCTCTGATGGTAATCGGGGCAGGCCGCCACACACGGCAAGGTATTGTGTGAGGTCACTATTAGTAACTATTACTATTTGAGGCTACTTTAATACTAGTATTAGTCTATTACTATTAGCTAGCGTATGATAAGATTTAAAAATCACTTTAGAATGTCGCCTTACGTCATAATACAACTATCCCCCTATGTAAATACATGTAATACAAGTTTTAACATTTCTAACGGCTTAAGCGAAGTACCTTAAATTCATTTAATTAAATATTTTTTTTGTTTAGATTTTTGATGTTGAACTTAGCGCTTCCGGGTGATATTTTGCATTGAACACGCCCGAACAATCTAGAAATCATTGAAGATGTTGAAAGGAAATAAGCCCGATGCGCACACAATCTAAAAATAGACCAAGCCATATTAATTAGCTTATTTTTTACTTTCTCGTATATACGAAGTATAGAGAAAGTCTTGTAATCGTGCAAAAAAAATTCGAGATTTTTACAAATCTCGACATTTTACACCTCACTGATACGGAAAAACATAATTTTGCAATCTTGTCCGTATGTCTGTGTGTGTCCGTGTGTAAACACGATAACTTGAGTACCGTTACAGCTAGGTTGATAAAATTTTATATTTAAGTATTTTATTAGGTAGTCCAAACTGGCGAAAAAGTGCGTTTTAGGGTCAGTTTTTGCGGTTTTCAAAAATAAAACTTCACTACTTCTAGTTGTCCTATAAGAATAAAAATTATATGTCAATAAAGTTTAAGCCTTTATCCGTCGTAATCTGGTATTTTTATTTCTGTAACACATGTTTGAATGTGTTTTACATTTGTTTGAAAAGTATCAGTTACGTCAACAAATTTCACCGTTTTGCGTGTACCGATCGACCCCACACTGTTTCATTTGGTTGGGGCTTCGCGACGAAGCATTGTAGAAGCATAATCTTAATGTCATTTTAAAGAGCGAATTCTAGTCTATCGTTTGATGTATAAATTGAAAAAATAACTTGCTTATTTCATTTAAAAAAATCAGTTTTTAAACTTTAAATGACGATATATACACGAAAACAAACTAATTCTGTTTCAATCTTTACACCGATGTAAAGTTCACTTTTATAACTACTTTGTGTTGTAAATTCAAGTCTTTCTGATTTACGGTCGCGAAGCCGTACCCTCAATAAGCATATAACCCTCGAGTCAACTTTCAGCCCCGAATGAGTTGCTCGCCGAACGGTTTTAAAGGTTGACGACCGATGATGCTAAACGGATTTTACCCTTGCTAGAGCCTTCAAACAAGTTGTAAGTATCATTTTTAAAGTTTCATTTCCATTTTAATAAATGAATTTTAAGTTTGAATGTCAGTTTGGTTTAATTAGCACACGTTATTAATGTAAATTTGAACCCTACTAGTCCACGGTTTTAGCGTGTGAACTACGCTTGTACACATGGTGTGTTTAAACGTGAAGCTATTTAATTCAGGACATTCTAGGGACTTAAAATATGGATGCACTTAACTATTAGATGCTAGTGTTTACTAATTCTTTAAAATCTATCGAATGGGATTAATGATAGGGTCGTATTACTACAGTTTATCTGGACTATCGCATCAAAATTATGAATCGACAAATTCAAAATGGCCACCAGACATTCCTGGTTACTATGTGGACGAACTCAATTATTTACAGGGAACGAAGGTTAAATACTTATAAAATATTAATAAAACACAAAAGAAACTTATAATTATAATAACTCTACATTTTTATTAATTTATTTAAAACAAAAGACACTAAATTTTAAGGACTAATGTGATTAATTTTTAATTTTCTGTTGTGCACTTTGATTCTGATTCCCCTGCTGAATAATGTGAAATGGTCTGCGCCAGTCTCCTTAATAAAATGTACCAGATCAATTTTTAGATGGTGGTGCAATTTAATAAGATTGTACATGTTGTGACTTAGTTTTAAATGTTATATTAGTTGTAAGTGTAAGTAGTACTAGTAGTATTTCTCATTATTTATTTATTTTATATGCATATAGTAACACTGAAGGACAGTTAAGTTGTCCTATATGATGTTGAGAACCACAGTATGGCATCTTCATCATTGTATATCTCAACCAGTGTGGCACAAACAACGAATATTTCATTCAATAGAATTAATGTTCAAAATGTACTATCAAGTATAAATTACTTTAAACAAAAAGGTGTTTTCAGGCTTTTTCATGTTTCCAGCTACAGTCATAGGACAAATAGTAGGCCTACACAATAGGCTAGTAGTAAATCTAATTATATTTTATTAATCACTAAAACAATTATTTATTCCTCCATAGCTGGAGACATTTATGGTGGCCTATCCAGAACTTTCCTTACAAGGGAAGGGAAGAAGGCCAAGCCCCCCCCCCCCCCCCCCCCCAAACTACAGTTCCCAAAACATATCACTTACTCTTGATGCTCCACAAGATCAAGGTTGGGGGAAACAAGACATACAAAGATGTGGAGTTGTCGTTTTAAAAATTGTTCCCCCAAAGCAGTTATCAACCCAATAGGTTTGAATGTAACAGCAACTGCTGCATTACTTGTAGGCATCACGTCTTTATTAGATTACATTACTCCACTAAATTTTGATTCCGTTTTCCTGCTCTAGATAACTGTGGCATTTTTAAAAAATAATATTTTAACTCATGTGGTTTTTGAAAATAATGAACACATTCTTCCTGTTAATGTTACCAACAAAATAGTTTTAGAGTTAATCTATGTCCAAAGCAAAAACAAAAAAATTTTATGAAAATAAAAGTGACCAAAACGCATTTTTGTCATTTTCAATTATTTTTTGACCTTAGAAAGACTCATTTTAGATGACTGAAAAAAATGGGGCATATATATTACAAACTTTGCAGTAACTTTACCAATTTCTACACTTCTATGTTATTTAGTTTAGAAAATATAGGTTCTCAAAAATGGCACTTTTTGAAAATCAGTTTTTTACCAAATTTTGCTTTTTTAAAAATCGCATAACTTTTTTATTTATTAAGATATTTTTATAAAATTTGTGGCATAGAGCTTACAATTAAAAGTTCTTTCATGACATACTCACTCCAGAAGTCTGCAATCAATAGTTAATTTCAGTTTGGACTACCTAATTTTATCAAAATCGTAGATCCGTATCAACTTTTGAGCGATTTCCGATAACCGGAAGTGGTACTTTTCCTACTTTGAATTTTTCAAAAGCTTATAACTTGAGTACTATTTCTGATAGATAAATGAAATTTCACATGTAAGTAAAAGATCTAATTTTCTACCTTCTGTTAAATTTTGAGTAATTTACGCTACTTCCGATTTCTCAAAAAACTAATGTAAATTTTAAAAGTACTAATAATATTGCGCACTATTATGCGCTTTTTGATTTGGCGTTCACTTGGTGTGCAATTAATTTGTCTACGAGATTTTATTCTATTTTTAAAACTTTAAGTATTTAAAATGGATTAAAAATCATGTCTATAGCCCGAGTTCCCATCCCCTGTTATTTTATATAAGAATATTCGAGAGAGTTTAGGGGAGATCACTCCCGGTTTATTTTTTAATACGGATAATTTTAATTCAGCAAACACCCACACGAGTAAGGGCCAATAGATGATTGGAACAAATAATTGTTCCTTATCAAGAGTCCGTATGGCCTAGTGGTAGAGAGCTAGACATTTTACCAAAAAGTCTCGAGTTTGAATCCGATGGGAAAGTAAAGGCGACTGGGCATAATGCTGACCAAATATCCCTTCACATCCGAGGAACACTGTGATCACAGTTCTGCCCAAATGTCAAATGAGTTCTCACCACGTCTTGAAGTCAAATGTATCACCAACAGTAATCAACATGGCCCCAGTTAAAACAAGCCATCCTGAGTTTTAGTGAGTAGAACGCCTTGGGAGGGCAAGATCCTAACTTACATCTTTGTCTTGATTGTGAAGCAGTACAATTAGGCAGTCTTCTGGCCAACAATAAACTCAAACATCATCTTTGATAGGTTTAATGTTATCTTAGTTTGAATGCCAGCAATGACATGTAACAAGAAGAGGACACACTGCACCATACATGGTTCCATAGACAGGTGACAAATCAGGTAGGATGTCAACAAGTACACAGACGGCCACACCAGCAGGCAACCCATCCGCAACAGGAGAACCTTTACACAACAGTTCTATCATACAAGCATGTCTTGACATGAAACCTTTACACAACAGTTCTATCATACAAGCATGTCTTGCTGTGGACATGAAACCTTTACACAACAGTTCTATCATACAAGCATGTCTGGACATGAAACCTTTACACAACAGTTCTATCATACAAGCATGTCTTGCTGTGGACATGAAACCTTTACACAACAGTTCTATCATACAAGCATGTCTTGCTGTGGACATGAAACTTGACAAGAATTAAATACCATCTGCTTCCATGTACAACATCACAAGTGACTAAAAAATTCAGGAACTGGTGAAAACTACTGAACAAAAATGTGTCTGTTGAGCTCTGGTGACAGCTCTGTTTGTTCTAGCCTTCAGTAGCCAGCGCTTTTTAAAATTTATCACAAATCTGGTAAAAACATGTACACCAAAAGTTCATTACTAAAAAAAATTCATACAAACCAATGATGAGAGAGAGAAAAAAATCTGTGTACACACAAACTCACCATTCCACATCAATATCAATATGGCAGTACTCAACCATCAAAGTCTGGGATACATGATTGCTTTCATCAATTAATGACGTTAACGATAATTAGCAGCATCAATCTATGACCTCACATTTGATTGGCTACATCAACCAATGACCTCACATTTTATTGGCTACACCGAATAACCTCACATTTGATTGGCTTCATCAACCAATGACCTTACATTTTATTGGCTACATCAAATAACCTCACATTTGATTGGCTACATCAAATAACCTCACATTTGATTGGCTACACTGAATAACCTCACATTTGATTGGTTACATCAACCAATGACCTCACATTTGATTGGCTACACTGAATAACCTCACATTTGATTGGCTACACTGAATAACCTCACATTTGATTGGCTACACTGAATAACCTCACATTTGATTGGTTACATCAACCAATGACCTCACATTTGATTGGCTACACCAAATAAAACCTCACATTTGATTGGCTATGTGACACTATATGAACCAATGACCTTACAGTTAATTGTCTACATCAACCAATGACCTCACATTTGATGGGCTACACCAAACAATGACCTCACATGATTGACAACATCAATCAAATACTTTATATTTGATTGGCTACATCAATTAATGACCATGTATTTAACTGGTTACATAAACTAATGACCTCACATTTGGCTGGATAAATCAATTGATAACCCTCATGATTTGGAAAAGTTGTCCCCTGAACTACCTAATGATAACGATTTAGTTTTATTCAAGCTCTGTGACTTGACAAAATCTATTTGGGCATAGGAAAGAGGGGGCTGCTTCTCGTCAGCATCAGAAGAATTGCGACTTTTATTGCGGCCATCCCCTTGTCCCTCGTTGGAGGTGATTTCCACTTTAACGTAATTGAGAGCGGGTTCACTGGCACAGCTGTCAGTGTTGTTGTTGTTGTTGGAGAGGTTGGTCTCGGACTGCTGGTAGTTGCCCAGGTCGGAGATGCTGTGCCTGGTCCTGCAGGTGCCCACCAGGCTGACACATGGGTCACATGACTTGTAGCTGACCTCGTCAAGACTCTGCATGCAGGGCGTGCTGCCTGGCCTGCAGAGTCCAGACACCAGACCTGGCAAGCTGCGCCCGCCCTCAATGATCTCACTCATGTCGCCCAAACTCTGGCCTATCTTTGCCTCCACTGGAATTATTTTAGACTCCAAGTTGAATGCTGAGCCAGATTCCCCACAGAAGAACTCAACACTACGGCTGGACATGGAGCTGGCTGGAGACTTCTCCCCACTTGCCATCCTTTTCTTATTTTTTGTGTTTCCTGGTTTACTTCCCTTCTCACAGTCCCCAGAAGACCTGTTTGACTTCTGAGAGGATCCGCTCGAGTGCTTGTGTCTAGCTGGGGACTGGCTGTCAGCAGCAGAGGAGCCACTAGGATGTTTCTGTCTCTTGACGTTCTCCTGTCCTGTCAGCTTGGGCTGTTTGACAGAGTTCTCCCAGTCAGGAGACTCCATGGGAGCCGGGCAACCTGCCTGACACTGGGGCTCCACAGGTGTGGGGCTGGATGTATGGCAGGCAGCGGGGGAGTCTGGGCAGAAACTTGTGTTGGGTGGGGCTGAGTTTTGTCTTTGGTAGCTGTGGGGGTGGTGTTGGATGCCAGAACACTTGCTTGGCTGAGGGGAGTTTCCTTGGCCCACCTCCACACTTAGCACTGGGAACTGAGCTGACTTGCCCTGATCTAGAACCTTCTCTAGACCCCCACACATTGTCTTCTCTGCTGCAACACAAGGGTCAAAGCTTAGATAAGGGTTGTCCTCAGCATGAGTAGGTTTACCAGTTTTGTTCTTGGTGTGTGCTGAGCTATCCACAGTCTGTTGCCTGGTTGCAACATCAGGCACAGCTTGACCTTTTGATGGCAGGCCACCGCTGCTCACAACTGCTGCTGGTTTATTTTTAGACTGCATTAACAAACTGGATACAACTGGTTCAGGACCAGTTTTACTGTTCATAAATGACACTCCATTGGCTGTGTTGGTTTGGTGAGATTTTTGAGTAGCATTAGACATGGCTGGTTCAGGCCCCGATTGAATGACTTTCACCTGGAGCTTCTCAACTCCTGAACTTTGAATGTAAGAAACTACGGGTGTTGGGGAAAATGGCTTGTTTGAACCAGTCATTGGTGATGGCTCATAGCTCATGTATTCTGCTACAGGCTTGCTATCTTTTCCCTTAGGCGCAGGTTCAAAACTCATGTATTCTGCTACAGGCTTGCTATCTTTTCCCTTAGGCGCAGGTTCAAAACTCATGTATTCTGCTACAGGCTTGCTATCTTTTCCCTTAGGCGCAGGTTCAAAACTCATGTATTCTGCTACAGGCTTGCTATCTTTTCCCTTAGGCGCAGGCTCAAAACTCATGTATTCTGCTACAGGCTTGCTATCTTTTCCCTTAGGAGCAGGCTCAAAACTCATGTATTCTGCTACAGGCTTGCTATCTTTTCCTTTAGGCGCAGGCTCAAAACTCATGTATTCTGCTACAGGCTTGCTATCTTTTCCTTTAGGCGCAGGCTCAAAACTCATGTATTCTGCTACAGGCTTGCTATCTTTTCCTTTAGGCGCAGGCTCAAAACTCATGTATTCTGCTACAGGCTTGCTATCTTTTCCTTTAGGCGCAGGCTCAAAACTCATGTATTCTGCTACAGGCTTGCTATCTTTTCCCCTAGGCCCAGGCTGGTAGCCAATGTAAGTCTCTGATTGGTCAGTGGGATGGACGCTGCCAGCCAAGTTTGGCGCCCTCATATTAGAAAAAGAAGCTGTTGCTTGTTGCTGATGATGCCCAATGGGCCAGGGTTTGTGGGCATCCAGTGGTGAGTTCAGAGGCTGGGAATGATCACTGAAACTGAAAAGGCTGAGTTTGGCTGGGGTGGCAGCCTTGGATGCAGTGGGAGTGAACTCAATGTACTCATCATTCAGATCCTCTGCTGGTAAGGCTGCAGATTTCTTCAGGGGGATCAAGTGGTCAGCAGCAGGGGGGAGCCGGTAGCTCGCTGGCCTGCTCCCCATAGAGCCACTCTTCTTTCTGAAATCTTTTCCCAGGCTGCCAGACTTCTCCATGGAGGCCTGGCGGGAAGTCTTGCGCAGAGAGTCACTGCTGCCACCGGTGCGTGTGGAGGTGGAGACAGTGGGCTGGATCATGGCTGAGGTAGATGAGCAGGACATGGATGAGGGTTTTCTCGGCTGGATCACCTTCTTGTCTCTGGAGCCTACAGAACCTGTCCTCTGCTTGTTGCCAGCACTGTGGGAAGGCTCGTACACCATGTACGTGTCCACATTCTCCATGCTGACCGATCTGTTAGAGTCTAGGTCCATGTTCATATAAGCTGAATCTTTCTGCTGGTTGCCAGTTGAGGGGGCCACTGGCCTACAAGTGTAGTCCATATTCATGTAAGAGTCCCCAGAGTTGCTGGCCAAGGTGTTGGCTGGGGACATCTCCGTGTAGTCACTGCTCTGCTTGCCATGCTGCTCTGTCTGGCTGCCAACTCTGTCAGGACGCCTGCCACTGCCACTTGAGTCAGTGCGGGCCCGATGAGGAGATGTTCTCCTGCCTCCTGGGGCCATGCTCACGTAGCCATCCAGCTCACAAGAGACAGGCTTTAGCTGGGGGGAGGGCGTCCCCCTCATGTCAGCATAATCACTAGCATTTGACCCGCTCTGTTTCCTCATACCCTCAGAGCTTTTGCGCAAGCTTTCACTGGAGACTCTCAAAGAATCAAAGGAACCATGAAGAGAAGAATCCTGAGAACGGCCATATGATTCCTGAGCTAGCCGCGCCTGTTCAGCTTTTAACTTTCCAAACTTGATAATAGGCCGTGTGCCTTGCCCATGACTGGAAGACCTAGGGCGACAAGTTGTTGGAGGCTGCATCCCAAAACTAGATGCTCTCTGTCTGTAGTTGAAGCTATCACTGGCAGTTCTGGGTCTCATGGACATGTACTCCATAAAGGAATCAGAGTCATCTGACTTCAGAGACATGCTCAGAGGGCTTGCACTGGGGGACTCTGTCTTCTGGCGCACTATAGAGGGAAAAAAACAATGTCATCTCAATCAAAAGTAACAGTCACAAATGATATACTGTGGAAGAGGGGGAGAGTGAACATATAGGGGGAGGGGAGAATCTGGACATACAGCAGCCACAGAGAAACCTGCAGCAATGACCCACCTTTGTGGTTGTTTATTATGTGAGGTGCACTTGTGGCTCTAGATATGTCATTGCCAGTTGACCTAGGGCCCATCTCTATGTAGCTCGAGTCCTTCTTGGCCACAGGTCTACTACCCAGAGAGTAGGTGCGAGGGGGCAGCCCAGCTGTGTCATCCAGCAGCATGCAGACAGCAGGCTCTGGGCGGGGCACACCAGTAGAGCTGACTGGACTGCTGGGGTCCATTGGCAGGTAGCCTTCATTACCTGCAACAATAGGTCAATCAGCTGCTGTGTAAGTCTCTACTGTCAAGCTCAGTTGTTGAAACAGTCAAGATTAAACTTAATAGTAGTTGTCCTGTCAAAAAAGATATACTTGACATTTGCAGTCATTTCATAAAATATAATTGACAATAACAGCCATAATTGTTTTTTGTGCTAAAAATGGGCAGTAGACACATGCTTAAAAGTCTTTTTTCCCAAAATGGTATTTTTGCCATTTCATGCTGATTGCCTGAAAGCCTATTGCCTGATATAAAAACATGTGCAACAAAAAAGTCAAGTACAACTAACAAGAGTATCTGATAGCTCCAGTCAATCTATAATGAGCTGACTGTCTTTCCCAGTCAATCTATAATGAGCTGACTATCTTTCCCAGTCAATCTATAATGAGCTGACTATCTTTCCCAGTCAATCTATAATGAACTGACTATCTTTCCCAGTCAATCTATAATGAGCTGACTATCTTTCCCAGTCAATCTATAATGAGCTGACTATCTTTCCCAGTCAATCTATAATGAGCTGACTATCTTTCCCAGTCAATCTATAATGAGCTGACTATCTTTCCCAGTCAATCTATAATGAGCTGACTGTCCCAGTCAATCTATAATGAGCTGACTATCTTTCCCAGTCAATCTATAATGAGCTGACTATCTTTCCCAGTCAATCTATAATGAGCTGACTATCTTTCCCAGTCAATCTATAATGAGCTGACTATCTTTCCCAGTCAATCTATAATGAGCTGACTATCTTTCCCAGTCAATCTATAATGAGCTGACTATCTTTCCCAGTCAATCTATAATGAGCTGACTATCTTTCCCAGTCAATCTATAATGAACTGACTATCTTTCCCAGTCAATCTATAATGAGCTGACTATCTTTCCCAGTCAATCTATAATGAACTGACTATCTTTCCCAGTCAATCTATAATGAGCTGACTATCTTTCCCAGTCAATCTATAATGAGCTATCTTTCCCAACTGACTATCAATTAAAATTTTTGGGCACATTTGAATTGAAAAATCTTTCATGTGGATTAGTATGGAGTCATGTTTTCTAAAAAACAAAGACAAAATTCCTTTTTTAATGACAACAAAAAGCAATTTCTAACTTTTTTAACATACAATTTATATCTATATTACTATAAACAATATTGTCTTCTTTTTTTAAGAGCATGTTTATGTTTATTCTTGTATTAGCAAGAAACTTTCCTTTTACAGGTTTTACCTTATTTAAAAGATTATTTAATCTTTGAAGGCAGTTGATACAATTTGCGCAAATGGCTAATGGAAAAATGTTTATCTAGCATGTGTCATAGACCCCAAGAAACAATTTTTGTCGCACTCAAAGTTTGCGCCTGGGTATAAAATGCAATGCTTACTTCCACATTCTCTAACAGTGGGTAGTGGTGTTGGGTGATGAGGCTCAGGGTAAGCGTGGGTGGGTAGTGGGGCGCTCACGTGGTGAATCATATACTGCTCTTGTACAGGGCTCACTGGGTGTGGGCTCATGGGCAGATAACTTGATTCACCTAAAAACATACAAGTTACTCATATAGCATGGGCGGGCAACTTTTTTGGGTCAACAATCATATTATAAAATATGGCCACAAAATAAATCATTTTAATCCATTTATACCAGAGATTTGTATCAAACTTTCCATGTAAGTGATCTTAGCTTTGAACTTAGTCAATAACAAAATGTAAAGACCACTTAAATACAATAGCAAAAGGGGAGATAACGAGTTGTGATGACAGAGTTGAGCTGGTGAATGCTGCCTAGGTGGAGACTGATTTGTGTAGAGTAAATGGTGGGGAACATTAGCAACATGTTCAAGCTATTATAACAAACAAATCTTTTGTTGTCTATATGCAATCATTATAATTGAAGAAAGGAGATGCTGCTGGGTGAGCCAATATTATGGATGAGACCAGAGTAAATTACAACAACTGTGCTCAATCGGACACTTCAGGAGAAAAGAAAACAGTATACATAGAGGTGCACAGCAGGAAAACAACTATCTTGGAGAAATGCAAAGAAAGTTGCCAAAGACCAAAGTGGAAAGAGCTTTCTGAAGTGAAAAAAGGATGATAAGCTATTAGATTTTAATTAGCTAGCCTAAAAATCTTCAGCATCAATATAAACGTCTGTAAATTAATTTTATATCACATGCTCTTGTATAAATATAAATGAGAAAGAAAACTGTTTTTAATGGTGTTTTATCAACCAACAATTGCAATTTCCTTAACACTAAAAAGTAGAAAATAAAATGTAAACAATAATATTTAAGTTTTACAATGCAATAAAATTTTAAAAATAATTAATTAGGAAAAAACAAAACAAAAATTTGAAAATAATTAGGAAATAAAAAATTATAAACTAATTAGAAAATTAACGAAAATTAGAAAATAATTTTGAAATAAACAAAAATTAGTAATAGTTGAGTTGTGCTCTGAAAAGTATGGAAGAAATTTGTGTGTGTAAATTATTGGTATTGTTGAAGCTGAAAAGTGAAAACTAAGGATACAACTTATGAGTAGTATTGTTTTAATAAGGGGGAAAAGCTAACCTTTCTGTAGATGTAGAGGCTGTATTGACATCTGAAAGTAAGAGGGTGTCGGTGGTGTTGATGGATTACTACGACCAATATCCATTTGTGCGTAGACACTTATATCCTCTGAGAATAGAAAGATAACTTAAAAACACTCTTGTAATTTCTTCATTACATAACTCTGAAACATATTTTATTATTATTATATTTTGCTTCATATGCAACAATTATTCCATTAAAAATGAAAAGACAGAAATGCTGGTAGAGAATATGTTAAGTTTCTTACCATCTAACTGCCCAGGTGAGGTGGGAGGGTTCATTCCTTCAGGGACTATACTGATGTGTCCATCTGATGTCTCAGAGCTAGAGATTCTGGAACAAAACAATGCAGTTCATTACTTCATTCCTCAACAGGTCTAGGGTGGGGTTCAGACTTGTGACTGTCAGACATCCCTGAGTCTACCCAGCTTCATTCCTCAACAGGTCTAGGGTTGGGTTCAGACTTGTGACTGTCAGACATCCCTGAGTCCACCCAGCTTCATTCCTCAACAGGTCTAGGGTTGGGTTTAGGTTCAGACTTGTGACTGTCAGACATCCCTGAGTCCACCCAGCTTCATTCCTCAACAGGTCTAGGGTTGGGTTTAGGTTCAGACTTGTGACTGTCAGACATCCCTGAGTCCACCCAGCTTCATTCCTCAACAGGTCTAGGGTTGGGTTTAGGTTCAGACTTGTGACTGTCAGATATCCCTGAGTCTACCAGCTTCATTCCTCAACAGGTCTAGGGTTGGGTTTAGGTTCAGACTTGTGACTGTCAGACATCCCTGAGTCCACCCAGCTCTGATGGGCATCTGATTTACCGACACAAAGTAGAGGCTGCTGGGTATAGTGCTGACCATGCTATCCATTTAGAGAATGCTGGGTATAGTGCTGACCATGCTATCCATTCATATGTAGAGGTCAAGAAACATGAACTCGACTTCATCTGCCCAACAAATAGCTAGGTCTACTAAAAAGAAACTTATTTGACCTCATCCAATAACACAAATTTACAAATACCATGCTACTCAAAAATAGTGAACTACCTCTTAAAAGTTAAATTATCCTCATGAAGAGAGTAGGACTTTCTTGATTCCCCAGTGTTTGTGCGAGGCCGTATGGAACTTTCTTGTGGACTGAAACAAATTAGATATTTACAAAGTTTTCAGCTGACTTAAGATCTACCTAAATTAATTAAATAACCTACTAGATGATTTGGGATGAGCCTAAGGTTTTTAAAGCAACAAAGTTTCAATAATGGTTTCAAAGTTTATGAAAACTTAAAATATCTGTTCAGCTGTCATGTGTTCAGCTGTCATGTGATCTGCCTGTTCATCTAGTGCCCATGTGCTGTGTGACTAATCCCGCTGACCTGTACAATCTGCATACTAATCTGTTAAATTTAACTGTCCACCTGTAGCTGTCATAGAATGTTTGCTAACTATTACACACTTTATGCCTTTTACATTAGCTATCAACATGCTAATTGTGGTGACGGAAAGATGCGCAAAAGGAAAACTGCATCAAAAACTTACAAGGGCATTTTTGTTTCCTTAAATCAAGCATTTATAGACATTAGTAAAGAATCACCATTGTAGCATAATGAAACACTTTTCCACAAAATATTTGCGTGTTTTTCCGCTTACACATTTTTCTGGGAGCCACTAATTGCCTGATATTCTCTGTTATGTCAGTCTTGTTACTTTAGCTATCACATGCTAATTGTCTGATATTCTCCGTTAAGTCAGTCTTGTTACTTTAGCTATCAACATGCTACCACTTAGTGTCCTAGCTGTTCTGTGCTGTCTGCAATCAATACAGTGACCTACTTGACTGGACTGTTGAGTTTATCTGTGTCTGATGGACAATATGAATTTGGACGATTCTCTGTTGTTCGTGGTCTAGCAGGGCTATAAAGAAAAAAACCTTTCAATGAATGAGAGTAGTTTTTGTTTTGTGCCCACATTTCCCAACATGAATCCAGATTTCCACATGTCTAAAAAAGATATGTTGTTTATACATATATAAATGAAAGTGGTGGGTTTGATGCATTCCTACACAGTTCATCTGATCACCATGAGACTTTGGGAAGTTGTTAAGTATTCAAATTTTTGAGGACTGAGGTCCTAGCGATAGGGCAGTTTGGCACAGGTGACCTTGAACCTCTAGGGTTCTTCCATGAGCACAATGGTTCTTTATTTCAGATAGCGCTATACACTGTGGATAAGGTAGGCTGCTATAATTGTTAATGGCACCCTGTTGTTGTGTTACCAAGAGCACCCAAGGGCTCCCCACATAACACTATGTCACCAAATTGCGTTGTAAAGAGCTACTAAAACCAATGTCTACATTAGACCAGGGTCGTCACCTAGCTTTCAGGTAGTTGAGTGTGGTTGGACACCCTAAATGTTCCAGTGGCTATCTGAGGGTAATTATTGTACACTCAACTCTTTCTTACAGCACACCCTAGGGCTTCAGGGCGGTAGTTCTAACAATCTAATACGGCAAATTATATATATATATATATATATATATATATATATATATATGGTGCTGGCTTTGTTTACTTTTCAATAACTCAGTTTCACAAAACATGGTCGCAAATAAACAAAATTAAGTAACTCGATATATAAAATGTTTAGTCACGACTCAGGTAGGTAAAACTGGATTGCAGCAATGCATGATGGGTATGCTAGTTTGCAAAAAAAGTGAACTAATGACCCACCTGTTATGACTTCCACTCCTCACACGGAATGATGATGATGTATTATCCACAGAGCTCATGAATCTATGGGAAAGTGGTAACAGTAATTAACATGTAGCAGTGTTTTCCTTTTGGTAATTTGTCTATGTGGCATCAAACAGTGGGGCCAACAGAAGATGGCATTTGGTGTAGGGCATAAAACAGTGGGGCCAACAGAAGATGGCATTTGGTGTAGGGCATAAAACAGCAGGGCCAACAGAAGATGGCATTTTGTGTAGGGCATCAAATAGTGGGGCCAACAGAAGATGACATTTGGTGTAGGGCATAATACAGTGGGGCCAACAGAAGATGGCATTTGGTGTAGGGCATAAAACAGCAGGGCCAACAGAAGATGGCATTTGGTGTAGGGCATAAAACAGCAGGACCAACAGAAGATGGCATTTGGTGTAGGGCATAAAACAGTGGGGCCAACAGAAGATGGCATTTTGTGTAGGGCATCTGTAACAACATGTATTCTTTGTTGTTGTGGGTTAGCTTTCATACAGGAACCCGAGCAACAGTGGCAACTTGAAATGACAACTTTATTTACACTATGTACAGATAAATCCGTGGTACATCCATATTTGAAGATCAACTGATATAGGTACAAATAATAATCACGACTCCAAGTCATGGAGACATCTTACATTCACTGCCATCGTTCCAGTCCCAAGTCCTAGCACACAACACCCGTTCACCTTTCTCTCTCTCTTTTATTCACCACTTTCTCTCCCCTTACGTCAATGAGCGATCTCACCCAAAACACGGAAAAACACATGACGATCGCTCAGACAGTCCTTCCGCTAGCCAGGTACTCTTCATTCATGCAAAACACAATATAATAAAGATACATAATAATACAGTCTGTGACACGTCCCCCCTTCGAATAAAATTTTGTGTAACAAAATTTATAAATACAATATTAGTAGGGCAGGATCATGTGCCAGACAATAAAATTTTTTATACATCTCAAAAAACATGGAAAATACATTCTTTGTAGACTAATGCACAAGCATTATGTGTAATATATTCAAATATGAGAAAGAAAAACATTTCAATTACCCAGTAATTGTAGTATAAACAAGATCAATGAGTTTAGTAAATTACCAAACTATAATACATAGTTGAAATTATCAAAGACTTGATTCAACTCATAATTTAAATAACTATATCCTATGTGGTAAAAAAAACTTCCTTATCATCAAGGCATGTTATTACGACGCATGATTAATATACTTTGTTGTCTCCCCTAGTTGACCCATTTCAGACAAATCTAGGTCACAACACAATCACATTCTTGCCTTACACAGGTATTGACTAATACACAATACATTGAGACTTCCGTCTTATTGTTATGCGGAATAAATAGTCTCTAACTTTTACTTGATTTACTTTACTCGTTTAATAGTATAGAATAGGTTTAACATAATACAGTTTACATTCTTTAGATATAGTACACAATTTATGTTTACTCAAACACATTATTTGATATTTATATATTACAGTTACAGACTGTATAATATTAATAAACTGTCAATTGATAATTTATCTTAGCATCCTCTATAGCATGAGTAATCGTTCTCGTGCAGTTGACGATGACCTGTATGCCATCTCTCCCTCAAATTGTAGCTTTTAGCTGTGCTACCATAATCATTTCCTTGATTTCGTTTAACTTGTGTTACTTCATTTGTTTTAATATTCTCCTCTGGTTTCTGAACAACGTCAGTAGTTATCTTACTTTGTGTACGTTCGTTTGGTTCATCAACCAACTCAATATAAATATTATGGCATTGCTTTGGCCTCTCATAATATGTGTTGCGTCGGTAACTTCCATTAGTATACCTATTCACACTTTTGTTATTCTGATTTGAACTTGATACATTATTCCTTAAATTACTGTATTTCTCACATGACTTTCTGTGTACATAATTGTTTCTTCTCTGATTTGCCAACCTATGCCAACATTGATTTTGGTAATGACCTGTTTTTCCGCAGTAAAAACATCTAGATTTTGGCTTCTTATAAACATGGTGACTGTATTCATAGTTTGCTAAATTTCTTTTTCTTTCATTCTGTGCATTAATGACATTAATGACATTCTTATTAACATGGTGACTGTATTCAAAGTTTGCTACATTTCTTTTACTTTCATTCTGTGCATTTTTATTAACATCGTAGTTTGTAGATATTTTTTCATCTTTCTTAACTTCCTTGTGCTTCTTTATTGATTCTAGTTCACACATAAATTTCTGGGTTAATTTCTCCATTTCTTTGTTAAATTTATCCTTGAGTTCTAGTATATCCTTTTTATAGTTTGACTCCAATTTTCGAAGTAAATCTTCAATAGGTACGTTCTCTTCATTGTGGCTTATTAAGTTCACTGATTCATTAATCATCATTAGTTTATCATGATTCCTGCCATTCTCCGATGGACTTATTAAATCATCACTGCCATTCACTGATGGGCTTATTAAATCATTTTGACTGCCATTCTCTGATGGACTTGTGATACAACTTTCAATAATATTCTCGTGTACCTGCGTATCATTTAATAAAGAGTCAATCTTAAGACATTCTAATGTATCTGTCACCTTTAAATCATTAGTAAGTTCAACCTCTGTTTTTTCCTTGGGTTTCAATTCTTCCTGGACTATGTTACTCTGTTCTTCATTCCAAAGGTTGCCAATATTTACTTCTTCAAGTTCTGCTTTAAATTCTGTCTGTTCACTTTCTAATTTTGGTTCATTTGTGTCTGTTATAGCTTTCATTTCTAATAGTTCTTGTTCATATGCTAGTTCATGTAGGCCAACTTGTTTTTCCATTGTTTCAGCCCTTTTATCTGCTCTCTGTTTTCTGTTTCTTTTTTTCCGCTTTCCTTTTGGTTGTACAGTCTCTTCTACTTTATCTAATTCTGAAATGTCTTCTTCTTTATGCATGTCTGTAATAGCTCTTGATCTATTACACACTATTTCTATCATATCATCTAGTTCTCTCAATACATTTCCATGGGCTCGTCGGGGTTGTTCTGGTACTTCGTCCCATGCTTCTTTTGCTTCTTCTATGTCTTTTTCAAGTCGATTGGTTGCCCAGGCTATCTGCTTATTCATCTTCTTAATGCCTTGCGCCCTCGCTAGTGCTAGATATTCTTCAAAACATGACATTTTGATATATTTTCTATGACATAAAATATAAATTCATTAGTTGACAATAGATAAATGTTAATTAATTTACAATACCCTTTCTTGTATTCTGGCTTTGTTCAGTTGATTAGAGACATCTAGTAATCCAAGAAAAGTTCATAGTACATATATAGTACAAAAATAGTTAGGAACAGTTACAAAAATAAACTTGATCTGCTAAATCCAAACAGTAGAAAAACTTGAACAGCTAATCCATACAGAAAAAACTTGAACAGCTAAATCCAAACAGTAGAAAAGAAACACTAAGACTTGATCGGCTAAATCCAAACAGAAAAAAACACACAGACGATATTTACTCGACATTGGTGAGACAATATCGAAATAAGGTGATAAAAATTATCACGTTGATGACTTGACTTGAACTAAACGTCTGACTTGACTACAGCAACCCTTCTGACTTGAGTGTAGATAGATGACTTTCAAGAACTTGACGTACTTGGTAAACAGTGGAAGACCACAGACTGTAATATCTCCATTTCTGACATATGTAGCACCAATTCTTCAACCACTTGTGACATCATAAGTAACAGTAATACAATGTAGCAACATCACTTTATTGCCTCCACTTCTGATACCATATGTAACAACATGTATTCTTTGTTGTTGTGGGTTAGCTTTCATACAGGAACCCGAGCAACAGTGGCAACTTGAAATGACAACTTTATTTACACTATGTACAGATAAATCCGTGGTACATCCATATTTGAAGATCAACTGATATAGGTACAAATAATAATCACGACTCCAAGTCATGGAGACATCTTACATTCACTGCCATCGTTCCAGTCCCAAGTCCTAGCACACAACACCCGTTCACCTTTCTCTCTCTCTTTTATTCACCACTTTCTCTCCCCTTACGTCAATGAGCGATCTCACCCAAAACACGGAAAAACACATGACGATCGCTCAGACAGTCCTTCCGCTAGCCAGGTACTCTTCATTCATGCAAAACACAATATAATAAAGATACATAATAATACAGTCTGTGACAGCATCAAATAGTGGGGCCAACAGAAGATGGCATTTTGTGTAGGGCATCAAATAGTGGGGCCAACAGAAGATGGCATTTGGTGTAGGGCATCAAATAGTGGGGCCTAAAGAAGATGGCATTTGGTGTAGGGCATAATACAGTGGGGCCAACAGAAGATGACATTTGGTGTAGGGCATCAAATAGTGGGGCCAACATAAGATGGCATTTGGTGTAGGGCATCAAATAGTGGGGCCAACAGAAGATGGCATTTGGTGTAGGGCATCAAATAGTGGGGCCAACAGAAGATGACATTTGGTGTAGGGCATCAAATAGTGGGGCCAACAGAAGATGGCATTTTGTGTAGGGCATCAAACAGTGGGGCCAACAGAAGATGACATTTGGTGTAGGGCATCAAATAGTGGGGCCAACAGAAGATGACATTTGGTGTAGGGCATAATACAGTGGGGCCAACAGAAGATGACATTTGGTGTAGGGCATAAAACAGTGGGGCCAACAGAAGATGGCATTTGGTGTAGGGCATAAAACAGTGGGGCCAACAGAAGATGACATTTGGTGTAGGGCATCAAATAGTGGGGCCAACAGAAGATGGCATTTGGTGTAGGGCATCAAATAGTGGGGCCAACAGAAGATGGCATTTGGTGTAGGGCATCAAATAGTGGGGCCAACAGAAGATGGCATTTGGTATAGGGCATAATACAGTGGGGCCAACAGAAGATGGCATTTGGTGTAGGGCATCAAATAGTGGGGCCAACAGAAGATGGCATTTGGTGTAGGGCATAATACAGTGGGGCCAACAGAAGATGACATTTGGTGTAGGGCATCAAATAGTGGGGCCAACAGAAGATGGCATTTGGTGTAGGGCATCAAATAGTGGGGCCAACATAAGATGGCATTTGGTGTAGGGCATCAAATAGTGGGGCCAACAGAAGATGACATTTTGTGTCAGGTGGAGCAGGAAGAATAATTGTAAAAAAAAATATAAGATGTAGATATAGCATGTACAATCTAAAAGTTATGTGTAGATATAGATAGTTGTTATAAAAGCATGTGGAGAGTGGACATCTAAAGATGCAAAAGTTTACCTTAACCAAGTGGACATCTAAAGGTGCAAAAGTTTAACTTAACAAAGTGGACATCTAAAGATGCAAAAGTTTACCTTAACAAAGTGGACATCTAAAGATGCAAAAGTTTACCTTAACAAAGTGGACATCTAAAGTTGCAAAAGTTTACCTTAACAAAGTGGATCTAAAGATGCAAAAGTTTACCTTAACAAAGTGAACATCTCAAGATGCAAAAGTTGACCTTAACAAAGTGGACATCTAAAGGTGCAAAAGTTTAACTTAACAAAGTGGACATCTAAAGATGCAAAAGTTGCCCTTAACAAAATGGACATCTAAAGATGCAAAAGTTTACCTTAACAAAGTGGCGTGTATATCCTTGGCTACACTAGCCTCCTCAACAGTGAACCAAAGCTCCCCTTCCCCTGTTGGGGCATACTTGCCAACTTCCAACCTAAAGGAGCAATCATTATGGGCCACAGAGCGAATGGTTACCAACTGTAAGAAAAAAAACCAGCTTTGATAGTCTCTGACCAACTTTCTCTCACTTATCTATAAATTATGCTTTTTTCTCTCTCAAGAAGTTGCTTCTTAAAGTACTTAAGTCAACAATAATCCCAGTATGCCTTGGGGTTAATGAACCTAGGTTCCACCTTTTCCACCTGACTGGGGGGTGGGGGGGGGGGGCACTTGGGGTTAATGACCCAACTCACCTGTATACTGTACTGAGGCTGGATTGAATTGGTCCTAACCAGTGACACAGTAGTGCTGTTCAGACAAAGTCTATACTGACTTTTTGACCCTTTACCTTGACCTATACCTCTGGGTTGCAAAGTGACTTGCCAAACATGTTCTATGGATGAAGAAATGAAACAAGATATACCACACATAAACAGCTAGCTTATAACAGAAGCAATAATAAACAAATAAATAAGACATGATATACCACACATGTTGACATAAATAGCTTATAACAGAAGCAGCAATAAATAAGATGCATCAAATGTTAATAATTCAGATGTTTAATTACATGAATAGCATTCATGTGTATCATGTGTTTACAATGTTAGTAACATACATCAACAACAAACTTATGTGGCACCAAGTGTCATTAATATATCAGGGAATATTTTGACAGACTGTCACAATAGCATTGTCTTCATCTTACCAAAACATAACATGAAATTACATCTTTATGGGACACTAATCATGCCATTTATACATAAACTTCACACAAATGATTGATTCAAAAGCATGCGATATCTGACTGTTCTTTGATTATTTAAGTTTAAACAGTTTAAACCTTTATGAAGCTGGTTGGAGTATGTTGAATGAATTGAGGGGGAGGGGGTGTTAATAAGTCTGTTTGTGGAATATGACCTGAGTTATATAAACAAGTCTAGGCCCAGCAGTGATCAACCACAGCCACCGACTAGTGGTGGCTAACCCACAACACAGAGGTCAATACATCACGGTCAGTGTCCCACATGACAAAATCACGTGACTAGAGACATGACCAGGCCCTGCCGCCGGCTGCCCCTCCCTCTTCACACACACTGGCTTGTGTCTGTAGTGTACACGTGAACCCCGTGGTTAAAAACAAATTACGAAGATGCACCCTCACGTATGACCAACACAAACATAACCCCCCTCCCTCCCTCCACTCCTCGTTTACGGACCAATGAAAATAATTTCCAAGTCGGCGACCTAGAAAACAGAGGCCAGCTGTTTAAGGCACGTAAATAAGCTAAAAATAGCCTGAGACATCATGGCGGAAGTTATCTTTAAACAGGAGCGATGTGTGTTCCCATAGGCCTAACATTTAGCACGAATGGTGCTGCTAAACAACAACCACATCCAACTTGGACGTGTGGTCATGCGCAGTGGCGGGTACCGGTGCAAAGTCCGCCATCAACATTGGATGTAAACAAGGCCAGTGGAAGGCTAGATAGTACACACGTCCCGCAGCCCAGATTGGTGACTCTATGGATGGCCCAGATTGGTGACTCTATGGATGGCCCAGATGCGTCCTAGTTCTACAGGATAGAGAGTGGATCACCCACCCGCCCCGCATTTTAAAGTATTGAACGACCTTTTAGACGTGACATAGCATGAGGTAATAAACAAACAAACAAGGTCAGCAGACAACAGGTGGCGGGTACGTCGCTCCCTGCATTCATTCGCCGTTAGCCGAGCTTTGTACTGGTAGGGGGGGGGGGGAATCATCATGATGTGGCGGCGGTAGACAGATGACGTATTCCATCTCAAGTCAAAAATAAGCCGGACCCTAGTCCCAGCACAGATCTCCAACAGCTGCTGAGTACAGTCTGGTTACCGAACTCACCGCTTTCGGGTTTCTGGTTACCGAACTCACGGCTTTCGGGTTGAAAGTCGTGAGCTCTCATGGCCCCTCTATCAAATACGACGGTACCGCCACGCAATACCCCCTCCCTGGGTACAAGCTGCTTCCAGAGTTTCTTCCAGGCATCTTCGCGGAGCCCCCCCCCCCCTGAACGAAATGGAATTTATATAGAAAATATATACTTTTAACAGTGTCCGCCCCCCCCCCCCCCCCCCGAGAAAAAAAGTCTGGAAGAAACACTAGATGCTTCCCGACAAAAAAATACCGAGGCGCGTCTACACAGGTCAACGTCCCGACGACACAAAAAAAAACTATGCCCGTGCCTTCACTTAAAAACGGAGCATTACAATAGCTGTCAGCAATTTGCTTTGTCAACAGATGCAGATTAGTATGTTTTCATTACCCACTCTGAGGTATAGCGCCCGGGGCGAACCATCCATGTTCCACCCCCACCCCATGTATCATGTTTAGTTATTCAAGTTGCAAATAAAGCGCTGCCTCCACTAGTTGTGATTTGGGACGCTTTTTACCAGTCACTGTCAGAGCAGTTTTTGTATCTCACTGTGTAGAAAACAGTTTTATCAGTCTGTAAAGCCGAGTGGCAGTCTATTTTCTAAACTTAATTTTTTTTAATCCCTAGGTAGGCCTCTGTACACCCACCTATACAGAAGTCCACCACACCCACACATGTCCACTACACCCACCTACACAGACGTCCACCACACCCGCCCACCACACCCACAAACACACACGCCCACCACACCCACAAACACACACGCCCACCACACCCACCTACACAGACGTCCACCACACCACACCCACCTACACAGACGTCCACCACCACCCACCCACACAGACGTCCACCTACACCCACCCACCTACACAGACGTCCACCACACCCACCTACACAGACGTCCACCACACCCACCCACCTACACAGACGTCCACCACACCCACCCACCTACACAGACGTCCACCACACCCACCCACCTACACAGACGTCCACCACACCCACCCATCTACACAGACGTCCACCCACCTACACAGACGTCCACCACACCCACCCACACAGACGTCCACCTACACCCACCCACCTACACAGACGTCCACCACACCCACCCACACAGACGTCCACCACACCCACCCACACAGACGTCCACCACACCCACCCACACAGACGTCCACCACACCCACCCACACAGACGTCCACCACACCCACCCACCTACACAGACGTCCACCACACCCACCTACACAGACGTCCACCACACCCACCCACCTACACAGACGTCCACCACACCCACCCACATAGATCGCTGGAGGACACCCCCTAAAACAGTGTAGTAGCCCTTAGCCCTGTGCAGGATGCCAAATGTGCTGACCCCATGTGTCAGAGGTTACTGCCCCAGGGCAAACTTACAAAGTATATATGTGCCTGTGTGTTGAAACAGTGAACTAAAATCTGATTAACAAAACAAATGATTTTGCAGATTTGTACTGATTTCCTGCATATCGTCAACAACAAATGCAGAACAAATTGTTCTGGTTGAAGAATCAGTAAAAACTGGTCTATTTATAGTGATACTGACCAAGAATAACAACAATAACTTTTAACTTTCTGTCCAAACTAATTTGGTCCATTTCTACGTCCTCGTATACGAGGTATAGAGGAAGTATTGTAATCATGAAAAAATCTAAGATTTTCACAGATCGACGTTTTACACCTCTCTGAGTCGGAAAAACAGTTTTGCAATTTTCTCCGCATGTCTGTGTGTGTGTACTGTTTCAGATAGATACATGAATTTTCACGTTAGTAAAAGATCTAATTCTCTGCCTTCTGTCAAATTTTTATAATTTCCATTGACCGGAAGTAGTAATTTACACTATTTCTGATTTCTCAAAAAACGCATGTGAATTTATAAAGTACTAATAATATTCCACACTATAGTACACATTTTGTTTGGCTTTCACTTGGAGCGCAATTCTTTTTTCTACGAGATTCTATTCTATTTTTAAAAGTTTAAGTAATTAAAAAGGGATTAAAATTATTGTCTATATCCCAAGTTGCCATCCAGTGTTATATAAGAATATTCGTGAAAGTTTAAGGGAGATTACTCCCGTTTTTCGGTTGTGTCTTTAGAAAAAAATTGCAATTTAGTGCATTAAAAGTTTTGGATTTTCAGTAGCAGTCGATCATCAAAGCAGTATCAGTCGTTGTATTTATACTTGGTCAAAGGTGGTACCTGGTTTAGTTGGCGTAGTTACTATATGAAAATTACAGGTTAAGAGGGTTATAAAATAATCAAACCCTCATCTCTTGAACCTCATGGTTCAATGTGTTAATTTTATAGTAAAAAAAAGTTTATTAATATATTTTAAATACAGAGAGTCTGGTTATATATTTTTCTTAATTTCGTAAAATTGTTACCAAACAGTATCACCTTACACATCTAGCAAGGATGAGGGAGCATACGAGAACATCAGCAAGGCCAGGTACACATTCAACACCCTCCACACAACCTGGACGTCAAAAGTACTGTCTAGCTTTCCAAAAATAACCTTTTTTACAGTAATGTGAAATCTGTTCACCTCTATGGATCTTAGACATGGAGGGTAACAAAAACTAATAAACATCAGACTTTGATTAACAGAAGCCTCAGACACCATACTGAACATCAGGTGGCCTGAAAAAATGACCAATACCAAACTGTGGAAAACAACTTGGCAAGACCCTATTGACAAAGTAATACAAAGTTTCTAAACCAACGAGTAGCCCCATCACCAGACAGGCACTAGATTGGAATCTCCAAGGAAAGAGGAAAGTAGATAAGCCTAAACTAACTTGGAAAGGGTTAGTTGTTAGTGAAACAGAAGCAGCCGGAATGTCATAGGCCCAGCTTTGAGGAATCTCCCATAAACGAGTATGATTGATTGCTCCACAAGGGGTCCACAGGAATAATGATCACCTTAAAACATACACACTACTATCCTATGTTATTTTACTGGTCAGATAGACACATAAGAATCTGTGGTACTTGCTTCTCTTTAATAAAATGGATCCAGGCTAGCTGTATTGTATACAAGTCTCTGATTTTAAATACAAAGAAATAATTGCATTATTTCTAACCATGCCTGGAGAAATCATACATTATGTATTTACAAACTTGCTTTCTCATCTAAGTATAGCATCATTAATGAATTCACCAATCCTAATTTAAGTTGGCAAAAAAGGCGTTCCAACCACTTTTTAAATAAAAGTTGGTGAGGTGAACAGTTTTTACCGGACACTGACTTTTAAGGGTATTACTTTCACTGTTAAACTATCATAACCCACACCATACAATTGATTTCTTTTCTATGTGTTAAGGGTTTATCTACTCTCCAATCAAGTGTAAAAGATTCCCCTGCAGCCATTTTAGCACATGCCACTGCCATGTGCTAAAATGGCTGCAGGGGAATCTGGTGTGCCCAAGAGAACATTACTGCTGGGGTGAAGGATGACAACCTTTGTTTGATTTAGTCATTGATTATAGTAGCCCACCATATACATAGTATATGGGACTCTTTAAAATAAATGTAGGAACCATATTGCTCACAGGGGAGCCCTGGGCACACTGGGTCACTCAACCGCCAGGGCTCTGTAGGATGCTATGGCAGTAATTTGTCCAAACAAACAAATATTTAAAGACACAGACCTGAGACTTCACACAAAAAATCTTTAAGTCAGATCTTAGACATCAACAAACAAATATTTAATTAAAGACCGATCTTAGAGATTTAAAAACAAATCTTAGACAACAACAAATAAATATTTACAGACACAGTTCTGAGACAACAAATATTCCAAGACACCAAACAAGTATTTATCTTCATGTACTGACCGTAATGTTCTTTGTGCATATCCCCATCAGGCAGATATTCATTTTGGTACTCCAGCAAAATACTCAACCAATCATCCTGGTCTTCCTCAGAATTAGCTAAAACAGTAAAGCAGTCGTCACTGGTGTAGAGAATTATTCCATACTTTCCATGGCGACTGTCACATTTCTTGTTAATGTTGAAGCAAGTGTGCAGTTGAATAGAGCGTTTCGGCAATTGCCCATCTTTGTACTTCTTTTCAGAGTCATAATATTCCAACCTTGCAGGCCCACTGGAACTGGTTGATCTCAGGACAAAGAATTTCTTTTTCATTGTCTGTTAGGGAGAAATAAGGTGTTAGAGTATGGCTCTTCCTCTAATGTTCTAGGGTAAAACAAGCAGGGAGTACAGTGTCTAATATGTTGTGATCAATTTTTCAGTTGAGTGGTGAAAGTTTGATTAAACAAGTACCAGTCTGAGATGAGTAACATGTATCAGCCAACTGCCAAAAGCTATCACCTGAGATAACAAACTGTAAATCTTTTATAAACTACCACACAAGTATAGTTGAGCTGTTAAAATTTTCCAACTCTGAGTAATCTCCCCTGCAAAAAAAACCCACCCTCCTCATGCCGACGACGTAAGCCTTTTTTGGTACTTCATGAAAACAGTCATTACACTAAAGAAAAGTATCATGCAATGGGAATCTTTACTATACAAGAAAGCATACATGGAACACAGTTTAGATAAAATAATGAAACACTTGTAATGTTACTAGATAAGATTTTAAACAAGTGGTTAAAATACCAAACAAAGGACAAGAATTTAGATCTGAATGCTGTGTTAATTTAAAGCACTAGCAATGTGCATAACATGAGGGATAGCCAGCAATTGTCTACCACCCAGACCAAAACATGAGGCCTTTCAGTTTTTACTTTGGGGGTAGTCAACAGGCAATGGATGTACTTTACAATAGAATACTGTAAATCAAGAAATAGTGTATTTTAAAATTTAAGTAAGATGACTCTGATGACTTCATACACAACATTTATCAAGTGATCGGTTTGATTGTTTATAACAGCTGAAACTAACCTTCAACTTTTTCAACAGTCCAGTCTTTTTTATGTCAGAGCCTGGTCGCTCAAATATATGGTGTCTTGACCTTTCAAAATCCATAGTTTGGGCGTGGAAATGTGTCTCTTCCTGAGCCGCGTGGGGCATTTGCAATCATTCAGTAAAAGGTGGGGTTAAACAGCTGAAAGAAATAATAAATATGTTAACCACAGAACCCATGATGTAGATCCAGCTAAATCAAAGGTACACTAAGCAGAACCTTCTCTTACTTAGAGCCAATTATTCAAGAAATTTGAAAAAAAAATAATTTCAAAATGTTTGCATATCAACAGAAATTCTAAGCTTGTCCTTAAACCAGTTCTTTCAAAAATATATAGAATCTAGGCTTTTACAATGTCAAATATATACTACATTGTTTTTATAAAATTTAGTGCACATTAAATAGGACATACCGAAGACTTAAAAGTACCTCGGCAGCTATATCTCAACAAATGGCAGCAACAAGAAAGAAATAGCCACCAGCATAGCAATGGTAGCACTGGCTTTCAACAGACTTGCTAAGATCTGGAAATTATCCTCACTACAAAAGAGAACCAAAATAAGAATTTACAAGTCCAATGTATGTTCTGTACTCCTCTTCTATGCTGCAGAGTCATGGAAACTAAACAAGAAAATAGACCAATGTATTCTCAGGATAAAGTGGGACGACAAAATCCCAAAACAAGGAAATATGACTACGGACAGGTTTAAACTACATTGTCTTAGAAGTACGAATGAGGAGATTGTGATGGCTGGGTCATGTCCTTCACATGAAAAGAAAAAGACTCCCGAACCAAGCGCTTAAAAAATGGACTCCACAAGGAAAGCGAAAGAGGAAGACCACTGGGAGCATGGTACTGATAGTACAAAAGTTAGTTAAGTACTAAGTACAAATTATAAAAATAGGCCTAGAGTCTACCTGTTTCTGTATTTCATAATTTCTTAAAAGTTAAACAGTTAACTTGTCTAGTCAGTAGTAGACAAGTAGTCAGTTGTACTTGAAACCAATGTATATTGTATTACTATACACTATACTACTATACTATTATCAGAATCTAGATCTAGTAACTTACTAACTATTAACTAGAGATCTAGATCTAGATGTAGTCTAGATCTAGATCTAGATCTAGATGAACTAGATGTAGATCTAGATAGGTAGATTCTAGCTAGAAGATCTAGTCTTGATGATAGTTGATATCTACTTTAACTTTTAGATCTAGTCTAGATCTACAATATACACTAAGTGACTAAATCTAGAACTAGTCTAGATCTAGATCAGAGATCTAGATAAGTCTAGATCTAGATCTAGATTCTAGATCTAGATCTAGTACTTAGAATTTTCAGAATTGAGAAACTCAGAAAGCATGCCAAGAGGCAATAACTGATAACATACATTAAAAAAATACATTAGGATAAATCCTCCTCTGTAACATGTGTGAGACTCTTGACTGTAGATAATCAAATGATTCCATCAAACGAACTCAATTTACTATAATCTAGATCTAGTCTAGAATCTAGATGTAAATTAGATCATCCTAACAACGTTTAGCAGACAGCCGTCCACAGGCCACAAGGCTTGTCTCGGAGCAATCGTCTGTCTACAACACACACTTGTCACTTTGGCATTTAAAACAAAATTCTAAATGAATAATTATTAAAATAGGAGTAGCAATTTTTTTTTCATTTCTATATATTTTAATAAATTTACAATGTTAGGCAGAATTTTTTAATGTAGCAAATGTGATGTACGCGTAATATGCAAAATGTAGCTCTAAGTTCGAGTGCACTAAGTTCGACTTAAAAGTATACATTTCGTTCAAGGACGTATATTTCCGACGTCGCCATTTTCCTGGTCACGTGTTCGACCGATTCTTGTAAACAAGCTAAGCGCATGCGTCAGCCAAAGGTCACAATGGAAGAAAATAATGTGAAAAATAATTTTAAAATGTTAGCTGAGTTTCTTTCAAGCATCTCTTCGAAGCACATCCGCCGCCCTCCTCCCCTAACAAAATAGAAAAATATATTTTATAAAGAAAATATAAACTTAAACCAAAGTCCGCCCACCCCCAAAACTTAAGTGCACCACGGGCCACCTCCCCGAAAGTTTCAAGTGCGCCCCTTCCAGTGTTTCTTCCAGGCATCTCTTCGGAGGGGCGAAGCCCCCCCCCCCGAAATTTTTTTACCGCCCCCCCTCCCCCCCGAACGAAATGAAATTTATATAATTTATATAGAAAATATATACTTTTAACAGTGTCCGCCCCCCCACCCGAAAATTTCAAGTGCCCCCCGGAGAAAAAAGTCTGGAAGAAACACTGGCCCCTTCCATCTAAAAGTAAGAAACGCTGATTGTTACAGTAATGTTAGGCTGCCATATAGGGCCAGTTCTGCTGTTCATTGGCCATCTTATTAAGATAATCAAGCCCCCATACTAGTACTATAGGTCTATGTTGAGAATATATAGGCCTAGAGACGTAGCAAGGGGCGGGGGATGCGAACCGCACCGGGTGACACCATTTAGGGGGATGACACCAAGGCAAAAAAATAGCAAAATATATACAGAAAAATGATAATTCCACTTAATTAAGTGATTAATTAGAGTGTTAAATAGTCTTTTAAGAGCAAATTTGACAAATCCCGACAATGGTGGAGGGGGAGAGGGTGACACCGTGACGTAAACCTGCTAAAGATAAAGAAAACATGCTACATGTATATATAATCGACTATATATAAAAATCGTTAGTATTATCTGAGCACAGTTTAAAGCAATACCGAGGGCGGGGGGAGGGGGGGGAGGAAAGGGAGGGGGTGAGTTGCAAAATATGCCCGAAGCAATCGGTTTGGTTGAGAATCGTAATAACTTATGTGTTAATCCATGAGGGGGGGGGGGTGGAGGTAAAAAAAATTAAATACATAAAAAATATATGTGAATACATATACACATGCGTACATACATACTTTTATATATATATATATATATATATATATATATATATATATATATATATATATATATATATATATATATCAAAGTGGTTGGGTGCCCGATGGGGCATTTCCTGGCGCATCGATTCAAATTTGGCAGGTTCCTGCCTTAGGGGGCAGTGCCGGTTGGCCGCAAAGTCCACGAAGAGAGGGTCAAAACTGACCTCGACTATATATGTATGTGTGCGTGTGTGTGTATTTATATATATATATGTATATGTGTATATATATATATATTTTTACGGGGGGGGGGGGTGACACCTTTAAGTGCCGCACCGGGTGATACCCGATCTCACTACGCCACTGTATAGGCCTACTCTTCATTACATGATCCTTTGATAGATTTCGAGAAAAACAGACACTTATCCAATACCTATAGCACTATTCAAAATGTCAAATGATACACACTAGCAAATATGCAGAATCACTAAGGGGGGGGGGAGGGGCTATAGATCTAGTACAAATTGGAGTGAGACAAGGGTAATTTGTTAACTGAATCATGACGAAACAAACAGGAAGCAAATGAACTGAAATCCAACGGACAATTTTTCTTTACTATAAAAACCAATTCTTCAATGTTTGCAACACAAGCTAAGCCCTATTACCTTTTTTTTCCTCAAAATATTAAACAGGGGAACACACTCTTGAGTGTATAAATACCAGCTGTCATCACCTCCTGCCCAGATATTGTTTATATAAAGCCGACGCTCCTTACATAACATAGTCAGCTTATGACAAATAAAATTGGCTGATTTAGAGTTTAAAATACACAAACAGCAACCAAATTCTGACAAATGAGTTTAAGAATAGACTCCACTCCCCTTCATCCCCCCCCCCCCCCGCCCCACCCCAATCTTTTAAAAATGAAACTAGCAATCGAATTTTATTTCATCACCGCGTAGCGCGGTGGTAACCAAAAAAAAAAATGAAAAATATTTATGAGGCATAGTCTGAATTAGTTCTCACTCGCAAGCATTCAGACTAGCAGCATCATTGACTAGGGGTGGGCGGATGGGGCGGCCGCTCCGGCCAGCGACCCTATGGAGGGGGCGCAAAAAGGGATAGAAAAAATAGCTCATTCAGAGTTGTATTACAGAAATATATAGTCAAAGGTAAGAAAATAGAATGCTAGTTGGCTGTACTGACTTATTTAACTGTATTCTCCATTCAAACATGTATGGGCAATGGCTGGCAAAAAAAGCCCTCCCAACTATTCAACGTTAGTAACTAGATATAGGGCCTAAATTGTGCAGGCGTTCTTCTTCTGAAGAGATACCCGAAAGAAACTCTGCTTCATCTCTACCCGCTCCGACCCTATGCAATCTTACTGGTCAGAAAACCACATCATTTGTTTCGTACCTTTTTGGCGACACATCAGGGTCGGCGACCGGTACTGCCGCTCCCTAACTTTGTCACTGCACACATGCGAGCTTGTTTTTATTATTTTAACTGCATTTAATTTTTTTTACAGATTTTTAAAGATATATATATATATATATATATATATATATATATATATATATATATATATATATATATATATATATATATATATATATATATATATATATATATATATATATATATATCAAACATTAAAAAATATTTAAAATAAACCAGGAGTGATTTCCCCTAAAGTTTCTCGAATATTCTTACTACGGGATATCAGTGGCGTAGCGAGGTCGGGTGTCACCCGGTGCGGCACTTAATGGTGTCACCCCCAGAGGCGTAGCGACCCTTCCCGGGGACAAACTTTCAAATTTTCGATTTGCACCCCCCCCCTCAAACTTTCGATTTGCACCCCCCCCCTCAAGTTTTTGAGCGGAAAAAATTGTACTTTATAAGATAAACATTGGCTAGTTTTAAAACAGTAAAAGCCTAAAGCATTTAATTAAGTCACATTTTATGTCAGAGTGCATTGTTATTAGTGTTATCGAGTCCTTACCTACGTTAAATTTAAATGTATGAAATATTTTTGTTGTTATAAAATTGGAAATACTTTAAAGTACTACTTACGATAACCGGAAATCACTTAAAGCTGAAATGAATCAAGATAATAAGATCTTATACCTATGTATACCATTTTATACCTATGTATACCATTTCGTTCACCTAAATGAAAAGGTACTTACGTAATCGGTATTTTAGAAACAGGAAATAGAGTACCAGTTCTGGATAGAGGTCACTAAAAATTTGTGAGTGATATCCAGCTATAAGATTTTATACTTGTAGGCCTATATGACATTTCGACAACCTCACATATATGACATTTCGACATATGTCCCCGGGCACCGACCTTAGGGGGCGCCAAAATGGGTTGGAAAAATAAATTGAAAGGTTGAGGGGGGGGGGAATTGCAAATCGAAATCTTGAGGGGGGGGGTGCATATCGAAAACTTTGTCCCCGTAAGGGTTGCTACGCCTCTGCCTGAAGGTTATAAAACGTCAAAAATATCAATTTAGATTTTTGCACAATTAGATCTATAATACGATAAACTTTATCGGATAAAGTAGTGAGGTGTAAAACAGTGAATAATTATTAAAATACTCCCTCAGTACTATGTCGGCTAATCGAGTAAGAAAAACTAAAAAATTAACAAATGTTGAGGATAATCTAATTAATGTTTTCTAATTCATGTTTTCTGTATTATTTACCATTTGAAAAGTAGATCTGCTATCATAAACACAGTTTATTGTCAATGTTATGTAGTTATGTCTATAAAATAATAATATTGTAGAAAATTAAAAAGACCGAATTATTTCCTAATAATTTCTATTGGAATTTGTGATGTCATTTCCTGCTAAGCCTAGCATGCGTTAGCGTGATTTCTGTAACTAACATGGCGAACACTACAACAGCTTTAACTGTTGGGGGAAACAGAACTACAGGACAATCAGTCCGAACTCAAAATGGTACCACTTAAATTACAGTTTTGCTCATTTTATTATTTTAAACGGTTTTTATTTCCTGGCAGTGTGTGTTGTAACTTTGCAACGTAGATTGTAAACCACTGTCTGAAAAATTAAAAAAAATGAGGTCGATTTGATGCCGGCAACTCAGTAGTTGGCGTACAAGTACTCTAACCGTTAGTTCCTAGATCTACTCAGATTCTAGAATAAAACTAGACGTCTAGTTACGGCTAAAGTCAAGGTATCTGTTTCAGTACATTCGATCGCGTCTTTAATACATTTTCAAGCCAAGAGAACAAAAAAGTCCAAAACTAGTGGACATAGAATGAAAGAACTTTCTAGAATCTATAAAATTCTAGGACTAGGCCCCTGATCTATAACCTATATTTTAAAACATTTGTTGGTTTATTCATTAGGCCTACACATAGTCACATAGTGAAAATAATAAGCCTACTTAACAAAGTGAAGAGTATACTTTTGATTTCTTTTAATTGCTGCATTGCCCAGGTGACTGTCATACTTGCATGACTTTACCTGCCCCCACTGCACTCCTTTGAGCCTAAAACTCCTGCTTGTGTGAACTATTCATTTTAACCCACTCATCTGTTGCATTGAATTTAATAATGCTAAAAGGAGATAAAATGGATGGGGTTATCATAAGGGAAAGAAACAAATAGGCCTACCTGTAAACTTATTTTTTTTAACATCTAGGCCCTAAATCTTTAACTTGTTTAAAAAAAACTGAAGATATAGCCTAATTCACTTATTTGCTTGTATTAGGCCTTTTTTAAAGTCATTATTAATTTTATTATCATTATTATTTATCTTCAGTCCCTTTATTTGTAAAATATTCTATATTTACAGTTTTGGCTGCCATGTCTATTTCGAATATTGTTAAAAGCAGCTTGGGTCCAGTTGGACTAGATAAAATGTTGGTTGATGATATAGGTGTAAGTAATTTCCTTATTATATAATATATATTAACACAAGTATTTGGATGATTATAGTTCTGGTGTCCGATAATGGAATCTTTAAAAAAAAAAGGGGTGTTGTGTTGTTAGTAATATTCTAATCTGGACTAATGGAAATTAGGTAGGACCAGGGTTGGGGTTAGGGACAGGGTTAGCATTGACATTAGCCAGCCATATGTGTATTTAGTTAACTACCAGTAACCTAACACCTCTTTTTAAAAGAAGATTCCATTATCGGACACCGGTATAAACATTCTCCCCATCTCAAATTTTTAAAATGAGAAAATTTTTATTACAATCGACTAGCAAAAATGCAGCTCACTTGTGATGGTCATGTCGTAAACTTTTATTATTGAAATTAACTTCTTGTTTTGTAGTTAGGTTGCATTTTTACTACTGTTACTATTAGCTGAGCTTGGTAAAAAAATCTTCTGCTAATTGTTCATTTTGACTTTAGGATGTTACTATTACCAATGATGGTGCCACTATTCTAAAATTACTTGAAGTTGAGCACCCTGCTGCTAAGGTTCTTGTTGAACTTGCAGATCTGCAAGATCAAGAAGTTGGTGATGGAACTACTAGTGTGGTAAGTTACTTCTATTCAATTCATATATATCAGGGATGTGACGTTTCCGAATTTTAGGGGAAATCCGATTATTCCGTTTCAGATGCGATTTTTCTCCACAGTTTCTGTGTGATTCTATTTTATTTCACAATCTCATTAATATTGAAAAAGATGACTATGAGGACTAGACTTGTAGCTGCTGTGGCTCTCCTGACCTCACCATGACCCCAAATACGTGTTTGGTACTGCTTGTGGGGGGGCTGACGTCACACAGTCATTTTCAAATAGCTGTTTCTGCAATACGTATGCTATAGGCCTACATATTTTAAAAAACTGAACTCAATGTAACTCCGGCTGTGTCTTGTTTGTGGAAGTGTAATAGGAATTGATTAAAATACCCTATCAGTATTTTAGAAAAGAATCGATGTTTAAAAATTAATAATTCAAATTCAATTTTGAGGAGGGAGGAGCGGTTGTTGGCACAAATAATGATGCGGCTTGGCTATCAAAATGCTTCACATATCAGACCCTTTCTAATTTGCTAATCTGGTTGATTTCTTTTTTCAATACCAGAACCTAAAACTTTCAAATTACAATAAATCTAAACTAACGTTTTTACCATCCCAATTTTTAACAGAATATAAGGCATAATTTAAAATTGAAAACAAGACCCACTAAACTAGATTAGTACAGTTTAAATTAGCTTAATGTTAAAATAAAACTTAATTGCCACTTCTGTTTCATTGTGAACATTTAATTGCAATTAGATAAGACTTTCAATGATATTTTAGAGTAACATAAACTTCTTTTATTTAAAATATTAGCTATATTAAACAATTAGTACAGTATTGGTGTGAGACTGCGATAAAAATAGATAAACATTGAGTTCTTGTTCGAAGAAAATTTCCTAATTATTTTTTTCCTGATCTGTTCACATCCCTGATATATATATAGAGAGAAAGAATGATAGGTAAATAGATAAAAATATATAGATAGATCGATAAACACACACACACTTTAACCAACTTAAGTATGCAAGATAACTGAGTAGATTCTAAACATAATTTTACTTTTCTCTTAAGGTGATTATTGCTGCTGAATTGTTAAAAAATGCTGATGAATTGGTCAAGTGTAAAATTCACCCTACCTCCATTATAAGTGGCTACAGACTGGCATGCAAGTAAGTGACATGTTGTTACACTGACATTTTTATTTATAGAGAAATGCATATAACGTAAATAACTAAAAGGTTAATTGTTGTGTAATAAAATTAAGATGCTGTTCTTTTTCTTCACAGAGAAGCTGTTAAATATATTCAAGATCATTTAACAATTTCTGTTGATGATTTGGGTCGCGACTCCATAGTTAATGTTGCTAAAACCAGCATGTCAAGTAAAATTATTGGACCGTATCCTTGAAAATTTTTAGAATTTATTGCAGCTTTGTGCTTTGTTGATACTTCTAAAAAATTTGATTAAAGTGTCAGTAACTTAAGATAATCACAATGACTGACAAATTAAACATTGTGTAAGCTGTTACAAGTGTTGAACGACTGTAAAACTATAGGATGAAGTTTAATATTTATTTTTTGATGTATAGTTGAACCTTAATAAGAATGACAGTGATTCTGAGTTCTTTGCCAATATGGTGGTCGATGCTGCAACTGCTATTAAAACAGCTGATGGCAAGGGAGGCTACCGTTATCCAATCAATGCTGTCAATGTACTTAAAGCCCATGGCAGAAGCTCTAGAGAAAGCATTCTAGTTAATGGATATGCTTTGAATTGCACAGTAGCTTCTCAAGGTAGGCTTATTAGGAAATAGTATATCAAATATATTTAAATCTAAATGTTCATTTTCAGGAGAGTATTTCTGAAAAGAAATACAGCAATACACAAATCATAAACTGGTTAAATATTGTAACAAAGTAATAATTAATAAAACTAGATAGTGGACCTGTTATCATCTGGGGAATAGTGAACTCACTGTTTGATTGAATGATGCATTACACCCAAGGTGATTTCTTTTCTTCTGCTTTTTCCTCGGAAATCTGTCTTTTCCGTTTAAGGAAAATTTTTCAGCAGAAAATTTTTTTTAATTTTACGCCTACCAAAATTTAAAATTATTTTTTAAAATTTGCATTTTTACTTAGAAAAAAAAGCATTTTATTTGAAGACTTATTTTATGAAACATAAATGTGCTGAAAGTAGGGTTAATGCAAATTTCGGGAATTTATACATTTTTATGCAATCATGAAAAGCACTAAGACTGAATTTTAGCAATGAATATTTTCCAAAATGTCCATATTTCCTACTAAAAAAAATCAGGCTATTCACAATTTCTTTCTGAGCATGCATGGATCTGTACCCCTAGAGGCAAATTTATTTGAAGGAATATTATAATTATAATACAAACATGTCGAAAGGTGTTGTTCTCAACATTTTACATCTATTTTACTGACATTTTCGCTATATGTCTCCAAAATTTGTTTAGCTAGGCATCTGCATCAAGAATCTCCTCCTTTCCCCTCCATGAATTACTTAAACCAAGAACAATGAAGTGCCTTTACCGATGAGTCAATGTCTACCAAGCTTGTTATATTAGACCTTTTAATTTAATTATAAATTCTATCAACTCTTTAACCGTTGTTTGTGGAAATATATATTACCATATTAGTTATTGCATGTTTTTTTTTTTTTTTTTTGTATTGCAGCCATGCCAAAGTCTATGCGAAATGCCAAAATAGCATGTCTAGACTTCAATTTACAAAAGACTAAAATGAAGTTAGGTGTACAAATTTTAGTGGAAGATCCAGAACAGTTGGAACTGATGAGGAAAAGGTGATGTCAATCATTTCATTTATGTATTTTAGCCCCTTACAACTTGCTAATCAGTTAATTAAATAGCTGTTTAGTATATACTACGGGGAACACAAACTTTGGCACTTTATTTATGCAGGGCTTATGGAAAAACGCTTTTGCTGCTAAAGTGTCAAGACATTTAAAATAACATAAAAAGATGTACTTTTTATTTTACCATGTTTTTTGAGGGTTTGCATTATAACTTAATCCTTTTTGCTTACATTGTACAGAGAGTCAGACATAACCAAGGAGAAAATCCAGAAAATTTTGAATGCTGGTGCAAATGTAATTCTAACAACCCAAGGAATTGATGACCTTTGTCTGAAGTACTTTGTTGAAGCTGGCGCAATGGCAGTCAGACGCTGTAAGAAGACAGACTTGAAACGTATAGCTAAAGCCACTGGAGGTTTGTTTGATTTTTTTGTTTTGTATATAAAGTAGTTTTGTTGTAATTACTTCATGTTATGCTCTGCAAACATCAGAATTAACTTAATATCAACATCAATTACAACTTCAAAACAGCCTTGTCTAACCTCTAATGGCTAATATTGTAACAATGTATCTACCCTGGCCAATGAACCCACACTGCGCAGGGAGGCAAAAATGACATTATTCTCATTACTTTACACTTTTTATTTCTCTTATAAAAATTACTAGTATTTTTGGAAAGCTTGAAAGTTAAAATCAGAACCATTGAATGATTGATTTGAATCAGTGGTTTACTGCTAACAGTAAATACTAATTGACATTAAAAAGTTCTTTAAAATGTGTGGAAAATATGAAAGGTATTTGTTATGTACTTCCTGAACCTTTATCACTACAGTGATTTATAGAAAGCTGCTCAGATTGAATTAAATAAGGTTAACAGATTTTTGTTTCCAATAGCAACTTTCTTAATGACTTTGGCTAACATGGATGGTGAGGAATCCTTTGATCCATCATATCTTGGCCATGCTGAAGAAGTAGCACAAGAAAGAATTTGTGATGATGAGCTTCTCATTATTCGAGGGTTAGTTAACATGTATACTGTTATGTCTGGTTTAAGTAATCCTTTACTAATTGCTATCACTATGTTTGTTTAACTGTGTAGTATATATTGTGGGGCTCATCACTATTGTCAGTGTTTGTTATTCTTTTGTCAAGCAATGCCCACATCTCGCTTTTGTACATTGTTGGTTAAATGTCGGATGCTACATCTTTTGTAATCAAACTCATCTTAGCTTTAATTTCCATTTAGTACATTTCATAGCTATTGTTTTGAATAGTTTAATGAATTATAAGTGTTGTGTTGGCAGCAAAATTACTTTTTTTTTTTTACTTTTAAATTTTATAAAATATTTAATTTAAATTTTTAAAAATTTTAAGTGAGAATTTATCCAAAAAGTTTATCTAAATGATATTGAAGTTTAATTGAATTAAATTGAACACTTTCTTATAATTTTTAGTCCAAAGGCAAGAACAGCATCCTCTATAATTCTGCGTGGAGCCAATGATTTTATGGTGGATGAAATGGAAAGATCAATCCATGACTCTCTCTGTGTTGTAAAGAGAGTGCTGGAATCTAAGAAAGTTGTGGCTGGTGGTGGAGCTGTAGAGGCAGCTCTTTCTATCTATTTAGAGAACTTTGCTACTTCTTTGGTTAGTATAACATTGTTTCATGTACCATGTTGCAGTTTCTGATCAAGGTTTATTTGGGTATTCTTAAACCACTTAAATTAACCCCTTACAACTTGCTTGCCAGCTCAATTATTAAGCTGTGTTAGTATATACTATGGGGGAGATTAAATGTGATTTTGTTTGTTCTTTTATGGCCTTTATTAAGGTTGTTGCACTCAACAATTTCCACAATGATATACCATTAGTGTTGTTATTTTTGTTCTTTTATCACCACAATCCCAAAGCAACATTAATTTCCCTAAAAAAAAATAATCTAATTCTCTTTTTTCTTTTCCAAAACAAAGCAATTATCATTCTTCAATATTTAAAGAGAAAAATTTAACCGTCTCTTGGGAATTCAGTTAGAGTTAAGTAATGTGTGGGTTTTAAATCAACTGGTAAAAAAAAATAATTCTTGTGAAACATGAAAATAAGTCCAGGCTTTAAAGAGAAAACTAAACAGAATGCTACTTACAATATTATTTTCTTTTTCAATATCACTAAATTAGTTTAGTGATATTGATGCCAGATTCAATGGCAGAGGCATTTTAATTTAATTTTACTAATTATATTGCAGGTAATTTAAAAAAAAAAAACTTTGGAAAAGTAGAAATTAACCATTTTTGATGGAACAAGAAAAATATTTAATTAAAACTTATCTTTAAAATCTCATTACCAGCTAGACTTGTGCTACTACACGTAATTAAACATACTATAAATAGTTTTGGGCGCACTAGACTACCACACAAAAATTTGGCGATTACAGGCCATTAGGACTGTAAAGGGCTAATAAGAGCTGTTCACTCTTACATTAAAAGCTGAAGACCTACATGATAGTAATGATCTCCCTTATTTTCAGGCAAGCAGAGAACAGCTGGCTATAGCTGAATTTGCCCAGTCCCTACTTGTCATTCCTAAACAGCTGGCAATCAATGCAGCTCAGGATTCTACAGACCTTGTTGCCAAACTCAGAGCCTTCCATAACACTTCACAGACACGAGCAGAACACAATGACCTCAGATGGTAATACTTCACATCTTCTTCTTCTTTGTTTTTAATTTTTAGTGTTGGAAGGGATCGAGCCTTATCTGCCAGAGGGTTTAAACTCGAGACTTTTTCGAATTTATCAACCATGAGCTTTTTGCCGACTCGACCATGCCTCCATCACAACTAAGGATATGTGTCAACTGGTTATGTGCCATTGAGGCCATTGAATCTGATTTCATCCTGCTTTTCTTTTTGCATTTGCTTCCATAGCCTTTGTACAACCAAGAACAAACTACAAGGCAGTAGTTGTTTGATTTTGGAGTTGTCTCTCCTAGAAGAGTGGCTGTCCCCAGCTAACTAGCCTCATCTGCCCGGGGGTTTGACCTCGAGACTTTTCGGTTTAGCAACGATGAGCTTTACCGACTCGACCACTTCACATGATTGCATCTTATTAAAATATTTTATTTCTAGATTACATATAGTGTATAGATTATTTTTGAATTAATGACTAGTAATTTTTTTTTTTTACAATTTGTAAAATAGGGTTGGCCTTGATCTTTATGAAGGAGTTGTAAGGGACAACAAAAAGGCAGGTGTTTTGGAGCCAGCCATCTCTAAAATCAAATCTCTCAAGTTTGCCACTGAAGCAGCCATTACCATCCTTCGAATTGATGACATGATCAAATTAGTTTCTGAGAAGCATGGGGGCCAGTCCTACCATGATGCCTACAGGTCTGGACAACTGGATGATTAATTGATCAACTGTATCTCTCAGTGTTACTTGTACATCTGAACTGGTTCAATTCATTAGCCTAATTCATGTGCAGATTATTTGAGTCAACAGCCAGAAACATTTGAATTTATTCAGTTAGCATATTCAAAAGTTATTTCATTTTACTAAATTAATTAGGAACAGCAAATTCTCAGTTGTGCATCTCAATGTGTGTGTGGCTTTGAAATTATTATTTTTAAAGGAGTAAATGAATATTATTTATTTTTCTTTTCTATTTGCACGCATTTTCTGTGTGATTACATTTTTATATGATATTAAAAAAATTAATTAAAAATGATGAGTTCTTACTTGAATGAAAATTGATAGGAAAAGATTGTGATACATTTGAACGTTTTTAAAGGATGTAAACTATTTTAAAAGATTGAGACAAAATTTAATACTAAAAATTTGTTCAAACATTAACTCACACTTGATGGGACATGCAATTTTTCTATCCTTTTTCTTATTTTTCCTTAATTTTACTGTTTGCTGCTGTCAAACAAAATCAAGAAGATCTGCTAACATACAATGAGAAAAATTATATATTTAGTTTAATTCCTATTTTTCAGTAATTCATAATTTGTGAATTCGACACTACCAATGTTGTGACAGAATATTTTGCTTTAAAACACTATCAGTAGCTCTGTAGGACGAGGTCCGTCCGTTTCCCCCCCCCCCCCCCCCCCCTCTCCAGAGTAAAAAACTCTGGAAGAAACACTGGCCCTACACTGAAAAGTACAGCATGTATAACTTAGTACTTTTAATTATGGCTTCTGTTACTTTGGTCAGTACTATGCCCAGTCGTCTTTACATTACCTGAATCAGGTAGCAGTCGGAGCTGGGTGGATTCGGGCACGTGCTCCAAGCAGTGTTTCTTCCAAACTTTTCTCTTAGGGGGGACTGGTAAATGTATGTTTTCTGTATAAATTGGGGGGGTGTTGCCCAGAACTGTAGCCAGGGACCCGAACTTAAGACTAGCGTGTTGGACAAACGCTGTACCATTCCAACGAACGGTAAGTTTTTCGCCAGATATGATTACAGCATAGTAGTATTAGTAGGGCCACAGGAGGTGGAGTTTCGTTTCAGCAAGCAACTGGTTTTGTAGGGGCTGCACCGTACTTACGGGCGTGATGTATTGACGATCGCGTCATCTTGTAATGTAAACCTGAGATTCCTTGATGATGCCATTGTGTGGTGACACAATTATCTTGATCACGATACTAATATCGCATTCAATCAAGAAGTAGTCGTTAGTCCAAGTAAAATAAATAGTGACATATTAGGCTGTTACAGATAGCCTTTAGTAAATAAACGGGTAGTATATCGTCACAAATGCAAGGCAAATACAGGTACAATGGACATTTCGACCCTAGGTCTTCTTCAATTAAAGAATAGACGAACAGTAATATAGTTTTAGACAGAGAAAACAAGTATTGTCTCAATGCCACGATGTCCGAATGAAAAGATGCGTGTTAAAAAGGACGCTTGGGAAACGTATAGAGGACTATAGCGTTAGGGATGTGTGTGGGGGGGGGGGTGTGAAATTAGAGTTTCTTCCAGGCATCTCTTCGACAGTCTACCGCCCACCGAACGAAATAGAATTTATATAGAAAACATACTTTTACCAGTGTGTGTGTGTGTGTGTCCCCCCCCCCCGGAGAAAAAAGTCGGGAAGAAACACTGGATGAGATGTATACAAAGACGATCGCATACTTTTACTATTAGATCTAGATCTAATACTAACAGACCGGTCTACCCCCCCCCCCCCCCCCCTTTCCAAACTTTCAGCCAAAAATATATAAACTGACAGTCATAGGCATGTTAATTATTTACATTTTTTTTTCGCAAGAAATACTGTTGTTTAAATTTAGATCTAGATCTAGAATCTAGTCTCTAGCGAATGATTGGAGCAATATTATTATTTTGATATTTGTAGCGAAAAATAACCGCAAATATTTTTCTCCGTAGTCGATATTGTAACGTTAAAACATTTTAATTTTTTATGCCGTAGGTAGGCTTAGGCCGCTAACTCTTAGTTTTATCGCATTTAAACAAATATCGATACCGAGTTAATTCAATAATTTACAGACGACAAATCCCAAATAAAGTAAAAACTATTCATGCGGTCTAGATTCTAGATTTTCTATAACCTAGCTTTTATATTTAGATCTAATAAAAATAATAAATTTTGAAAATTAGATCCATAAGTAATAAGTAAGTTTATATTTTAAAAATCATGCTCATATTTCTAGTTAGCACGATGTTTAGGTGATATATTGATGTTTAAGCTACAAATGCCGTTGCCGTTACAAGTAGCCTATTTATTTTAAATTAAAAAAAACAACACATTTTCACTCCATTTTTATTTTACACTGCAGACTCTGCACAGCAATCCATTTTCATTTATTCATGACACCGGCCTGATTAAAAAAAGGCAAGGCTCAATAATATTCAATATTGAGTTTACTTACTTAGTATTAGATCTAGATCTAAGTAGATCTAGAATCTAGATCTAGAATCTAGATCTAGATCTAGATCTAGTAGTTATTGATGTATTCAATTGTATTGTATTCTGGAGAACAAAATTCCAAGTAGAATCTAGAATCTAGATCTAGACTCTAGAACTCTAGAGTCTAGACTCTAGACAGATCTAGATCTAGAATCTAGATTGAATTAGATTCTAGATCTACTTCTAGACTTAGTCTAGATCTAGAAGTCTTTTAGATCTAGAATCTAGTCTAGATCTAGAAATCTACTAGCTAGATCTAGATCTAGAAGAGATCAGACTGAGTAAATAAAAATAAAATCTACTAAGATTCTAGATCTAGGATCTATATTCTAAGTAATAGATTAGATAGATATCTACTAGATCTAGATTAGATAGCTAGATCCAGTGGCATAGGCAGGGGGGGGTTAGGGGGGGGTCATAACCACCCCCATAGACCCCTCGGTATATCATATATATAAAGTATGAGGGGGGGTGCAAATCAAAAGTTTGAGGGGGGTGCAAATCAAAAGTTTGAGGGGGGGGGGGTGCAAATCAAAAGTACTAATCTAGGTACTAGAGTCTAGATCTAGATGCTAGAGAAGTAGAGAAACCTAGAGATTTAGTCTCTAGAAGATCCAGTAATCTAAACAAAGTTCTTAATAGCAATGGATGGCGGTTACTGGACCATTGATCCATGTTTTTAAATGGTGTGCTAAGAATTGTAGTTTCAGTTTCTCTTCTAGATTCTAGATCTAGCTGGACTATTTGGAATGTACATAGTCTAACATTATATTGCAATACTATATGCAGCAAAGACTTCTAAATATAGATCTATTAAACCAAAAGTAGTGAAAGAAGTTCCAAGAATTTTCTTATGCATTTGTTTTGTGATTTTTCTTTGGTTTGGGACTAACTTAACTTTAATAACTTTGCTACAGCAGTCTACTAAGGACAGTTCCAAACAAAAGGTTGTTCAAACTCTTCAGTTTGAACTTGTAAGTCTCATTGTTAGTAGGCCTATACTATACTATACTAGATTATATTAATGTACGAAAACGTTACCTCATTATCAAGGCTGTAATAGAAGTATATTGTGATACGTTTGTGTCAAATATTATAGATAAATGAATAATAAACCTAAATCAATGGCTAAATATATCAATATATGCCAGAAATGAACTTTAAACAGCAGTGTCTACAAGCAGGATTTGCTATATAAACAGCAGCCATTTGTAAAATAGAGTGACTTCCGCCTGAATCTCGCGCTATAAGTCTATAAAAATAAAACTTAAACAAGATGGCTGCTATAGTAAATGAGCATGGTTGCATCTGTTGGAAACATCGCTGGTGTTCATTTATTACTGAAAAGTTTTAATTCAATTGTTTAAAAACAGGTACATAAATGAAACAAGGAAACATTTTTGTATTTTTCAAAACATAAATCCTCCTCAAAATGTGAAATCTATATATATAATTCTCTTCTGGGAGCCGCTAAAAAACAAGCTGCAAACGCGCTCCCTACCTCCCCGCCCCTACATGGTTTTAGTGAGCTGTGTTCACTCTAAATGTTGACAAGCAGAGCCAACGATTTTAAACGTAGGGGGGGGGGGGGGGGGAGGAAGGGGGGGGGTTATGGTCCTTAACGAGCTACTTATAGTGTTTTAAAGAAATATTTACAGTGGCAGCGTTGGTACTGTCGAATTCACAAATTATGAATTACTGAAAAGTAGAAAAAACAACAACTAAATAGCGGCGTATGTTATGCCGCGGGCCGGCTCGTAATTATTAAAATGTAAGGAGTCACCTGTTTTTCACATTACTAGTCGCGGGCGATTTTACGTACCTAAAACGATAGATTACCCTCAATAGTTAGGCTTAAAGCCAGGTAATCTATCGTAATAGGTACGTAAAATCACCCGCAGCTAGTAATGTCCGAAAAAGTTACCTCATTGTCAAGGCTTTAATAGAAGTAAATTGTGATATATTTGTGTCAAATATTATAGATAAATTTATTAAATGAATAATAAACCTAAATCAATGGCTAAAAACATCAATATAGGCAAGAAATTAACTTTAAACAGCAGTGTTTGCTAGCAGGATTTGCTATATAAAAAGCGACCATCTGTAAGTTAGAGTGGCTTCCCCTGAATATTGCACTATAAGTTTATAATAAAAAAAAAATAAACAAGATGGCTGTTATAGTAAATGAGCATGATTGCATCTGTTGGAAACATCGCTAGTCTTTATTTATTACTAAAATTTTTTAATTCAATTGTTTAAAAACAGGTACATAAATGAAACAAGGAAACATTTTTGTATTTTTCAAAACAAATCCTCCTCAAAATGTGAAATAATTATTAAAATTTAATGAGTCATCTGTTTTTTACATTACTAGTCGCGGGTGATTTTACTTACCTAAAACAATAGATTACCGGCCTAAATAATATAAGCAATAAATATACTAAGTGACTACTCGGAAAAAGATTTTTCGCCTCAGCGTCTACTCTTGGTTGGCAAAAGATAGTTCTGCGCATGCGCAGTGACCTTAATAGTTGAGCTAGGGATAGGGTTAGGATTAGGGTTAAGGCTAGGGCTAGGGTTCTGTGGTTGTAAACTCACGCATGAGCAGTACCATCGATAACATTGCCGCGAAGGAAAGCCGTTGTTTCTTTCCATTGCGCATGCATATATTTTTCTGGCTAGAATCTGCCATAAATATAACTAGGCCATAAGTACTAGATTCTAGTATTATTAGAGTTAAATAAGTCTAGTAAGTAGTATATTAATTTAGAATTTAGACTATTGTTATTATCCATTCGTCATATAAAATAGAATCTATCTAATTCTACAAGACTATAGATAGGGCCTATTTTATTATCATATTAATATGATATTATTTATTATGTGTACTTGTTTAGATATATATATATATATACTACGAGCATATGCCACTATCTAGTTGTTTTATTTTCTACTTATCAACAATTCATAATTTGTGAATTCAACACTACCCCACCCCCTGCCCAGTGAAAGCAGCTGTTTATAGACGAGAATGAAAATATCAAGCAGAACTTATTATCTCCCCTTAGTTTCAAATCGTTTAAAAAAACTAAATTATCTGCACCTAATAGCCGTCATTTAATCGAACCGGCTCTACGATTGTAAACATTCGTCGTGAATCACAGCTCACCTGACAGGTGGGGATGAGGGTGGTGGCTAAGCTGCGTGGTGTTTTCTATGGTCTCCATGAAGAGAATTATATATATAGATATAATATAGTAGTAAGCCTATATTTAATAAATAAATGCTTCCCATTGGGCAGGGAATTGCTGAAATTAAAGTCTAATATGCTTATCATTTCATGCATTTTTGAAATAGTATTCCTGGAAAAAATCTAACTTGAAGCACAATATCATTTAAATTGAACGAGACTGATGCAGAAGGTAGTTTTGGACAGCAATGCTTTTTTTTTTTTACTTACTGTTATATTTTTATATGAAAAAGTATTAAAATTTATGTTATGATATCTGCTTTGTAAATAATAAATTATGCATCAAAGCCGAACTAATTAAATTTTAAAATTAATTAAGCAACACTTATGTCATGATGCTATCAAATTATCGTTTTTAAATTAAGAAGAAATGTAAAATAAATATTAGGCCAAGGTGAAATAACCAAGTCCATTTAAATCAGTTATTAGTCATGTTTCTCCTAACATTGCTTGCAACAATATTTGTGACAAGACTTTTTCCCCCCTCTGTAAATAATAGTGTAAGTAATTGTAATTATGCTTAATCATGCCAGATGTGAGAAGAAATAAAATACAGTTGTACAATTGAAAATGTTGTAAAATAAACTGGGAGTGATCTCCCCTAAACTTTCTCGAATATTCTTATATAAAACAACAGGGGATGGGAACTCGGGCTATAGACATGATTTTTAATCCATTTTAAATACTTAAAGTTTTAAAAATAGAATAAAATCTCGTAGACAAAAGAATTGCACACCAAGTGAACGCCAAATAAAAAAAAGTGCATAATAGTGCGCAATATTATTAGTACTTAAAATTTACATTAGTTTTTTGAGAAATCGGAAGTAGCGTAAATTACTACTTCCGCTCAACGGAAATAACTCAAAATTTAACAGAAGGTAGAGAATTAGATCTTATACTTACATGTGAAATTTCATTTATCTATCTGAAATAGTACTCAATAACTATAGGCTTTTGAAAAATTCAAAGTAGAAAAAGTACCACTTCCGGTTATCGGAAATCGCTCAAAAGGTGATACAGATCTACGATTTTGATAAAATACTTATATATGAAATTTCATCAACCTAGCTGTAACGGTACTCAAGTAATCGTGTTTACACACAGACACACACACAGACAGACAGACACACAGACATACGGACAGAATTGCAAAGCCCAGTTTTTCAGACTGGATTACGCATAAAACCTCTTAATTTTGATAAATCTGGATTGATAATTTTTGCCCGATTAAAATAAGTCCTCTATACTTCGGATGTGATGAAGGACTGAGGTGTAATACGGTGAAAATTGTTAAAATTTCAAGTGATTTTTGTGTACGATTACAATACTTTCTCTATACTTCGTATATATGAGAAAGTAAAAAGTAGTCGCCCTTTTATGAGTAATGTCAAAAATAAATGTGGTGAATTCATGACTCTTTATGAAAGATAAATTTCTGATGGATCCAAATCAGGGAGATCTGTTGTGTCAGTCAAATATTGTTACACTTGATTAAGCTGCTCTGTATAACTGTCATTTTAAAATTAAATGTGTTGATAATATGTCTGACTAGGAATTTTATATTTGTATAAATATTTCATATATATATATATATATATATATATATATATATATATATATATATATATATATATATATATGTGTGTGTGTGTGTGTATGTAGGATATATCTAGTAATAATAGATCTAATAATTACAGGGCTATATAAGAGATAGACATACAAAATCTGGTTAAAATTGTATGTAATTCTCTCCTAATTCTAATGCATAGTTAAAAAAACACATACATAACTGTTTTCTATCTACAGTGAAAATGGAAGAGATAAAAAAAGAAATCCGATCAATCCTGATCAGTGCAAAACATGGTGTTTCTGAACATGATATCTTAAGTATGTTTGCAAGTTTACAATGTTATACATTCTTAATGACTTTCAAAGTATGTTTACTGAGTTATTTACATCTATAATATGTACATAGTAATTCACTTGTATTTCTGAGGGCATAATGCCTTGTATTTTGTATATTTAAGTACATGTTATTTTAAAAACGAAGGTAAAATAATGCTCCTTCAACAAATGATAGCCTTTTTTTTTAGAAAGTGAAATTTAATTTAATGATATTTTCAATATTTTTTATCAGAGTGAAGCCAGACATTATCATATTTTATGGTACTGAAAAAATAATATTTTTAATCATGTTTATTTTCTACATCTTATATTATGCAGTCTTTCTTTGTTTACAAGTCTCTAATTGATGAGAAAATATTTTATTAGGTTTTATTTGTTAACATCTTGGTAATTTATCTCCTACAGAAGATTACGACATGCTGTTATGTAAGCCTCTACCTTTCAGACAGCTGGGGTTTCCTAATGCTGTTTCACTGCTCAGAGCTATGCCTGATGTCATGAGGGAGGTCAGGTAAGTACAGACCAGATCTTCCTGTTAGGTTAAGTTTGTATAAGACCTACGCCCAAGGTTAGAGGTTAAGTTTGTATAAGACTTACGCCCAAGGTTAGAGGTTAAGTTTGTATAAGACCTACGCTTAAGGTTAGAGGTTAAGTTTGTATAAGACCTACGCCCAAGGTTAGAGGTTAAGTTTGTATAAGACTTACGCCCAAGGTTAGAGGTTAAGTTTGTATAAGACTTACGCCCAAGGTTAGAGGTTAAGTTTGTATAAGACTTACGCCCAAGGTTAGAGGTTAAGTTTGTATAAGACTTACGCCCAAGGTTAGAGGTTAAGTTTGTATAAGACTTACGCCCAAGGTTAGAGGTTAAGTTTGTATAAGACCTACGCCCAAGGTTAGAGGTTAAGTTTGTATAAGACCTACGCCCAAGGTTAGAGGTTCAGTTTGTATAAGACCTACGCCCAAGGTTAGAGGTTAAGTTTGTATAAGACCTACGCTTAAGGTTAGAGGTTAAGTTTGTGTAAGACTTACGCCCAAGGTTAGAGGTTAAGTTTGTATAAGACCTACGCTTAAGGTTAGAGGTTAAGTTTGTATAAGACCTACGCCCAAGGTTAGAGGTTAAGTTTGTATAAGACTTACGCCCAAGGTTAGAGGTTAAGTTTGTATAAGACTTACGCCCAAGGTTAGAGGTTAAGTTTGTATAAGACCTACGCCCAAGGTTAGAGGTTAAGTTTGTATAAGACTTACGCCCAAGGTTAGAGGTTAAGTTTGTATAAGACTTACGCCCAAGGTTAGAGGTTAAGTTTGTATAAGACTTACGCCCAAGGTTAGAGGTTAAGTTTGTATAAGACTTACGCCCAAGGTTAGAGGTTAAGTTTGTATAAGACCTACGCTTAAGGTTAGAGGTTAAGTTTGTATAAGACTTACGCCCAAGGTTAGAGGTTAAGTTTGTATAAGACCTACGCCCAAGGTTAGAGGTTCAGTTTGTATAAGACCTACGCCCAAGGTTAGAGGTTAAGTTTGTATAAGACCTACGCTTAAGGTTAGAGGTTAAGTTTGTGTAAGACTTACGCCCAAGGTTAGAGGTTAAGTTTGTATAAGACCTACGCTTAAGGTTAGAGGTTAAGTTTGTATAAGACCTACGCCCAAGGTTAGAGGTTAAGTTTGTATAAGACTTACGCCCAAGGTTAGAGGTTAAGTTTGTATAAGACTTACGCCCAAGGTTAGAGGTTAAGTTTGTATAAGACCTACGCCCAAGGTTAGAGGTTAAGTTTGTATAAGACTTACGCCCAAGGTTAGAGGTTCAGTGTTTCTTCCAGACTTTTTTCTCCGGGGGGGCACTTGAAATCTTCGGGGGGGCGGTAAACTTTCTTCGGGGGGGCGGACACTGTTAAAAGTATATATTATCTATATAAATTATATAAATTTCATTTCGTTCGGGGGGGCGGTAAAAATTTTTCGGGGGGGCGAAGCCCCCCCGAAGAGATGCCTGGAAGAAACTCTGTAGAGGTTAAGTTTGTATAAGACTTACGCCCAAGGTTAGAGGTTAAGTTTGTATAAGACTTACGCCCAAGGTTAGAGGTTAAGTTTGTATAAGACTTACGCCCAAGGTTAGAGGTTAAGTTTGTATAAGACCTACGCTTAAGGTTAGAGGTTAAGTTTGTATAAGACCTACGCCCAAGGTTAGAGGTTAAGTTTGTATAAGACTTACGCCCAAGGTTAGAGGTTAAGTTTGTATAAGACCTACGCCCAAGGTTAGAGGTTCAGTTTGTATAAGACCTACGCCCAAGGTTAGAGGTTAAGTTTGTATAAGACCTACGCTTAAGGTTAGAGGTTAAGTTTGTGTAAGACTTACGCCCAAGGTTAGAGGTTAAGTTTGTATAAGACCTACGCTTAAGGTTAGAGGTTAAGTTTGTATAAGACCTACGCCCAAGGTTAGAGGTTAAGTTTGTATAAGACTTACGCCCAAGGTTAGAGGTTAAGTTTGTATAAGACTTACGCCCAAGGTTAGAGGTTAAGTTTGTATAAGACCTACGCTTAAGGTTAGAGGTTAAGTTTGTATAAGACTTACGCCCAAGGTTAGAGGTTAAGTTTGTATAAGACCTACGCTTAAGGTTAGAGGTTAAGTTTGTATAAGACCTACGCTTAAGGTTAGAGGTTAAGTTTGTATAAGACTTAAGCCCAAGATTAGAGGTTAAGTTTGTATAAGACCTACGCCCAAGGTTAGAGGTTAAGTTTGTATAAGACTTACACCCAAGGGTTAGTTTAAGATTAAACATTTTTGTAAGATTCTACCCAGTTACAAGTGTGGTGGTGTCATGTTTTAACATTATTGCTCTCCTAAGTATAGAAGATAAACTAGATTATAAATAATTCTTTTCACTACCAGTAAGCTATTGGAGCCGTTTTTTCTGCAGACCAAAAAATGCCATTTAAGTTTTAAAAGCATTGTTAAAAAAAAAGTTTGACATGCTTACAACCAAATTAGAAAATGAACTTTGAAAGATCAGTGTTATGCTGATTCAGGACTAACTTTTCAACCATCTAACTTTTGATTCAGGGGATCCAATGGAGAAATAACATTCCATGCAGTATCTGACGCGTCCACAGCCCACATCCAAAAACTTGTGAGCAATCAGAATTCAAAAAAAAAGAAATCCAGAGGAAGGGGGGGCTACTCCTTTAGAGGGAGAACATCTTATGGAAGGGTAAGTTCTTGATGATGGCCACAGTGGCAGGTATGATTTGAGTTGCCCGCTTTATTCATTTGCTGGTGGCTGGTTACCTGTGACCTGAGTGGATGGTGAGATGATTCTAGTCTCCTAAAGTTTTTGTCATGTGTTTAACCCTTTACAGTGATACACCATCCAGAAAAAAATTTCAATACATTTTTATATATCCTGCTGGGGTATCCATGGTTTGAGTGGCCCATTGGACCTACCACATTGAGTGTAGTTGATGTTCTGTTGTGGATAGTGGTCAAATACTGTCCAGCATGTTGCTTATCTGCTTGCTACTTTATTCCAGGAACCATCTGGTTACACAAACATTAAGCATGTGGGCGTCCATCCTCTAAAATTGTTTGCCTTGTTTCCAATGTGTTGTATTGTGACAGGGGTCTCATTTGTTTGCTATCTGTATCTTGTTTTGTTTTTACTATTTAGCGCTACATGTTTTTTCAGAGCTATGCAACTAAACCGGCGAAACCTCTGTACCCATATAGAGGACGAGGAGGGAGAAGAATCCCTTACAGCTTTACTATCCCTGGGAGAAGTGGGGATGCCAGAAAACACTTCGACTCACCTCATCATTCTCACCACACATTGAACACTCACACAGGAATGTACACACACAACGCCTCTCACACACACACTGCCTTTCACACACATGCTAGCGCTCACACACACAGTGGTAGCCACACACATGCTGGTGCACATTCACACGTTGGTACACATTCACACGTTGGTACACATTCACACGCTGGTACACATTCACACGTTGGTACACACAGAGGACTACACACTAACTCAACCTATGACCCAGCATGTGGTGAAGATAGACTGACGGACTTCCCAAAAAGTAAACAAGAACCTAGAAGTGTCAGCTTGATCAACAGTGATGATGATTCAGGTTCCAGACCTTTATCCAGTCCAATGCTAAATTTAAAAATTGATGTCAGTGCAAGTGGTGACCGCCACATCTCTGCAAACAACACAGAAATAACTTCTCCCAAGCCTGATCTCAGAACAGTATTGAATGAGAAACATAACCAGAAGAGAAATGACAAAGTAGGCAACATTTTCATTTGTAATGTTATATTGCATGCGGTGCTCGTTTAGACTAGGTGTTCCCTGGGTCAGATGGAGTAGAGTTCATGTTCTTTTATTTTATAATTCCCTGGGTCAGATGGAGTAGAGTTCATATGTTCTTTTATTTTATAAAGAACTGTGGTCAGCTTTATGCCGAGCCACAATTATTTTTACTAAACTAGAAGCAGGTACCTATCAGATCTGAATGAACTCAGTGATACCCTGCCAGGTACCGATTAGAGCTGGGTGGACTCAAGACTTGTGGAACTTGAGACTTCCATATCAGTGACAGTGTGCTTGATCATGCTGTCCCAATGTGTATTATGAAGGCAGGATTAAAAATATTGTTTAAGCAGCAACAACATCCAAGTCTAAAAGCACTTTAATGAGTACAAAAAAACTTCCTTCTAAGATAGACCTGAGGGACTACCTCAATGAAAAACGCAGCAAACAGAGTCAGGTATATTATTGCCAGTTTTGTTACAACAGTTTCCAGTTGCGCTTTATCTAAAAACATTTATTATCTTATCTCCCATTAACTTCACCAAATACAGATTAAAACAAGTTGATACACATTTAGCCCATAGTGATTTAGTTTGCCCTACATTTCATTTTAATTGATTTATTAGCAAAAAATAATACATAGAATTTGTAAAGCTTTTTATGTAATGGTTATTTACTTGTTCTACTCTGTAACATGTTTTTCTAATATTGTTTCAATACTTTCGTATTTAGTTGCTTTTTGAACTTTTGATATGTTCATCTTAAAATTCCTTTTTTGCATTTTGTTCTTATTTTGTGTTCTTGGCATGTTTCTAACATAAAGTACAAGTAAGACCAGGCTAATTAATTAGATTGTTATTTTAAATGGAGCACATAAGGTTGTAGGATTACCATTTCTGCAACATAGCTGATGACAGGTTGTATTGACAATTCCTCTCCCTTGGGAACATCAGCTGTATGGGGAGAAGGGGCCTGATGCTTGGGCATCAGGCTCTTCTTAACTTTGGGCCCAGGTTTTGCACCTTGCTTTCCAAGGTGGAATCATTCAATCTTCTGACTATTGAGTCTTTTATTTAATTTTTTAAAGACTCAACACAGAAACCTAGTCATTCATAAATGGTGTAAAAGACCTGGAGGCTGAACTGATGTGCAGGTTAGATAGAACTCAACAGGGCTAGAGTGCTGGAGGTACTCTGGTGAAATGATTTTCTCTTTGTGACATTGTGTTGGGTGAATACATTTAGATTGTTGCTTGATGTTTTTAAAATCACTTGCACATCTTTTACATGTATTTTACAGTTGTTAGTTGTTGTAACCTTCCGCTAGTGGTAACTGGGGGCCACTTGATAGCTTCAGCCTAAGATGTCACCAAGTTTTCTGGAGACAGAAATATACATTTTAAAAATGTTACTTTTTTACTTTGTAAAAAAAATTTGATTAAATATTTTTTTCAAAACTTTCAGAGTGAAGTTAAATCATTTATTAAAAGTAGTTTGCCACCCAGGTTTCAGAGGAAGCAACAGAAAGAAAATGTTGTCCAACCAGGTAGGGCTATCTACCATTGCAACTCACAACCATCATGTGACGTATCTAGATGACTGGAGATTCATGTCTCATGTAGCAGTATTACCTGGTGTCTGTCTGGTACCTGTTGCACCTGCCCAGTTTATGTTGTACATCTTTTACCTGTTTTGTACCTACTGTACATCTCTCTGTTACCTATTGTGCACCACCATGTTACCTGGTATCCACCTGTTACCTATTGTGCACCACTATGTCACCAGGCATCCACCTGTTTTGTAACTGGTGTTTTCTTAGTCAAAATGCAGTCAGCTAATTTAAGTCTCAAAGAGATGTTTTTATTTAATCAAAAACATAGACTTGATCAACTCCAGAATGTCATAACTATGTTTTAATTAAACCAACTCTCCAACACCAGAAGACAAAAAACTGGCAGATATGCAGATGAAAGTAGCTGAAAGGATCCCAGGGTACACTGAAGAAACTGGTAAGGTGAGACAAGCATTCAGCTTGTCACCATGTAGTTAGCTGACCAGTGAACTGCATTTTAAATTTATAAACATTTAGTTAGCTGACCAGTGAACAGCATTTTAAATTTATAAACATTTAGCTGACCAGAGAACAGCATTTTAAATTTATAAACATTTAGTTAGCTGACCAGTGTACAGCATTTTAAATTTCTAAACATTAATTAGCTGACCAGTGAACAGCATTTTTTAATTTATAAACATTTAGTTAGCTGACCAGTGAACAGCATTTTACACAGTTAGCTGACCAGTGAACAGCATTTTAAATTTATAAACATTTAGTTGACCAGTTGACATAAGTATGACATTTTTTACTTTGCCTCCAGTCCTACACACAATTGAACAAAACTGGCAGCCCCCAAAAGATGGGGCGCTGTATCTGCAGACTTACAATGCCTACTTTGAGAGCAGAGGTGAAAGGGTGCCTGATATAGATATTGTACCAGGGAAATACAATAAGGAGAAAGGTTTTTATGGTCGGCTCCGCTACAAAGAAAAAATGTATTACCCCTTAGGTAAGAAATACCTATCTGATGGCATTAAATGTAGGTAGTATATTGCATAACAACACAGAAAATAACTGAAATAATTTTTTTGTGTAGAAATATTGAGGACTGAACAAGAGGCTCGATTCAGTGCAGCTAGGCTCTTTTGTGTCCAGAACAATATACCATGTAAGTTAACATTCTGTCAACAAAAATATTATCTTTCAACCTATATCATGGGGGTGATCATTCATTTGAGTTTCTCCCTTGTTACTATGTCTTGTCTTTTTAAAATGCCTCATCTACTTAGCATGTTATAAGAACAAAAGATATGTATCAATCTGTCCCATATATTACTAGTTATGGGCCTTTAAAAGTTCTGATAGTTTTGGTCTTTACTGTTCTGGAACTTGTAGGGTGTCAGTGGTGTAACATCACACCTGTCATCTACTTGATGTTACATGAAAAGTAAGGAATGAGTGTTATAGTATGTTCCATCATGCGTTGGTTGATTTGTGACCTACTGTTTTAGTGCTGTCGGAGGAGAGGAAAACAACAGCTCCCACCCCTTCTGTACAGGTGACCAGCAGCCAGCTCTACACCCCTCTCAAACCACAACCCAACCTGACTACCCCGCAACCCAGTCCAGCTGTACCAAGCAACCCGTCAACCCCACAACCTCACCACACTGCACCATCCAACCCATCAACCCCTTTGTCCAGCCACGCTACACCAGCCACCACACAGAACTATGCACAGTGTCCCATGGAGACAATAGAGAAACTCTACAAGGTTTGGACACTTCTGAGATTTTGTTTCTTCATTAGTACATTTTTTATCAGTTTTACCCAACCTAATTAAAATTATAACCTTGCTAAGCCTGTGGAAAGTAAAATCTATAACCTATATTTTTACACTCTGAAAGTTAAAAAGTATAATTAATAATGCTGTAGTGAAACAAAAACAAGTTAAATGTGTTTTGATCTGTGCTACACAGATGATGCCAGAAGCAGGTCTGTTTGTCAAGATGGTTAAATCCTTGTACGAGGACAAGTACCATGAGCCTTTAGAGTGTGATCCTCTTCTGGTTTTCACAAATTGGAACAATTATTTTACTGTGGATGCTGCGTAAGTAACCTGAGACTTAAGGTGTTTTTCACTTCTGTGTTCAAGAATAACTAGATTAGTATGGTATCTCAAGTCAGGATTCACTGTAGAGTTGTGTTGGACATGTAAAGACAAGATTCACTGTAGAGTTGTGTTGGACATGTAAAGACAAGATTCACTGTAGAGTTGTGTTGGACATGTAAAGACAAGATTCACTGTAGAGTAGTGTTGGACATGTAAAGACAAGATTCACTGTAGAGTAGTGTTGGACATGTAAAGACAAGATTCACTGTAGAGTAGTGTTGGACATGTAAAGACAAGATTCACTGTAGAGTTGTGTTGGACATGTAAAGACAAGATTCACTGTAGAGTTGTGTTGGACATGTAAAGACAAGATTCACTGTAGAGTAGTGTTGGACATGTAAAGACAAGATTCACTGTAGAGTAGTGTTGGACATGTAAAGACAAGATTCACTGTAGAGTAGTGTTGGACATGTAAAGACAAGATTCACTGTAGAGTTGTGTTGGACATGTAAAGACAAGATTCACTGTAGAGTTGTGTTGGACATGTAAAGACAAGATTCACTGTAGAGTTGTGTTGGACATGTAAAGACAAGATTCACTGTAGAGTTGTGTTGGACATGTAAAGACAAGATTCACTGTAGAGTTGTGTTGGACATGTAAAGACAAGATTCACTGTAGAGTTGTGTTGGACATGTAAAGACAAGATTCACTGTAGAGTAGTGTTGGAAAGAAATTTGCCAAACTGTATGACTTGTATAGAAATTTGACATTGTGTTAACATCTCTCTACTAGAATACAGAACCGCTACATCGTGTACCCAGTCAAAAATGCTTTCAGTAATCAGGCTCAGTCTCCTTCACTTCAGCTGGAGGGAAAAGCTAAAACACAATGTATAGTTCATCATATGCCTGCTGTTGGGTGAGTCCATTTAACTTGCTGGATTACTTCATTCTGTTATTTAAATTGTTGAGCTAGTCCATTTTACATGGTGGGCTAATTTTTTTTTCTTATTTGGGCTAGTCGTTTTTACTTGGTGTTAATTTTTTATGATTGGGCTAGTCCATTTTGCTTGGAGGGCTAATCTATTTACTTTTTGGGCTAGTCCATTTTGCTTGGAGGGCAAATCTATTTAATTTTCAGGCTAGTCCATTTTGCTTGCAGCACAATTGATGTTGTGCCAGGATGTTATGTTGTAAGTGCTACAATGTTTGCCTTCTGCCAGTCTGGCTCTATAAGATGCATGTAGTATCCCCTCCCCAAACCCTGGTAGTTTTGTATTTGAGCTTTTCTGTGTTTATTGAAGTTGGTTATTTGTTTCAGGTCTTCCCTTGAAGTGATTTTTAGCTTTGCCTATTCAGCTGTTGAAATCTACCTGCGCAAGTCTCAGATAGAGAACTTAGTTTATGAAATTGAAGAAAGTCTAAATAGTTTCTGTCCAGTAAGTTTTTTAGCGCAATTTCCATTCTGGAGAATTGCGTTTATTAACTCGTCATTTCTGGGAATGGATGGATGGATGAATGAATGTATGGATGAATGTGTGTCCGGGCTTTAAGTCGTATCTCCTCCTCAACGAAGCAATATCGATGACTAGTTCCAAAAGCAATTATGTTAAGCAAGTTACGAGAATGAGCATAGGCCATAAAAATTCCGGGTTTCTTTCATGTATTTCCCGGAAAAGCCAAAAAACCTTGAAAAAAAATCAGTTTTTGGCCCATATCTCGGCAACCAGGCCACTTAGCGACTTGAAACATGTACCAATCGATTTCTGTCATAATTTAGAACAATATTGCCGAAGAAAGTTTTCAAAAATATCCTCTCGTTCGGTCACAAATTTTAAAATTACATAAACACCTACAAACCGATCGTTCTTCTAGCTTGAACGCACCCCAACATTATACGTCAGAGCTATTTTTAGATAACATAAGGAAATTGCGCACAAATGTCACTAGACTTTTTTAATTAACTTGTTTAATCAAAGTTTGTAACATTAAGTTTTTAAAAGAATCAGATTTTAATGCTATGAATTTGTATCTGTTATTAGATTTTTTAAAAACAAAGATGGCATAAACACCTGCTCCAGTGTAGGTCAAGTGTGTTCATCAGATTGTTTCTATTTTTAGACGACACAACCACCAGCTTTATCAACTCTGACAGCTGGTTCTCTTGTGGCAGCATTCTATGGGGAGGGCTGGTACAGGGCTAGTGTCAAGGTCACAGGACCACAGGACCAGGCAAGTATGAGGGGATAGGGGTCTGTTCTCTTGTGGCAGCATTCTATGGGGAGGGCTGGTACAGGGCGAGTGTCAAGGTCACAGGGCGAGTGTCAAGGTCACAGGACCAGGCAAGTATGAGGGGATAGGAGTCTTGTAAACACACTGGGATAGGAGTCTTGTAAACCCACTGGGATAGGAGCCTTGTAAACCCACTGGGATAGGAGTCTTGGAAACCCACTAGGATAGGAGTCTTGTAAACCCACTAGGATAGGAGTCTTGTAAACCCACTGGGATAGGAGTCTTGTAAACCCACTGGGATAGGAGTCTTGTAAACCCACTAGGATAGGAGTCTTGTAAACCCACTGACCATTCTTCCTTTAGAATTGCTTGTGTATAAATCTAATATTAATCCATTGTTGGTTTATCCTGTAGGTTACTGTCTACTTTGTGGACTATGGCAACAGTGAAACCGTTGAGCTGAAAGACCTGAGACCTCTGCCAGACGCTGACCTCCCTCGTAGTACCCCAGCTCTGGCCTTCAGGTGTGCATGTAGGAAGACACAGGTAATGGAGTTAACAAGAGTTTGTAATGGTCTGTGTTAAAGTTAACAAAAGTTTGTAATGGTCTGTGTTAAAGTTAACAAAAGTTTGTAATGGTCTGTGTTAAAGTTAACAAAAGTTTGTAAGGGTCTGTGTTAAAGTTAACAAAAGTTTGTAATGGTGTGTGTTAAAGTTAACAAGTTAGTAATGGTCTGTGTTAAAGTTAACAAAAGTTAGTAATGGTCTGTGTTAAAGTTAACAAAAGTTTGTAATGGTCTGTGTTAAAGTTAACAAAAGTTTGTAATGGTCTGTGTTAAAGTTAACAAAAGTTTGTAATGGTCTGTGTTAAAGTTAACAAAAGTTTGTAATGGTCTGTGTTAAAGTTAACAAGTTTGTAATGGTCTGTGTTAAAGTTAACAAAAGTTTGTAATGGTCTGCGTTAAAGTTAACAAAAGTTTGTAATGGTCTGTGTTAAAGTTAACAAAAGTTTGTAATGGTCTGTGTTAAAGTTAACAAAAGTTTGTAATGGTCTGTGTTAAAGTTAACAAAAGTTTGTAATGGTCTGTGTTAAAGTTAACAAAAGTTTGTAATGGTCTGTGTTAAAGTTAACAAAAGTTTGTAATGGTCAGTGTTAAAGTTAACAAAAGTTTGTAATGGTCTGTGTTAAAGTTAACAAAAGTTTGTAATGGTCTGTGTTAAAGTTAACAAGTTTGTAATGGTCTGTGTTAAAGTTAACAAAAGTTTGTAATGGTCTGTGTTAAAGTTAACAAAAGTTTGTAATGGTCTGTGTTAAAGTTAACAAAAGTTTGTAAGGGTCTGTGTTAAAGTTAACAAAAGTTTGTAATGGTCTGTGTTAAAGTTAACAAAAGTTTGTAATGGTCTGTGTTAAAGTTAACAAAAGTTTGTAATGGTCTGTGTTAAAGTTAACAAAAGTTTGTAATGGTCTGTGTTAAAGTTAACAAAAGTTTGTAAGGGTCTGTGTTAAAGTTAACAAAAGTTTGTAATGGTATGTGTTAAAGTTAACGAAAGTTTATAATGGTCTGTGTTAAAGTTAACAAAAGTTTGTAATGGTCTGTGTTAAAGTTAACAAAAGTTTGTAATGGTCTGTGTTAAAGTTAACAAAAGTTTGTAATGGTCTGTGTTAAAGTTAACAAAAGTTTGTAATGGTCTGTGTTAAAGTTAACAAAAGTTTGTAATGGTCTGTGTTAAAGTTAACAAAAGTTTGTAATGGTCTGTGTTAAAGTTAACAAAAGTTTGTAATGGTGTGTTACCTTAAGACTTGATGTCCCACAATGAATGAAGCACAAGCTTTGGTAATAATAGTAAAGGGGTGGGAGTGGAGCGGGTATTAGATTGCAAGAAAGTTATTTAGCAAAGATGTTTGGCAGTGTTGTTTAAAGGTGTTGCTTGTCTTCTCTCAGGATGGTGAGTGGATTGAAGATGTGGTTTCAGTGCTAGACAACATCACACAGCAACATACTGTTCTTAAAGCTTCCATCATAGATCACAGTGGTGAGTTCTTGAAACAATCTCTCATTATTACACTGATGGATTTTATGTTTTGTCATTGATGGTTGTTGTTAGCTTGTGTCTGACCGTACCAGGTTTTATCTGTTGCAGGTGATTGTTGTGTTATTGACTTATTCACACCTGAAGGCTCATTAGTGAATTCCATGTTGATGAAACCACCAGCTTCAGTGAAAACAAAGAAAGAGACAGACAGTAAACTAACACCCAGTTGTATAGATGAGAGCAGTGCTAAGTCAGGCATCCAGCAGCTAAATGGTGGCCAATATGAGGTACAACAGCCTACCACTTTAGTAGTACAACAGCCAACCACAATGGTAGCACAACAGCCAACCACAATGGTAGCACAACAGCCAACCTTGAAAACAGCACAGCAACAACCAACTGCAACAACAGCACAGCAACAACCAACCATGGCAGCAACGTCTCACCATAACAGAGGTCCCAGCATTGACTCAGCCATAACCACAGTGCCACTATCTAAAGAAGTGATAGCGTCTCAGGTGCCGACTTCAACACCTGCCGCAGGATTATCACAGCCTACTCCCATGCAACCCACTGTGACTCCATCACGACCCTTGGTGACCCCTATGCAAACCCCTGTAACTCCTACACAATCTCCAGTGACTCCTACTCAACCCTCAATGAGCCGTTTGTTTGCAGAGGATCCACGTAAGTCTCAACACTGCTACATCTTTCTCACTGTAAGTCTCAACATTGTAAACTGCTACATCTTTCTCACTGCTTTGCTTGACCCACCAACCAACCCTTTCAGATATTTCTGCTAAGGAAACTAATAAAGCTACAGAAGTTGGTGTCTAAATACCCCATGTCAAATGTTTTCATTTATTTTCAACCCAGTATTTTAAATTTTTATATATTTTTTTAAGTAAAAGGCAGCTCTCATATTTATATAAAATGTAGCTAACTGATGTTTATATAAAAGGTAGCTCATGTTTATATAAAAGGTAGCTCATGTTTATATAAAAGGCAGCTCTCATGTTTATATAAAAGGTAGCTCTCATGTTTATATAAAAGGTAGCTCATGTTTATATAAAAGGCAGCTCTCATGTTTATATAAAAGGCAGCTCTCATGTTTATATAAAAGGCAGCTCTCATATTTATATAAAAGGTAGCTCTCATGTTTATATAAAAGGTAGCTCATGTTTATATAAAAGGCAGCTCTCATGTTTATATAAAAGGTAGCTCATGTTTATATAAAAGGTAGCTCATGTTTATATAAAAGGTAGCTCATGTTTATATAAAAGGCAGCTCTCATGTTTATATAAAAGGCAGCTCTCATGTTTATATAAAAGGTAGCTCATGTTTATATAAAAGGCAGCTCTCATGTTTATATAAAAGGTAGCTCATGTTTATATAACAGGTAGCTAACTAATGTTTATATAAAAGGTAGCTAACTGATGTTTAGATGAACTAATGTTTATTTTCCAGCGCCCCTTGTTTTACCAGAGGATGATGAATTTTCTGTGTATGTGTGCAAGGTTGTGTCAGAATGTTCAGTCATCATCAGGATAGTGGATGAAAACTACTCTGTAAGTAGCTACATTTCTCGCCAATTTTATTTGCTCAAGTTTTTAAAGATCTCATTATCTGAACTCAAGTTGGTCTTGATGTTGTCCCATTGTACAGGACAAACTTGATGGGCTGGAGGAGAAGATTGGCAGGAAGTTTAACCAGTGGCCTCAACCCAAGGAACTGAAGAAGACAAATATTTATGCAGCTGTTTTCATGCCTGATGATGATGAGGATTTTGAAGAGGATGGGGATGATGACCCCAATGAGTATCATAGGGTGCGCTTCATCAAAGAGGAAGTAAGTTTAGATCTAATCTCTGAACAGAAAAATATTAATATCTAACACTAACCCATGAAAGAAGTGATATCTTGATTTAGAATGACAAATAGGCTTGTATGTAACCTAAACTTGACCAATTCCAGAATGCTAAGAATGACAAATACGCTTGTATGTGACCCAATACGCTTGTATGTGACCTAAACTTGACCAATCCCCGAATGCTAAGAATGACAAATACACTTGTATGTGACCCAATACGCTTGTATGTGACCCAATACGCTTGTATGTGACCCAAACTTGACCAATACCAGAATGCTAAGATTGACAAATACGCTTGTATGTGACCCAAACTTGACCAATTCCAGAATGCTAAGAATGACAAACACGCTTGTATGTGACCCAATACGCTTGTATGTGACACAAACTTGACCAATTCCAGAATGCTAAGAATGACAAATACGCTTGTATGTGACCCAAACTTGACCAATTCCAGAATGCTAAGAATGACAAATACGCTTGTATGTGACCCAAACTTGACCAATTCCAGAATGCTAAGAATGACAAATACGCTTGTATGTGACCCAATACGCTTGTATGTGACCCAAACTTGACCAATTCCAGAATGCTAAGAATGACAAACACGTTTGTATGTGACCCAAACTTGACCAATTCCAGAATGCTAAGAATGACAAATACGCTTGTATGTGACCCAATACGCTTGTATGTGACCCAAACTTGACCAATTCCAGAATGCTAAGAATGAGAAATACGCTTGTATGTGACCAAACACGCTTGCATGTGACCCAAACTTGACCAATCCCAGAATGCTAAGAATGACAAATACGCTTGCATGTGACCCAAACTTGACCAATTCCAGAATGCTAAGAATGACAAATACGCTTGTATGTGACCCAATACGCTTGTATGTGACCCAAACTTGACCAATTGCAGAATGGAAAATGCTTGTGTTACCTACCAGACCACGGTGATCATGAAACAATTGACAAGTCAAATTTGAGAGAAATTGATACAAAGCTCAATGTTTCACTCCCTTACCAGGTCAGTAAACTTTGTTTCATTCATTCAAATTTCAGATTTTATTTTGTTAGATTTCATGAGATTTTTGTAGTTCGTATTTTTAGTTGGCCTTTGTTGTGGCAATCAGGCAATAAATGTCATACACATAAGTCTTACAATAATTACACATGTGTTTAAGGGATTGAACATTTTTCCTCCAGGCTGTATTAGCCAAGTTAAGTGGCCTAGAAGATATCCCCTTAAAATACCGCAGCTTTGCCACCAAGATCTTGATCAAGATGCTCATCACAGACTCCATGCCTTTCTACGCTCTCAGGTCTCAGAAGGGCCCGGAGGAGCAACTAAATATTGATGCACTTTTGATCAATCGCGTTAGAAAAGTATGTTCACACTTTGATTATTATACTAGCAGCTCCTTTATTTTATCCTAACTTTCAAAGTAAGGGCTTGCCCTGAAATTTAAAAAATAAATGATTTTTGCTTTTTAAAATAAATTCTCCTTGATTTAAGATTTAAGTTTTTAAAGTAATTTTTGAGTTGTTTATATAGCCAGTACTTTATTAATAAAACCTATTGTAAGATTTGTTGTTGATATAGTCAGTACATTAGTGATAAAACTTGTAGCTATGTTTTGATCTCATCAGATCATCAGCTGCTGTAGTGAAGTGGATCCCAAGAAAGTGGCACAGGTGTATGAAGATATCTATAAAGAACAACTCAGTAACACAGAAGACATTATCAAACACATACCTGGCTATGGATTCTGGGATGAGTGAGTAGATTATTGGCTACTTTTGTGTTCATAGATTATTGGGTGTGAGCATGAGGAAGGTAATAGTTTAGTATTGGTCAATTTGTTCTGCTGTTATAACTGTTCTAGTTAGTGTTGAGGATTAGACATAAGTTTGTAGATAAACAGATGAATGTCATGTGGTTTATTTCAGTTGTCTGGAGATGTTATCTTGTGGCTGTTTATTTCAGTTGTCTGGAGATGTTAGCTTGTGGCTGTTTATTTCAGTTGTCTGGAGATGTTAGCTTGTGGCTGTTTATTTCAGTTGTCTGGAGATGTTAGCTTGTGGCTGTTTATTTCAGTTGTCTGGAGATGTTAGCTTGTGGCTGTTTATTTCAGTTGTCTGGAGATGTTTGCTTGTGGCTGTTTATTTCAGTTGTCTGGAGATGTTAGCTTGTGGCTGTTTATTTCAGTTGTCTGGAGATGTTAGCTTGTGGCTGTTTATTTCAGTTGTCTGGAGATGTTAGCTTGTGGCTGTTTATTTCAGTTGTCTGGAGATGTTAGCTTGTGGCTGTTTATTTCAGTTGTCTGGAGATGTTAGCTTGTGTGTGTTTATTTCAGTTGTCTGGAGATGTTAGCTTGTGGCTGTTTATTTCAGTTGTCTGGAGATGTTAGCTTGTGGCTGTTTATTTCAGTTGTCTGGAGATGTTAGATTGTGGCTGTTTATTTCAGTTGTCTGGAGATGTTAGCTTGTGTGTGTTTATTTCAGTTGTCTGGAGATGTTAGCTTGTGTGTGTTTATTTTAGTTGTCTGGAGATGTTAGCTTGTGTGTGTTTATTTCAGTTGTCTGGAGATGTTAGCTTGTGGCTGTTTATTTCAGTTGTCTGGAGATGTTAGCTTGTGTGTGTTTATTTCAGCTGTCTGGAGATGTTAGCTTGTGGCTGTTTATTTCAGTTGTCTGGAGATGTTAGCTTGTGTGTGTTTATTTCAGTTGTCTGGAGATGTTAGCTTGTGGCTGTTTATTTCAGTTGTCTGGAGATGTTAGCTTGTGGCTGTTTATTTCAGTTGTCTGGAGATGTTAGCTTGTGGCTGTTTATTTCAGTTGTCTGGAGATGTTAGCTTGTGGCTGTTTATTTCAGTTGTCTGGAGATGTTAGCTTGTGGCTGTTTATTTCAGTTGTCTGGAGATGTTAGCTTGTGGCTGTTTATTTCAGTTGTCTGGAGATGTTAGCTTGTGGCTGTTTATTTCAGTTGTCTGGAGATGTTTGCTTGTGGCTGTTTATTTCAGTTGTCTGGAGATGTTAGCTTGTGGCTGTTTATTTCAGTTGTCTGGAGATGTTAGCGTGTGGCTGTTTATTTCAGTTGTCTGGAGATGTTAGCTTGTGGCTGTTTATTTCAGTTGTCTGGAGATGTTAGCTTGTGGCTGTTTATTTCAGTTGTCTGGAGATGTTAGCTTGTGTGTGTTTATTTCAGTTGTCTGGAGATGTTAGCTTGTGGCTGTTTATTTCAGTTGTCTGGAGATGTTAGCTTGTGGCTGTTTATTTCAGTTGTCTGGAGATGTTAGCTTGTGGCTGTTTATTTCAGTTGTCTGGAGATGTTAGCTTGTGTGTGTTTATTTCAGTTGTCTGGAGATGTTAGCTTGTGTGTGTTTATTTTAGTTGTCTGGAGATGTTAGCTTGTGTGTGTTTATTTCAGTTGTCTGGAGATGTTAGCTTGTGGCTGTTTATTTCAGTTGTCTGGAGATGTTAGCTTGTGTGTGTTTATTTCAGCTGTCTGGAGATGTTAGCTTGTGGCTGTTTATTTCAGTTGTCTGGAGATGTTAGCTTGTGGCTGTTTATTTCAGTTGTCTGGAGATGTTAGCTTGTGTGTGTTTATTTCAGTTGTCTGGAGATGTTAGCTTGTGGCTGTTTATTTCAGTTGTCTGGAGATGTTAGCTTGTGGCTGTTTATTTCAGTTGTCTGGAGATGTTAGCTTGTGGCTGTTTATTTCAGTTGTCTGGAGATGTTAGCTTGTGGCTGTTTATTTCAGTTGTCTGGAGATGTTAGATTGTGGCTGTTTATTTCAGTTGTCTGGAGATGTTAGCTTGTGGCTGTTTATTTCAGTTGTCTGGAGATGTTAGCTTGTGGCTGTTTATTTCAGTTGTCTGGAGATGTTAGCTTGTGTGTGTTTATTTCAGCTGTCTGGAGATGTTAGCTTGTGGCTGTTTATTTCAGTTGTCTGGAGATGTTAGCTTGTGGCTGTTTATTTCAGTTGTCTGGAGATGTTAGCTTGTGGCTGTTTATTTCAGTTGTCTGGAGATGTTAGCTTGTGTGTGTTTATTTCAGCTGTCTGGAGATGTTAGCTTGTGGCTGTTTATTTCAGCTGTCTGGAGATGTTAGCTTGTGGCTGTTTATTTCAGTTGTCTGGAGATGTTAGCTTGTGGCTGTTTATTTCAGTTGTCTGGAGATGTTAGCTTGTGGCTGTTTATTTCAGTTGTCTGGAGATGTTAGCTTGTGGCTGTTTATTTCAGTTGTCTGGAGATGTTAGCTTGTGGCTGTTTATTTCAGCTGTCTGGAGATGTTAGCTTGTGGCTGTTTATTTCAGTTGTCTGGAGATGTTAGCTTGTGGCTGTTTATTTCAGTTGTCTGGAGATGTTAGCTTGTGGCTGTTTATTTCAGTTGTCTGGAGATGTTAGCTTGTGGCTGTTTATTTCAGTTGTCTGGAGATTTATCTGATTGACACGGAGCAAGAGAACGAGGAAGTGAACATCAACACGGAGGTCCTAGAAGCCCTGGAGGACCTGGCCAGTGGCAAGGATGTCAGGGATGTTCTAGAGGAACTCTTTGGCTCTGAGGCCAGCTCCCTGACTGGCTCGGAGAAGAACCAGCTGATGAGCAGTGAGTACAGCACCGATGTGGACGAGGGTGAGCTGAGTGCGACCCTCTCCAGGCTGACCAGTGGCCCAGACACACAGGAACGTCAGGATAGGGTCCAGAGCTATGTGACACAGTCAGCCTCTAAAGCCTTGTACACCTGGGGCACAACACCTGTAGGCACACCTGACCCAGCCACACCTGTAGGCACACCTGGGCCAGCCACACCTGTAGGCACACCTGGCCCGTCCACACCCTCCCTGTCTGATAAGTTTCCTGTCTACTGGAAGTACGAGGTGTTCAAGTCCACACCTGTCTACATCATGCATGTGGAGAGCCCATCTAACTTTGTGGTCAGTGGCTTTTGATACCTATAGACTGATACATTTAGAACAGAAAACAAAATATGTTACTCTTTTTGTTGTAAACCAACTGTAATATTGAGTGTGTGTCCTTGTAACTGTAACATTATGTCCTGATGTGTGTCCTTGTAAGTGTAACATTATGTCCTGATGTGTGTCCTTGTAACTGTAACATTATGTCCTGATGTGTGTCCTTGTAACTGTAACATTATGTCCTGATGTGTGTCCTTGTAACTGTAACATTATGTCCTGATGTGTGTCCTTGTAACTGTAACATTATGTCCTGATGTGTGTCCTTGTAAGTGTAACATTATGTCCTGATGTGTGTCCTTGTAAGTGTAACATTATGTCCTGATGTGTGTCCTTGTAAGTGTAACATTATGTCCTGATGTGTGTCCTTGTAAGTGTAACATGTCCTGATGTGTGTCCTTGTAAGTGTAACATTATGTCCTGATGTGTGTCCTTGTAAGTGTAACATTATGTCCTGATGTGTGTCCTTGTAAGTGTAACATTATGTCCTGATGTGTGTCCTTGTAAGTGTAACATGTCCTGATGTGTGTCCTTGTAAGTGTAACATTATGTCCTGATGTGTGTCCTTGTAAGTGTAACATTATGTCCTGATGTGTGTCCTTGTAACTGTAACATTATGTCCTGATGTGTGTCCTTGTAAGTGTAACATGTCCTGATGTGTGTCCTTGTAAGTGTAACATTATGTCCTGATGTGTGTCCTTGTAAGTGTAACATTATGTCCTGATGTGTGTCCTTGTAAGTGTAACATTATGTCCTGATGTGTGTCCTTGTAAGTGTAACATGTCCTGATGTGTGTCCTTGTAAGTGTAACATGTCCTGATGTGTGTCCTTGTAAGTGTAACATGTCCTGATGTGTGTCCTTGTAAGTGTAACATGTCCTGATGTGTGTCCTTGTAAGTGTAACATTATGTCCTGATGTGTGTCCTTGTAAGTGTAACATGTCCTGATGTGTGTCCTTGTAAGTGTAACATGTCCTGATGTGTGTCCTTGTAAGTGTAACATGTCCTGATGTGTGTCCTTGTAAGTGTAACATGTCCTGATGTGTGTCCTTGTAAGTGTAACATTATGTCCTGATGTGTGTCCTTGTAAGTGTAACATGTCCTGATGTGTGTCCTTGTAAGTGTAACATGTCCTGATGTGTGTCCTTGTAAGTGTAACATTATGTCCTGATGTGTGTCCTTGTAAGTGTAACATTATGTCCTGATGTGTGTCCTTGTAAGTGTAACATGTCCTGATGTGTGTCCTTGTTTCAGGCAATCCCAGTGGAAATGTTTGAGAAACTCAACAAACTGGAAGAAGCCTTGACCAAGACATTGACCATTTCTTGTTCTGTAAGTTCTTAACATTAAAAAAAACCTTTTTACATAACTTGGTGCATATTTAGTAGACAGGAGTAGGTCTTATACTAGGCAAGGGTAGGTTAGATGTCCTGTTCTAGACAGCAGTAGGTTAGATGTCCTGTTTTAGACAGCAGTAGGTTAGATGTCCTGTTCTAGGCAAGGGTAGGTTAGATGTCCTGTTGTAGACAGCAGTAAGTCAGATGTCCTGTTTTAGACAGCAGTAGGTTAGATGTCCTGTTTTAGACAGCAGTAGGTTAGATGTCCTGTTTTAGACAGCAGTAGGTTAGATGTCCTGTTCTAGACAGCAGTAGGTTAGATGTCCTGTTCTAGACAGCAGTAGGTTAGATGTCCTGTTTTAGACAGCAGTAGGTTAGATGTCCTGTTCTAGACAGCAGTAGGTTAGATGTCCTGTTCTAGACAGCAGTAAGTCAGATGTCCTGTTTTAGACAGCAGTAGGTTAGATGTCCTGTTCTAGACAGCAGTAGGTTAGATGTCCTGTTGTAGACAGCAGTAAGTCAGATGTCCTGTTTTAGACAGCAGTAGGTTAGATGTCCTGTTTTAGACAGCAGTAGGTTAGATGTCCTGTTTTAGACAGCAGTAAGTCAGATGTCCTGTTCTAGACAGCAGTAGGTTAGATGTCCTGTTCTAGGCAAGGGTAGGTTAGATGTCCTGTTGTAGACAGCAGTAAGTCAGATGTCCTGTTTTAGACAGCAGTAGGTTAGATGTCCTGTTCTAGACAGCAGTAGATTAGATGTCCTGTTCTAGACAGCAGTAGGTTAGATGTCCTGTTGTAGACAGCAGTAGGTTAGATGTCCTGTTTTAGACAGCAGTAGGTCAGATGTCCTGTTTTAGACAGCAGTAAGTCAGATGTCCTGTTCTAGACAGCAGTAGGTTAGATGTCCTGTTCTAGGCAAGGGTAGGTTAGATGTCCTGTTGTAGACAGCAGTAAGTCAGATGTCCTGTTTTAGACAGCAGTAGGTTAGATGTCCTGTTCTAGACAGCAGTAGATTAGATGTCCTGTTCTAGACAGCAGTAGGTTAGATGTCCTGTTGTAGACAGCAGTAGGTTAGATGTCCTGTTTTAGACAGCAGTAGGTCAGATGTCCTGTTTTAGACAGCAGTAGGTTAGATGTCCTGTTCTAGACAGCAGTAGATTAGATGTCCTGTTCTAGACAGCAGTAGGTTAGATGTCCTGTTTTAGACAGCAGTAGGTCAGATGTCCTGTTTTAGACAGCAGTAGGTTAGATGTCCTGTTCTAGACAGCAGTAGATTAGATGTCCTGTTCTAGACAGCAGTAGGTTAGATGTCCTGTTTTAGACAGCAGTAGGTCAGATGTCCTGTTTTAGACAGCAGTAGGTTAGATGTCCTGTTCTAGACAGCAGTAGATTAGATGTCCTGTTGTAGACAGCAGTAGGTTAGATGTCCTGTTTTAGACAGCAGTAGGTCAGATGTCCTGTTTTAGACAGCAGTAGGTTAGATGTCCTGTTGTAGACAGCAGTAGGTTAGATGTCCTGTTTTAGACAGCAGTAGGTTAGATGTCCTGTTTTAGACAGCAGTAGGTCAGATGTCCTGTTTTAGACAGCAGTAGGTCAGATGTCCTGTTTTAGACAGCAGTAGGTCAGATGTCCTGTTTTAGACAGCAGTAGGTTAGATGTCCTGTTCTAGACAGCAGTAGATTAGATGTCCTGTTGTAGACAGCAGTAGGTTAGATGTCCTGTTGTAGACAGCAGTAGGTTAGATGTCCTGTTTTAGACAGCAGTAGGTTAGATGTCCTGTTTTAGACAGCAGTAGGTTAGATGTCCTGTTTTAGACAGCAGTAGGTTAGATGTCCTGTTCTAGACAGCAGTAAGTCAGATGTCCTGTTTTAGACAGCAGTAGGTTAGATGTCCTGTTCTAGACAGCAGTAGGTTAGATGTCCTGTTGTAGACAGCAGTAAGTCAGATGTCCTGTTTTAGACAGCAGTAGGTTAGATGTCCTGTTTTAGACAGCAGTAGGTTAGATGTCCTGTTTTAGACAGCAGTAAGTCAGATGTCCTGTTCTAGACAGCAGTAGGTTAGATGTCCTGTTCTAGGCAAGGGTAGGTTAGATGTCCTGTTGTAGACAGCAGTAAGTCAGATGTCCTGTTTTAGACAGCAGTAGGTTAGATGTCCTGTTCTAGACAGCAGTAGATTAGATGTCCTGTTCTAGACAGCAGTAGGTTAGATGTCCTGTTGTAGACAGCAGTAGGTTAGATGTCCTGTTTTAGACAGCAGTAGGTCAGATGTCCTGTTTTAGACAGCAGTAAGTCAGATGTCCTGTTCTAGACAGCAGTAGGTTAGATGTCCTGTTCTAGGCAAGGGTAGGTTAGATGTCCTGTTGTAGACAGCAGTAAGTCAGATGTCCTGTTTTAGACAGCAGTAGGTTAGATGTCCTGTTCTAGACAGCAGTAGATTAGATGTCCTGTTCTAGACAGCAGTAGGTTAGATGTCCTGTTGTAGACAGCAGTAGGTTAGATGTCCTGTTTTAGACAGCAGTAGGTCAGATGTCCTGTTTTAGACAGCAGTAGGTTAGATGTCCTGTTCTAGACAGCAGTAGATTAGATGTCCTGTTCTAGACAGCAGTAGGTTAGATGTCCTGTTTTAGACAGCAGTAGGTCAGATGTCCTGTTTTAGACAGCAGTAGGTTAGATGTCCTGTTCTAGACAGCAGTAGATTAGATGTCCTGTTCTAGACAGCAGTAGGTTAGATGTCCTGTTTTAGACAGCAGTAGGTCAGATGTCCTGTTTTAGACAGCAGTAGGTTAGATGTCCTGTTCTAGACAGCAGTAGATTAGATGTCCTGTTGTAGACAGCAGTAGGTTAGATGTCCTGTTTTAGACAGCAGTAGGTCAGATGTCCTGTTTTAGACAGCAGTAGGTTAGATGTCCTGTTGTAGACAGCAGTAGGTTAGATGTCCTGTTTTAGACAGCAGTAGGTTAGATGTCCTGTTTTAGACAGCAGTAGGTCAGATGTCCTGTTTTAGACAGCAGTAGGTCAGATGTCCTGTTTTAGACAGCAGTAGGTCAGATGTCCTGTTTTAGACAGCAGTAGGTTAGATGTCCTGTTCTAGACAGCAGTAGATTAGATGTCCTGTTGTAGACAGCAGTAGGTTAGATGTCCTGTTGTAGACAGCAGTAGGTTAGATGTCCTGTTTTAGACAGCAGTAGGTTAGATGTCCTGTTTTAGACAGCAGTAGGTTAGATGTCCTGTTTTAGAAAGTCCTGTTGACTAAAGACTCTGTTTTTTTCTCTCCCTGCCAGAAGCCAACAGCCCTGTCAGAAACAGAAGTGTATGCTGTCAAGTGTGGGGACCTCTACAGCAGGGCCCTCTACATAAAGCCACTTGGGGAAATGGTTGGTTTCTACATTTGTTCTGGGGAAATGGTTGGTTTATTCATTTGTTCTGGGGAAATGGTTGGTTTATTCATTTGTTCTGGGGAAATGGTTGGTTTATTCATTTGTTCTGGGGAAATGGTTGGTTTATTCATTTGTTCTGGGGAAATGGTTGGTTTATTCATTTGTTCTGGGGAAATGGTTGGTTTATTCATTTGTTCTGGGGAAATGGTTGGTTTATTCATTTGTTCTGGGGAAATGGTTGGTTTATTCATTTGTTCTGGGGAAATGGTTGGTTTATTCATTTGTTCTGGGGAAATGGTTGGTTTATTCATTTGTTCTGGGGAAATGGTTGGTTTATTCATTTGTTCTGGGGAAATGGTTGGTTTATTCATTTGTTCTGGGGAAATGGTTGGTTTATTCATTTGTTCTGGGGAAATGGTTGGTTTATTCATTTGTTCTGGGGAAATGGTTGGTTTATTCATTTGTTCTGGGGAAATGGTTGGTTTATTCATTTGTTCTGGGGAAATGGTTGGTTTATTCATTTGTTCTGGGGAAATGTTTTTTTATCTGACTGTATTGGGGGGGATGTTGCCTCTATTGATGCCCTATTCCTACAATATTGGGGGGGGGGAATGTTGCCTCTATTGATGCCCTATTCCTACAATATTGGGGGGGGGGGGATGTTGCCTCTATTGATGCCCTATTCCTACAGTAAGTGATGGGGGGGGGGGGGAATGTTGCCTCTATTGATGCCCTATTCCTACAATATTGGGGGGGGGGGGATGTTGCCTCTATTGATGCCCTATTCCTACAGTAAGTGATGGGGGGGGGGGGGGGGGGGGAATGTTGCCTCTATTGATGCCCTATTCCTACAATATTGGGGGGGGGGGAATGTTGCCTCTATTGATGCCCTATTCCTACAATATTGGGGGGGGGGGGGGGAATGTTGCCTCTCTTGATGCCCTATTCCTACAATATTGGGGGGGGGGGGGAATGTTGCCTCTATTGATGCCCTATTCCTACAATATTGGGGGGGGGGAATGTTGCCTCTATTGATGCCCTATTCCTACAGTAAAAAAAATGTTTGTGTACAGGTGAAGGTGTTTTTACCTGACCATCACCGCTTTGAAGTAGTTGATGAGGTCTATGTTCTACCTGAAGAGTTTTATTCCTTGCCATTCCTGGCCTACAGGATGAGACTTGGAGGTTGGTCATTTGTTCATCAGTGATCCACCAAACTAAGAGGGTGGTACAAATGTTGTCCCATATAAAAGTTGTCCCCCATATAAAAGTTGTGTCCCAAATAAAAGTTGTGCCCCCTGTAAAAGTTGTGTCCCATATAAAAGTTGTGTCCCATGTAAAAGTTGTGTCCCATATAAAAGTTGTGTCCCATATAAAAGTTGTGTCCCATATAAAAGTTGTGCCTCATGTAAAAGTTGTGTCCCTTGTCCAATATAAAAGTTGTGTCCCATATAAAAGTTGTGTCCCATGTAAAAGTTGTGTCCCATATAAAAGTTGTGCCTCATGTAAAAGTTGTGTCCCTTGTCCCATATTAAAGTTGTACCCCATATAAATGTTGTGTCCCATATAAAAGTTGTGTCCCATGTAAAAGTTGTGCCCCCTGTAAAAGTTGTGTCCCTTGTCCCATATAAAAGTTGTGCCTCATGTAAAAGTTGTGTCCCTTGTCCCATATTAAAGTTGTACCCCATATAAATGTTGTGTCCCATATAAAAGTTGTGTCCCATGTAAAAGTTGTGCCCCCTGTAAAAGCTGTGTCCCTTGTCCCATATAAAAGTTGTGCCTCATGTAAAAGTTGTGTCCCTTGTCCCATATTAATGTTGTACCCCATATAAATGTTGTGTCCCATATAAAAGTTGTGTCCCATATAAAAGTTGTGTCCCATATAAAAGTTGTGCCCCATATAAAAGTTGTCCCCCTTATAAAAGTTGTGCCCCATATAAAAGTTGTGCCCCATGTAAACTTTGTGCCCCATGTTGCAGGTGTCAGCCCCCAGGAGAACCTGTGGAGTGAGGAGAGCAAGACGTGGTTTGTGGAGTCTGTGGCCAGGAAGTCCCTGTATGCCATCATCCTAGGTGAGGACAGGACCACCAGCGCTGGCGTGGTGCCCAGCTCTCTGGTGGTGGAGCTGATAGACACCAGTGGGGATGACGACGTCATCGTTGCTGAACACATGATACAAGTGGGCATGGCTGACCTGGAGGCTGTCCGTGGATAGGGCCGCACCTCCCCCACCCCAGTTGTCTTTCATTGATGCCAGTAGCTGCGTTCTGTGATCCAAGTTGGGCTCAAAGTACTTGTGATTCTAGTGGAGGGTTACAAATATTTCCTTGACATTTCTCTATACCATTTTTATACCTTAGAGGTGGTATTTTGTAGTGACAATATTTTATTCTGGATTTCTTTTTGCAAAACATAGAGACAATGGCAGTCAGTTGGCTGCCAGTTGTAGCCTTATATTGATAGTATTGTGAGGAGGGGTCAAGTGGCACTAACTGCATCACCTGGCCCTAAGTGTTGGTTAGTCAAGACATTGGCTACACTTGTCTTGTTTAGGTCTAGTGTGGTGGTTTGAAGAGGAACATCTCAACACACTTTTATTGGATCAGTTAAGCCTAGAACAAATTTGAGTTTTTTCATGTTATACTTTTAATATTTCGTTACCTGTACAGTTACACATTTTTGATCCCTAAAGAAATGTGAGTTGAGCTAAATAGCCAGGGAGCTTAAAGCTCCTTTAGCCAATCAGCACAAGATGGTAGCAACATTGTAGCATCAACCAGCATAAAACAGAAGAGCAGGGGATCCACATTAGGATGGAGCCCACATTAGGATGGAGCCCACATTAGGATGGAGCCCACATTAGGATGGAGCCCACATTAGGATGGAGCCCACAGTCCAGTGTGGCCCAGTGGTGTGTCCATGTTTCTCTAATGTGGCCCCTGATGAAGCTTCTTGTACTGGTTGAGGCTACCGTGATGTCAAATGTTTTTTAACCCTGTGACAATGTTGATAGAAAATGTTACTGCTTTCTTTCTCGTGGATTAAAGTTTGCTCTAGTTTTAGTTTTTCTTACCTCACATCTACTGTCTGAATGATGGTAGACGGATGCTAGTGCCTCTGTTATTACAAGCAATTCTTAAGTCCTACTGTCTGTGTTTGTGTGTGCTGTGTGGGTGTGGGTAGGTTTGTCACCAAATCTTCTTGTAACTCAGTGTATAACCAATTCCAATGGAGCCATACATTAAAGTTAACAATTCCAATGGAGCCACTACATTAAAGTTAATTCCAATGGAGCCACTACATTAAACTTAGCAATTCCAATGGAGCCACTACATTAAAGTTAACAATTCCAATGGAGCCACTACATTAAACTTAACAATTCCAATGGAGCCACTATATTAAAGTTAACAATTCCAATGGAGCCACTATATTAAAGTTAACAACTAGTTTTTCTATGATAAAGACATTACAGTAGGAGTGGATGGCATAATGCCAGTTTAGATTTATATACAGTTCAAATACACTTAAAATTGCAAAAAAAAATTGTTTTCCGGTGATACACACACTTTAGCCACACACTAACCCACACACTAACACTCAACCACACGCTAACCCACACACTAACACCCACACACTAACACCCAACCACACACTAGCCCACAAACCCTCACACTGTTGTGAAGCCGTAGGAACCAGTGTACACACAGTTTACATGACCCATACAAACTACAAGGAACCAGTGTACACACAGTTTACATGACCCATACAAACTACAAGGAACCAGTGTACACACAGTTTACATGACCCATACAAACTACAAGGAACCAGTATACACACAGTTTACATGACCCATACAAACTACAAGGAACCAGTGTACACAGTTTACATGACCCATACAAACTACAAGGAGCCAGTGTACACACAGTTTACATGACCCATACAAACTACAAGGAACCAGTATACACAGTTTACATGACCCATACAAACTACAAGGAACCAGTGTACACAGTTTACATGACCCATACAAACTACAAGGAGCCAGTGTACACAGTTTACATGACCCATACAAACTACAAGGAACCAGTGTACACAGTTTACATGACCCATACAAACAACTACAAAGCGAGTTTAGCGGATACTAGATACACGCCTACATTTAGCAGTTTCTTCCAGGCATCTCTTCGGGCGGAGCGCCCCCCCCCCCACCGAAGCATAAAGTCTGAAAGAAACACTAGGCCAAGGGCCTCGTTATAGAAAGAACTCTCGGTTCTGGCTTGAGACTGGACACCCCGAGTAGGGCGCTGGTCAGCACCGCGTGTGCTTAGACAACATGCCGTCTGTCAGAGTCGGGCATCAAATGACGTCAGTACAAATTAGGCTAGACGCAAAGATATTTCGTTTTAATCAGCAACTGAATGGTATGTTTTCAATATGTAATGTCAATATTATTTTATTCTCGTCCTGAGTTACAAAGCCTTAGGAATTTAAATTTTTATTTGAGAAAATGCGAAAAGTGGGATGCTACAACCAGCAGGTTTTCTACACCTTGGCCGACAGCGAGAGGGAATTGACCTGTACGAGGATGTGTGTTTTTTGTCACTTGGCAATTTATTGAGACAATTCAAACGTTCATCATACCAGACCTGATATAACCCTTGATGTACAATATAATGAAACAAAACATGACTAAATAAAAAATGTCGTGACATAATCTAATGAAACAAAACATGACTGAATAAAAATGTCATGGCACAATCTAATGAAACAAAACATGACTAAATAAAAAATGTCGTGACATAATCTAATGAAACAAAACATGACTGAATAAAAATGTCATGGCACAATCTAATGAAACAAAACATGACTGAATAAAAATGTCATGGCACAATCTAATGAAACAAAACTTGACTAAATAAAAATGTCATGGCACAATCTAATGAAACAAAACATGACTGAATAAAAATGTCATGGCACAATCTAATGAAACAAAACTTGACTAAATAAAAATGTCATGGCACAATCTAATGAAACAAAACATGACTAAATAAAAATGTCATGGCACAATCTAATGAAACAAAACATGACTGAATAAAAATGTCATGGCACAATCTAATGAAACAAAACATGACTGAATAAAAATGTCATGGCACAATCTAATGAAACAAAACATGACTAAATAAAAATGTCATGGCACAATCTAATGAAACAAAACTTGACTAAATAAAAATGTCATGGCACAATCTAATGAAACAAAACATGACTAAATAAAAATGTCATGGCACAATCTAATGAAACAAAACATGACTAAATAAAAATGTCATGGCACAATCTAATGAAACAAAACATGACTAAATAAAAATGTCATGGCACAATCTAATGAAACAAAACATGACTAAATAAAAATGTCATGGCACAATCTAATGAAACAAAACATGACTAAATAAAAATGTCATGGCACAATCTAATGAAACAAAACATGACTAAATAAAAATGTCATGGCACAATCTAATGAAACAAAACATGACAATAAAAATGTTGTGACACAATATACCTAAACAAAACTAAATAAAAATGTGACACAATCGTCTTGTGTACAATGTAAAGCTACAAACTTCTTGTGTACAATGTAAAGCTACAAACGTCTTGTGTACAATGTAAAGCTACAAACGTCTTGTGTACAATGTAAAGCTACAAACGTCTTGTGTACAATGTAAAGCTACACACGTCTTGTTTACAATGTAAACCTACAAACGTCTTGTGTACAATGTAAAGCTACAAAGGTCTTGTTTACAATGTAAAGCTACAAACGTCTTGTGTACAATGTAAAGCTACAAACGTCTTGTGTACAATGTAAAGCTACAAACGTCTTGTGTACAATGTAAAGCTACAAACCTCTTGTTTACAATGTAAACCTACAAACGTCGTGTGTACAATGTAAAGCTACAAATGTCTTGTTTACAATGTAAAGCTACAAACGTCTTGTGTAAAATGTAAAGCTACCCGAATGTAAATCCCGGAGAAAATGTTCAGAAACACAAGGGTCCCTTTATTGTTTTCGTCCCTTATTTTAAGGGTCCCTGTATTTTGTGGGTCCACGTATTGTTTGGAACCTCGTGTTGTTTGGGTCCCTGTATTTTGTGGGTCCCTGTATTTTGTGGGTCCCTGTATTGTATGGGTTCCTGTATTGTTTGATTAGAGGGGTTACAGTGACGGAGCATGAAAATAAAAACATCGTGACACGATAGGTCACACCAAAACGAGGCTTCACCTATAAGCTCGAGCAGCAAATAATGGCGCCTCTAACAGCTGTTTCCCATCCACTCACATTTTGTTGAAGGAGAGCAACAAACAATTTCCCCGTGACAAAAGCCCGGGAACTTATCTCAGATATCTTTTAATACATCGTGATGGGACGCGAGGACATCCGGTCACGTGATAACCTGACCTGGGCCTGCTGGACATCCTCACACGAGAGACGATCTAATCACATCATTAGCAGAAACAAATTGGTCTGATGTAACCAGCCGGTGTTTGCCGTATAAAAGCCGGACCTGCCGGCTAGGTTTGATCACCTGGCGTCAACAGACTGGCAGAAGTAAGTCGTCTGCTTGTTCAAATAAGTCGTCTGCCTGTTAAGTCGTCTGCTTGTTAAAGTAAGTCGTCTGCTTGTTGAAGTAAGTCGTCTGCTTGTTGAAGTAAGTCGTCTGCTTGTTAAAGTAAGTCGTCTGCTTGTTAAAATAAGTCGTCTGCTTGTTGAAGTAAGTCGTCTGCTTGTTAAAGTAAGTCGAAAGTAAGTCGTCTGCTTGTTAAAGTAAGTCGTCTGCTTGTTAAAGTAAGTCGAAAGTAAGTCGTCCGCCTGTTAAAGTAAGTCGTCTGCTTGTTGAAGTAAGTCGTCTGCTTGTTAAAGTAAGTCGAAAGTAAGTCGTCCGCCTGTTAAAGTAAGTCGTTTGATTGTTTAAGTTTTACAAATGTTTCAGAGACCAAATTTTGCAAATATTACTATACACATTTAGCGCGTGTTATGTGAGTTGTTTCACAGCGTGATTGAAGCTGAGAAGTATTCTAACCCTGAGAGCTCATCGTACGTCAGCAAATTGAGTCGTTTGGCAAATTTTTTAAAACATAGTTCATACTACATGTTGCTCAAAAATTGAGCGACCCCCCCCCCTTCCCCCCCCCCCCCCCACCTCCGTTAATATGAAAATAATGGTTTAAAAAATCGAGCCCCCCACATAAAAAACATCAACAAACTAGGACAAAATGACATTGTAACCTTCTTTAGATGGCGCGAATACCTCGTCTGCTCAGCCTTCTGCTCATGTGTATCGTCTGCTGCTCGGGTCAACTTGACCTCACACTCAAGGCCATCGGCTCTTCCATCGAAACTCTCCGGAACGATGTCAAGTACAAGGACGGGGTCATGGGTCAAATCGTCAAACAGGTCATGCTCAATCGCTTCCAGGACGAAGAGAGGTGAAAAACACATCAGTGTTGTGTTTAGCTAAACACGGTGTTCAGCTAAACACATTCTTTCAGGGTTGTGTTTAATTAAACACATTCTTTCAGTGTTGTGTTTAGCTAAACGCTTCCATTGGGTTGTGTTTAGCTAAACGACCTTCAACTCTTACAACTGGACATTTTGTCGCCAGGGTTCGAGCCGAGGGAGACTCTGGAATCGTCTCAGTCAGGAACTACAACCTCGGCACCGACAACTTCCACACGTCCACACACATCGGCTTTGGGTTTTCTGGCATACATGATCACAGCCAGACAGCCAACACGCTGGGTATGGGGGAGGTAAGTACTCACCTTCACCTTCACCTGACCAAGTACTCACCTTCACCTTCACCTGACCATGTACTCACCTTCACACTGAACTTGCGCTTGTGTAGGTCTACTTACGTTAATCCCAGCCCCAACCCTAACTCCAACTCAAGCCCAAAACCTAATTAAACCCCAATTCTTACGCTAATCCTAATCCCTACTTTAACTCTAATCCGGTAACATCTCAACGCACGGTATGGGAAACCAAATACCCCGAAACAAAAAATACCCACCTGATTTATATTACACACAAACCGACATGTAAACTAGGATATTTTGAGAGGAATTTCTTCCTGTGACGTAGGGAACCTTTTCTCTCCCCCCCACCCCCCAGGTGACTGCTGTCCTGAATGGCGTCCAGTTCCGGACCTCCCACAACGACTTCCAGCTCAGACGTCCTAGCACCACCTCCAGGACCTGGCTGGAGACGGAGCCGATCCCCCCACCCCCCGTCCCACCCTCAGTCCTGAGTCTGTCCAACGTTACGGTGAGATATGTCGTTATGAACTTTACAATACAGACATAAAGATAAACCGACATACAGACATACGTACAGACGTACAGATATACCGACATACAGACGGACAGATATATGACATACAGACAGACGTACAGACATACAGATATACCGACATACAGACGGACATACAGGACGTACACACATATATACAGATATACCGACATACAGACAGACGTACAGACATACAGACATACATAAATACAAACATGAACCTGCAGACTACAGACACCCAAACAAATATGTAAATAGATACACTAACAAACATACAGATATATAGACTTACAGACACACTTGACATATATACAGACATACAGACAGATATACAAACCTACGTACACAAGCATGGATAGACAAACCTAGAATGGATTATTTTTTAAAGTTAGAATTTTGTCTTAATTCTGTTTGTACATATCTGACGAAGACCGTATACCGAAACCTTGATAGAGTTTTTGTGATGTGTCAGGAGGCCATTGCTGAGATGAGGGAGTACTTCAGGGCGTTTCAAACCCAGGACACGACCATTCGGGATTACCGCCCTTACTTTAAACCCGTCCTGTGCTATCTGGAGGGGACGTGGCTGGTCAACATCACTGAGACGGACAACACGGACAGGGTGAGTGGCGGTGGGGGTCAAGGTCACATGACAGGGTGAGTTGTGGTGGTGGGGGGGGGGGGGTCAACAACACTGAGGCGGACAACACGGACAGGGTGAGTGATGGTGGGGAGGAGGAGGGGGGGGGGGGTCACGGTCACACGGCTCACACCATGGACAGGGTGAGTGGTGGTGGGTTCAAGGTCACATAGCTCACAACACGGACAGGGTGAGTGGTGGTGGGTTCAAGGTCACATGACAGGGTGAGTGGCGGGGGGGGGGTCAAGGTCAAATATCCGACCCCCCCTAAAGATGTCCTGACACCCCCCCCCCCCCCAAGAAACGCCCATGCCACTGAGCTGTCTACTCCCCAGGCCCGCACTGAGGCGTACCTGGGCTCGGCGACCAACGCCTCCCAGACCGTCTCCTCCCTGCCCTCGACGATCCTCGGGATTGATGACGTCACCAACGAGCCAATCCTGGGCCAGTGGTTCTACCGGACACTCTGCTACCCCCTGGAGGAGAACCTGCCTACGTCATACTTCACCGCTGTAAGTGCCACGTCACGACTGTAAGTATGACGTCACAACTATGACGATGATTTCAATGTCAGGACTGAGATTTTGACGTCAACACTGTATTGTCGACTACACAACCTGTCACAACCTGTCACAACCTGTCACAACCTGTCACAACCTGTCACAACCTGTCACAACCTGTCACAACCTGTCACAACCTGTCACAACCTGTCACAACCTGTCACAACCTGTCACAACCTGTCACAACCTGTCACAACCTGTACGTTTAGCCCCTATGTTACAACTGCAGCTGATTTCTTCCAATCAGATCGATGACATGTCCTATCGCTACCCACGTGGTCTGCCGTACACGGCGAACCCAACCACGCGTGGAACCCGCTTCCTGCTGGACGACAAGTCTGCTGAAGGGTAAGTCACGTGCTCTGACCTCATCAGTGACGTCATCAACACCTGAATACCGGAAGCCATGACGTCATTAACGCGCTGTCCTTGTTGCCAGGTACCGCGGCTACACGCTGTTGGACCGGCTGGTTGCCAGGATCCCCGGGCTGGACAACGTCCCTGGCAACTTGTCCGAGAAAACTCTGGGCCTCAGGGACATGATGGACGCTGGGGTGGCCGGCGTCCTTAACATTGGCTACTATAACAGGCAGTACAGGGACCTTTTGGACGCCATGAACCGTAATGTAGGTCATTTGTAAATCTTAGTGAAGGTCAAAGTGGAGGTAATGGCGTAGGTCATTGTGTAGGTTTAAGTTTAGGTCATTATGTAGGTCGTTTGTAAGTCGTAATCTAGGTCTTAGTGTAGGTCCTAATGTAGGTCATTTTATGTCCTAATGTAGGTCATTTTAGGTCCCAATGTAGGTCTTAGTGTGGATCATAATGTAGGTCATAATGTAGATCATAATGTAGGTCATAATGTAGGTCATAATGTAGGTCATAATGTAGGTCATAATGTAGGTTATTTATAGATCCTAGTGTAGGTCAATCTATTGGATCGCCTCCCCTTGACGTAAGTTTTGGTGACACGAGGTATGTGTCACATCAACACCACGTGACCTGTCTTGTCACGTGGTACACTTCTCCACCCCCAGGGGCAGATCCGAGGCTTCAGTGACGGCAACATGTTCGTTGCCATGACGACACAGGAGCAGGTGGCGCCCCTGGTGGTGACCCAGTGCCCGCCCCTGGTCAGGTGTGTCAGACGTCAGGACATCAGGGCCAGCTGGATGATCCCCCTCGAGGTCATCTACATGACCCCCCTGCTGGCATGGAACCCCTACGGCGTGCGCTATGGGGTGAGTTGTCATCTTGAAAATGTCAGTAAATGTCATATGTCAGTAAATGTCACTAGTCGGTAAATAATGTCACAATATGCGAGAAAATGTCACATGCTAGTAAATGTCACATGTCAGTAAATGTCACATGTCAGTAAATGTCACATGTCAGTAAATGTCACATGTCAGTAAATGTCACATGTCAGTAAATGTCACATGTCAGTAAATGTCACATGTCAGTAAATGTCACATGTCAGTAAATGTCACATGTCAGTAAATAATGTCACAATATGTCAGTAAATGTCACATGTCAGTAAATGTCACATGTCAGTAAATGTCACATGTCAGCAAATGATGTCACAATATGTCAGTAAATGTCAAACATGTCATCCACACCTAAACACTGTACAGCGTGTGACGCCACCATTGTGTGGCTACACGAGCAGACGACCACCACCAGACGACCACCACCAGACGACCACCACCACCACCAGACGACCACCACCAGACGACCAGACGACCACCACCAGACGACCACCACCAGACGACCACCACCAGACGACCACCACCAGACGACCAGAAGACCACCACCAGACGACCAGACGACCACCACCAGACGACCACCACCAGACGACCAGAAGACCACCACCAGACGACCAGACGACCACCACCAGACGACCACCACCAGACGACCACCACCAGACGACCACCACCAGACGACCACCACCAGACGACCACCACCAGACGACCAGACGACCACGACCAGACGAGCAGACGACCACGAGCAGACGACCACGAGCAGACGACCACGAGCTAACCAGCCAACCATCCCCAGGTTCCACAGAACGTGGTGACAGCTCTCGGCAGAACTGGCCTGGTCAGCACACGGGCCTACAACGGCACCAATGACGTCACCTTTTACTGGACGCCCCCGCAGTTCTTTGCCGTCAGCACCCCCGAGAACAATGACGTAGCAGATTCCAGCTGGAGCAGCCGATGGGTTCTGGACTCCAAGGTCAGTCATTTCCTGACCCAAGGTCACTCATTTCTAGAAACAAGGTCACTCATTTAAAGACAAAAGGTCACTCATTTCTAAGCCCAAGATCACTAATTTCTAGACCCAAGGTCAATCATTTCTAGACCCAAGGTCAGTCATTTCTAGACCCAAGGTCAATCATTTCTAGACACAAGGTCAGTCATTTCTAGACCCAAGGTCAGTCATTTCTAGACCCAAGGTCAATCATTTCTAGACCCAAGGTCAGTAATTTGATTCAACAACTTTACACTTTGAACCGGTGCCCCGCCCTTTGACCCGATGCCCCACCCTGTGACCCGATGACCCCCCCCCCCCCCCCGCCCCAGGTAATCCCGTATCTCGCCTATCCACAGAACACACCCATCAACCTGATGCCCAGTGGCACACGGATTGTTTTGCCGGAAATTTCCGGCGTCGGTGACGTCCGGCTGCGCTACCCGATAGCGCCCGTGCACGGAGAGGGGGGCGGGGTGTGGAAGGAGCTCAACGCCCTCAAGAGCAACCTGGCCCTGCAGATTTCCAAACTGGCAGCAGCTTTTCATTGAAGGAATTCATTGATTTATTTATTGCTGAAGCTTTTCATTAGAGGAATTCATTGATTTATTTATTGCTGAAGCTTTTCATTAGAGGAATTCATTGATTTACTTATTCCCCACACCTTATGTCTTCGTTTTTGTCCTACCAGTTTATGTGACGTCACTGATTGTATAACTAAATAATAAAAAAAATGTGCTTAGACTTTAGTTTGTTTATTCAAAAATATTCCAGCACACATCAATTGGAACCACGGTCGCTACTCCCCCCCCCATTCCGCCATAACTGTGGTATTGTTTTAATCTATTAGTCGTGTGTTTATTTCATTAGTGACCAACGTAAGAGTGTTGTGCAGGGAGGGTGTGGGGATTGTTTACCTTCTTTTTTAAAAAAAACTAATACATTTAAAAAAATGTCCATGTCGTAAATCAAGACAATCTAACTCTAACTTTAACTCTATGACTAAGTATGTCATATTTGGTGAGAAAGGGTTGAACGTTTTATTTTCTCTGATTCTACATAACAATTAGTCGCAAGACACCAAGGTTCAAACCCCCACATTTCTGTTGCCTTCATCGCGCGCTTACCGCAGATGTAGGAATGTTCTAAATATAGAAAGTTAAGAAAATGTGAATGACAGCTCAACTGTTTGTTTTCTCTGCCGTATACACTTGTGTCTACTGGTAAAACATACTTCTACTTGACCTTTGTGTCTACTGGTAAAACATACTTCTACTTGACCTTTGTGTCTACTGGTAAAACATACTTCTACTTGACCTTTGTGTCTACTGGTAAAACATACTTCTACTTGACCTTTGTGTCTACTGGTAAAACATACTTCTACTTGACCTTTGTGTCTACTGGTAAAACATACTTCTACTTGACCTTTGAGTCTACTGGTAAAACATACTTCTACTTGACCTTTGTGTCTACTGGTAAAACATACTTCTACTTGACCTTTGTGTCTACTGGTAAAACATACTTCTACTTGACCTTTGAGTCTACTTGTAAAACATACTTCTACTTGACCTTTGAGTCTACTGGTAAAACATACTTCTACTTGACCTTTGTGTCTACTGGTAAAACATACTTCTACTTGACCTTTGAGTCTACTGGTAAAACATACTTCTACTTGACCTTTGTGTCTACTGGTAAAACATACTTCTACTTGACCTTTGAGTCTACTGGTAAAACATACTTCTACTTGACCTTTGAGTCTACTGGTAAAACATACTTCTACTTGACCTTTGTGTCTACTGGTAAAACATACTTCTACTTGACCTTTGTGTCTACTGGTAAAACATACTTCTACTTGACCTTTGTGTCTACTGGTAAAACATACTTCTACTTGACCTTTGTGTCTACTGGTAAAACATACTTCTACTTGACCTTTGAGTCTACTGGTAAAACATACTTCTACTTGACCTTTGTGTCTACTGGTAAAACATACTTCTACTTGACCTTTGAGTCTACTGGTAAAACATACTTCTACTTGACCTTTGTGTCTACTGGTAAAACATACTTCTACTTGACCTTTGAGTCTGCTTGTTTAACCATCGTCTAGAACAAGATTGCTGTTGAATTGGATCTCAGTCCCCTTACTTCCTCTAAACTCGAATATTTCCGACCCTTGAATATTTCCGACCCTTGAATCTTTCCGACCCTTGAATATTTCCGACCCTTGAATATTTCCGACCTCCCCCGAATATTTCCGACCCTTGAATATTTCCGACCTCCCCCGAATATTTCCGACCTCCCTCTGTCTCAGCCACCATCTCGTGACGTCACAGATGACAGCGCCAGTGTGTGACTGTAGACTGAAGTAACGGTCCAGTGGAGCAGGTCACGTGACTCGTCAAACCTGGACAGACGTCAACCAAAAGTGTAACCAGCCTACTGCGTGTTTGGTGACGTCAGCTTTCAATGGACGCTTGCTCAATTAGGCGTAGAGCCGGCCTAATTGACCCAGTTCCCAGATTAGATAACGCCGGTCGGTCAGTCATGCGTGACCTGACTGTCAAAGTGTGGCTCCTGTTGGTTGTGATACATCCTGTCATACATCAGTCATACATCAGGACAGCTAATGGCGGACAGCTGACATACGTCAGTGGAGTTTTTTTTTTCTTGGAATTGCTTGCGTGACGTATGACGTCATCGTACCTTACTGACGCCTGCCTTGACCTTGAGACCTGCTCTGAGAAGCTTCTAGAACATGAAGGTAAACTTCACGTGCTTTTGGTCGACATAAACCATCAGTGGACACCAACACAAAGGTGGGCCATGTTCTCTGAAACCTGAGGGGCCCGACTCTAGCGTCCAACCGTAAAGGTAGGGTTTCTTTCAAACATTTAGCTCCTGGGGGGGGGGGCAATTTTTAAAGTATTTATTTTCTACATATTTTAAAAATACTTTTCTGTTTCTTATGGGGTGCGAGGGGGGGGGGGGGTGGGTGGGGGAGCGTGGAACTGCTTCCTGAGGACTGGATGGGGGAAGAGATGTCTGAAAGAAATAATGTGTAAAGGGCGCCGGCTCCCATTAATGCCCACCCCCCCCCCCCCCCCAACTCAACCGTGCTCTGTAACACACAGTGTGTTGCACATGTGCAACTATTTAAGTTGTTGACAACCAACAACACAGCCACGCGACTCGGCTAGAACAATAAAGATAACTCCAAACATTTCGACCAAAGTTCGGGTAAACTAAACCAGCACATAGACCCCCGTGTGGCTCTGTGTGTCCCCCGTGTGGCTCTGTGTGGCCCTCGTGTGTCCCTGTGTGGCTCTGTGTGGCTCTGTGTGGCCCCCGTGTGGCTCTGTGTGGCCCTCGTGTGTCCCTGTGTGGCTCTGTGTGGCTCTGTGTGGCCCCCGTGTGGCCCCCTGTGGCCCTCGTGTGGCTCTGTGTGGCCCTTGTGTGGCCCCCTGTGGCCCTCGTGTGGCTCTGTGTGGCCCTTGTGTGGCCCCCTGTGTCCCTCGTGTGGCTCTGTGTGGCCCTTGTGTGGCCCCCGTGTGGCCTCGTGTGGCTCTGTGTGTCCCTTGTGTGTCCCTCGTGTGGCCCTGTGTGGCTCTGTGTGGCCCCTGTGTGGCCCTGTGTGGCTCTGTGTGGCTCTGTGTGGCTCTATGTGGCCCCTGTGTGGCTCTGTGTGGCCCCGTGTGGCCCTCGTGTGGCCCTCGTGTGGCCCTCGTGTGGCCCTGTGTGGCTCTGTGTGGCCCCGTGTGGCTCTGTGTGGCTCTGTGTGGCTCTGTGTGGCCCCGTGTGGCCCCGTGTGGCCCTGTGTGGCTCTGTGTGGCCCCGTGTGGCCCTCGTGTGGCCCTCGTGTGGCTCTGTGTGGCTCTGTGTGACCTTGACTCTACAGGATCGTAACCCAAACCTAGGAGCCGCCCACGCACTATCTCCCCCCCCCCCCAACAAGCCGGCAGATAGACAGGTGGGTCTGCTGGTGGTGCCGACCACGTGACCTGCCACGGTTGGATGAGTTTCCTAAAGTTGCTCCACTGACCCACAGCCGTGACGGGCATTGACGTCACGAGACCGGCAGCCGGTTGATCGACCGGGTTTGACCGGTTAGTGGCAGGTTTGACGTAACATAACATTTCCAACGTTTGGGATCAAGGGGGGGGTGTAGGGGTGAGGTAGTGGTGTATGGGTTTGGGGGTGTAGGAGTGGGGTGGGGGTGTAGGGGTGGGGTTGTAAGGTTGGGGTTGTAAGGTTGGGGTGTAGGGGTGTAGGTGTAGGGGGTTGTTAGGACCTAGGGAACCGTCACATACTAAAGTTATACTCTGTCAGCACAATTTCCTGTAATGACGTCATAATCTACTTCACCTTAACTTAACTATTTATTTTTCCCAGATTACAATTAGGATCATAACATATCATACAAACAAATAGGATCATAACATAACATACAAACAAATAGGATATTAACATAACATACAAACAAATAGGATCATAACATATCATACAAACAAATAGGATCATAACATAACATACAAACAAATAGGATCATAACATAACATACACACAAATAGGATCATAACATAACATACAAACAAATAGGATCATAACATAACATACAAACAAATAGGATATTAACATAACATACAAACAAATAGGATCATAACATATCATACAAACAAATAGGATCATAACATAACATACAAACAAATAGGATATTAACATAACATACAAACAAATAGGATCATAACATATCATACAAACAAATAGGATCATAACATAACATACAAACACATAGGATATTAACATAACATACAAACAAATAGGATCATAACATATCATACAAACAAATAGGATCATAACATAACATACAAACAAATAGGATCATAACATATCATACAAATAAATAGGATCATAACATAACATACAAACAAATAGGATCATAACATAACATACAAACAAATAGGATCATAACATAACATACAAACAAATAGGATCATAACATATCATACAAACAAATAGGATCATAACATAACATACAAACAAATAGGATCATAACATAACATACAAACAAATAGGATCATAACATAACATACAAACAAATAGGATCATAACATAACATACAAACAAATAGGATCATAACATAACATACAAACAAATAGGATCATAACATATCATACAAACAAATAGGATCATAACATAACATACAAACAAATAGGATCATAACATAACATACAAACAAATAGGATCATAACATAACATACAAACAAATAGGATCATAACATAACATACAAACAAATAGGATCATAACATAACATACAAACAAATAGGATCATAACATAACATACAAACAAATAGGATCATAACATAACATACAAACAAATAGGATATTAAACTGGACGCCAATAAATCACTGAGCCACACACCAACACACCATCAACTCATATGATGTTACAGCAATATGGTTTCACATAAGGAGGGGGTGGGGCTTTTAGACATATTGTAAGGACACATCAAAGCTGTGGCACACAACACATACACAGCCACTTACACACACACACAACACATACTCAACACATATTACTTATCATAATTTAAGTAAAACAACACATACACGTGTTTAGAACCCCACACACAACCGTATCTCACCCATGGTAACACATCACACACACCACACATACATCTTGTAACACATCTCACACACACACCACACATACATCTAGTAACACATTACACACACCACACATACATCTTGTAACACATCACACACGCCACACACATACATCTAGTAACACATCACTCACGTATCACACACATACATCTAGTAACACATCACTCACGTATCACACACATACATCTTGTAACACATCTCACACACACACCACACATACATCTAGTAACACATTACACACACCACACATACATCTTGTAACACATCACACACGCCACACACATACATCTAGTAACACATCACTCACGTATCACACACATACATCTAGTAACACATCACTCACGTATCACACACATACATCTAGTAACACATCACTCACGTATCACACACATACATCTAGTAACACATCACTCACGTATCACACACATACATCTAGTAACACATCACTCACGTATCACACACATATCTAGTAACACATCACACACGCCACACACATATATCTAGTAACACAAACACCCACATATCACACATATATCTAGTAACACAATCACCCACATATCACACATATATCTAGTAACACAATCACCCACATATCACACATATATCTAGTAACACAATCACCCACATATCCCACTATGACGTGGCTCACATGGAATACATTAGAGGTTTGTTTCGTAGCCTGACTTGTGTCAGACAAACTTGGTCGTAGATTCGAAACCTGAGACTTTCCTAGCTCGGGATCTACATTTCCATGACGCCATACATACATACATGCACATACTATGACATAACCACATACACTATGTCTTGTCCACTGATAGACACACATCCACCAGCGACATAGACACACCAAGGGACACACAACACGCCCCACCGTGTCAGACACACAAAACGCCACTGTGTCAGACACACAACACGCTCCACTGTGTCAGACACACAAGATAAGACACACCCAAAGTGAAAGCACACCCCGAGTAAGAAGATAGACCGAGTGCAAATCTACCCAGTTTGTGATCGTGTGCTCACTGGAGCGGAAAGACAATTTGACCTTAGAGTACGACACAGAAACGTTTGGCAAAGACTTACTTGACATCAGTGTGTCAAGTCTCACAGGACTAAGACTTGCTACTACAGGAGTTACAGATATCAGCATATTCTTTCTTTCTTTAGGTAGGTTTCCATTTCTTTCAAACTTTTATTGATTATAAAAGTATATCTACACATATGAATATACGTATGCGTACATTGGTACGAGTATACGAATTCGTATGACTATGCCTATAAATAAATAAATAAATACATATATTTATATATGTATGTATATATAAGCCTATTCGTGTGTATGTACGTGTATGGTTCTACAATCATTTGTGGTTATTTTTACAATTACATATACTACACATAGGACCAAATATGTTTTGTATTTCCATACAATTCATGTAAGCAATCATACTTTTATAACATCAACACTTATATATGTGAGTTATACATAATTTCAAAATACATTTTTACAAACTTTATTACAAACTTAGATTTTAGATTTAATTGCAATTAGCCTGTAAGGTGCATATACACATCACTCAAGTAAAAGGTGGATATACACATCACTCAAGTATAAGGTGCATATACACATCACTTAAGTATACAGTGCATATACACCTCACACAAGTATAAGGTGCATATTCACATCACTCAAGTATAAGGTGCATATACACATCACTCAAGTAAAAGGTGCATATACACATGCAGTTGTAAGACTTCTGATGTGTTTTGATTTAACGTAGACAATTAACAAGATGGTTTCAACAAACAAAAACTCCCCAACACAACCTCCCCAACACAACCTCCCCAACACAACCTCCCCCAACACAAACTCCCCCAACACAACCTCCCCAACACAACCTCCCCAACACAACCTCCCTTAACAAAACCTCACCCAACACAAACTCCCCCAACAAAAACTCCCCAACACAACCTCCCCAACACAACCTCCCCAACACAACCTCCCCCAACACAACCTCACCCAACACAAACTCCCCCAACACAACCTCCCCAACACAACCTCCCCCAACACAACCTCCCCCAACTCAACCTCCCCCAACACAACCTCACCCAACACAACCTCACCCATCACAAACTCCCCCAACTCAACCTCACCCAACACAACCTCACCCAACACAACCTCACCCATCACAACCTCCCCCAACACAACCTCCCCAACACAACCTCCCCAACACAACCTCCCTTAACAAAACCTCACCCAACACAAACTCCCCCAACAAAAACTCCCCAACACAACCTCCCCAACACAACCTCCCCAACACAACCTCCCCCAACACAACCTCACCCAACACAAACTCCCCCAACACAACCTCCCCAACACAACCTCCCCAACACAACCTCCCCCAACACAACCTCCCCCAACTCAACCTCACCCAACACAACCTCACCCAACACAACCTCACCCAACACAAACTCCCCCAACTCAACCTCACCCAACACAACCTCACCCAACACAACCTCACCCATCACAAACTCCCCCAACACAACCTCACCCAACACAACCTCACCCAACACAACCTCACCCATCACAAACTCCCCCAACTCAACCTCACCCAACACAACCTCACCCAACACAACCTCACCCAACACAACCTCACCCAACACAACCTCACCCATCACAAACTCCCCCAACACAAACTCCCCCAACACAACCTCACCCATCACAAACTCCCCCAACACAAACTCCCCCAACACAACCTCACCCATCACAAACTCCCCCAACACAACCTCCCCCAACACAACCTCCCCCAACACAACCTCACCCATCACAAACTCCCCCAACACAAACTCCCCCAACACAACCTCACCCATCACAAACTCCCCCAACACAACCTCCCCCAACACAACCTCACCCATCACAAACTCCCCCAACTCAACCTCACCCAACACAACCTCACCCAACACAACCTCACCCAACACAACCTCACCCATCACAAACTCCCCCAACTCAACCTCACCCAACACAACCTCACCCAACACAACCTCACCCAACACAACCTCACCCAACACAACCTCACCCATCACAAACTCCCCCAACACAAACTCCCCCAACACAACCTCACCCATCACAAACTCCCCCAACACAACCTCCCCCAACACAACCTCACCCATCACAAACTCCCCCAACACAAACTCCCCCAACACAACCTCACCCATCACAAACTCCCCCAACACAAACTCCCCCAACACAACCTCACCCATCACAAACTCCCCCAACACAACCTCCCCAACACAACCTCACCCATCACAAACTCCCCCAACTCAACCTCACCCAACACAACCTCACCCAACACAACCTCACCCAACACAACCTCACCCAACACAACCTCCCCAACATGGCAGGTTTTCAAGTCCATTTTTTTTTTATCCAGGTTGGTCAACCCTAGAGCCATAGCAGGTTGACCACGACACAGGAAGTTGACCACGACACAGGAAGTTGACCACGACACAGGAAGTTGACCACGACACAGGAAGTTGACCACGGCACAGGAAGTTGTCCACAGGAAGTTGACCACGACACAGGCAGGTGACCACCAATGTCGGAACCAGCGTCTTGCCCGTGGACCTCCTGAAACCAAAACTTTGATCTAAACGCCAACCGACTTGACCAGCTGAGTGACGTCAGCCAGCCATGGCGGCACACAGGCGCCACCAGGAGGGGGAGGAGGAGAGGGGAGGGCCGAGGGTGGAGTTCCTGGACATCTGGTCAGACACCAACTCCAGCATCCACACCTCCCCCTCCCAGAGCTCGATGATCGAAGCCATGTTCGACAACGACGACTTCTACGAGGAGGATTACGTCGACCGTTGGCAGTCGCGGCCTCGACCAATCTTCACCATAGGCAGCTTCAGTGCGGGGTAGGTATTGGGCGGGGTAGGTACTGGGCGGGGTAGTGGGGGGGGGGGGGGGCTGGAAGATTGACCCCAACACCACACCCCGACATAACACACCCCGACATAACACACCCCGACATAACACCCCGACATAACACTACGACACCACACGCCCCGACACACACACCCTGACACCATACACCACAATTTCCGACTCTCGCCCATAGCTCCATATACTCCCTTAGCGCCCATACCTCTCATATTCCTGTCTCCTCATATTCTGCCCCCCCCCCTCCCTCGTGCTGAAGCATAGGGCTATCAAAGTCCAGTTGACCAGGGTACAGTCAGATATGCAATGACACCCCCCACCCCTCCACAAATTGCATGATCGTAATTTTAAAATCAAAAGAAAACCAAACTAGCAGAATATCAAGTTCCCCAAAACTTGATCTCACAACTCTAGGATTCTAGAACTGTTGGCGTCAGGCGTCAGACTTTAGGATTCTAGAACTGTTGGCGTCAGACTTTAGGATTCTAGAACTGTTGGCGTCAGGCGTCAGACTTTAGGATTCCAGAACTGTTGGCGACAGGTGTCAGACTTTAGGATTCTAGAACTGTTGACGACAGGTGTTAGACTTTAGGATTCTAGAACTGTTGACGACAGGTGTTAGACTTGAGGATTCTAGAACTGTTGGCGACAGGTGTCAGACTTTAGGATTCTAGAACTGTTGGCGTCAGACTTTAGGATTCTAGAACTGTTGGCGTCAGACTTTAGGATTCTAGAACTGTTGGCGTCAGACTTTAGGATTCTAGAACTGTTGGCGTCAGGCGTCAGACTTTAGGATTCCAGAACTGTTGGCGTCAGGCGTCAGACTTTAGGATTCCAGAACTGTTGGCGTCAGGCGTCAGACTTTAGGATTCTAGAACTGTTGGCGACAGGTGTTAGACTTTAGGATTCCAGAACTGTTGGCGTCAGGCGTCAGACTTTAGGATTCTAGAACTGTTGGCGACAGACTTTTAAAAAACCGCAGCTGTGACCTACATTATTCAACAAGTCAAGCATTAAGATCTCAACCACTTTTTCTTACCGGCCCAGTTTACCTGTCCCCTAACCAGGCCAGGGTACTTGAGATATGGGGGTCAGGGGTCAGGGGTCAGACATGTGAAATACATGTTTATTTACCTGGGTGGGGGGGGGGGGTGGATATCAAATGACGGCTCTGTCTAGGGGCACCCATACAACAGACACATATCTAGGGGTGGGTGGGGGTCACCCACTTAACCTGCACATAACTAGGGGTGGGGTGGAAACAGTTTACTTTAAAATAGTTATATATATTTTTAAAAATTTGGGGTTCAGGTACGAAGGGGGGGGGGGTATTCTAAAATTTCTCTTTACTATTAACTGGATTTTTTTTTGCAGTATTAAACTTTGTATGTATGTTATTTTATAGAAAATATAGAAAATAGAACTTCCACATTTAGATAAAAAAACAAACATAATATAATTCTAATATGATTTCTTATGACAGTGTGTCAGTATAATTATCAAACAAAAAGTTTGGAAAAAAAGTTCTCCAAGACTTAGATAGACTAAGGTAAACTTTAATGCGACCAGTAGCACACAAGGGGCTGAGCTGGGTATATTTTTATAGTTCTTACAATTTTTTAACCTGTTCTCAGTGGCTACAGGACATTACCCCCCTGAACATTCCCCCCCCCCCCCGTATTTACTTCCAGGAGCAATTACCCCCCTGTCAATTACCACCCTGGGGAATTCTCCCCCCCCCCCCCCCATCTACCAAGAAAGAATTCTGATTCCAACTCCAACTCTTTACCAATATATAACCTTAATCCTAACATTAAGACAAACACGAAAAACCTAATAATTCACCTCACCGCAAAACAAATTTACAAATCCAACTTTAGACATTGATTTCAGCCTATCCCTGATCCTAAAACTAACCCTAACCCTAGCCCTAGCCCTAACCCTAGCGTTAACCCTAGACCTAGACCTAGCCCAAACTCAAACCCTAGCTCTAACGCTAGCCGAACATTAAGCTATGACCGTGGGGGTAATGTCCTGCGGGGGGGGGGGGGGGGGTAATTGACAGGGGGTAATTACTCAGGGGGGTAATGACGGGGGATGTCCGGCCGGGAGGATAATTGACGGAAGGGGGGGGTAATGCCCTGTTCCCGTTCTTAGTACTAGACCCCCCTCGACCCTCGACCCGTCTATCCTCTCCCTATTCCCCCCACCCAAAATGCTGTTGATGCATACTTGAGGTTTCTAACAAATATACTGCGTATGTCTAGCATGTATTTAGATAAGGGAGGTAACAAGTGTAAACTAGGAATTAAATGTGTTATCCCCCTTTACCTGATTTCCTTGCCCGGAAGATTTTAAGATTTGTAACTGTTTGTCTGTTGAGTGAGACCATCTCGCGGTGTTTGGTCCCAATCACAAGAAACCTTGTGTCAATGGTCAGCCTTGCTGAAGATGTAGACAGATTTTTTAACTGCCGACAGATTTTTGAGAAGCCAAGACATTTTTAAGTGGCCAAAACATTTTTGAGTGGCCGAGACATTTTTAAGTGGCCAAGACATTTTTGAGTGGCCGAGACATTTTTGAGTGGCCAAGACATTTTTGAGTGGCCGAGACATTTTTGAGTGGCCAAGACATTTTTGAGTGGCCGAGACATTTTTGAGTGGCTAAGACATTTTTGAGTGGCCAAGACATTTTTGAGTGGCCAAGACATTTTTGAGTGGCCGAGACATTTTTGAGTGGCCAAGACATTTTTGAGTGGCCAAGACATTTTTGAGTGGCCGAGACATTTTTGAGTGGCCAAGACATTTTTGAGTGGCCAAGACATTTTTGAGTGGCCGAGACATTTTTGAGTGGCCGAGACATCTCGTGTCTTAAGTCTGACGGTGCGGCAGGAATTGGACCAAGGGACGAAACTCTCTCGGCGGGACAACGCTCACGGTGGTGACGTCACCTGACATGGCGGTGTGGTTGTGATTTCAACAAGCCACACGCCGTGCGAGTAGTGTGTGGTGGTGTGGTGTGTGGTGGTGTGTGGTGGGTGTCTACCTCGCTAGTCTTCTGGTCGTGACATTTCTTACCGCGGTCAACAACATCCGGATATTTAGTTTGGTGCGATGGATTCATGGGATGACTTATGTGACTGATGGAGATGACTGATGTGACTGAGTGAATTGACTGGCGTAGTTGCCTGATGTAGACTTATGTGACTAGTTGACTTTAGTGATTGTGGTAGTTGTCATTGTGACTGGTGTAGTTGACTTTTGCTGTTGACTTATACAAGTGACTTTCTGAATTCATGTGGACCATGTAAGAAGCATGTAAGTATGACTTCATACGTAAGTGACTGAAGTAAAAGAACCATTAGGATAACTCTGTCAGAACTGTTACTAGCATTGGCTAAACTGGGTTATGGTACTTTGTAGCACTGCTATACTATAAACACTTATATAGCATTTTTATAGCACATTTAACACACTTTCAAAGCATTTTTATAGCACATTTAAAGCATTTTATAGTACATTTAAATTATTTTAAAGCACATTTAAAGCACATTTATTGCACATTTTTGTCGCCATTGTGTACTAGCTCCGGTACAGCATTCAGAAATTTTTATTTTAATTTAGTTTGTTTATAACGTGATGAGATTCTCATATACTGTAGTCGGGGGAGGGGGGGAGGGGGTACGGGAAAATAATTAATTACACTGAAATACCTAACTACAGTAAACTTAAGCCCAGACACAGATAACCCATTGTCTGTCAAGTTTTAATCCAGTTGTTTCCCCTTGAATCCCGGAGTTCCCGCCCCTTGCTCTCGCTCGCGTGAAAGGTTTCTGTGTTCCGCAGTTATGTAAACATTCCCAGGCCGTCCGGCTACTCCCCCCCCCCCCCAACCCGTTCTCCCCCCCCCCCCCCCCCACACCCGTCCCATGTTATTTAAACTGAACATAAACATAAGCATTGGATTTGATTTAAAATAAACATTACATTTTGCTGGTATTTGGTCTAGTTCTAAGAGCAGTAACTCGACGTATATTTAGCGTGACGTTGGTTTTTACTTAACATAAACCTGATTCTCTGCCCAGCTGGTTATTAATAGATCAGATAAGCTCTGTGTGGTGGATAAAATGCTCCATGTTGTTATAAAATTTGCTGGTCAAATACAGTTTTTACCCGATAAATTTTGGCATGAAGGGATAAATTTTTGGCATATAAATGCCTATACAGTTGACCTAAAACTATCCAAAAAAAGTTGACCTAAAGCTGTCCAGATAAAGTTGACAAAAAACTGTCAAGATAAACTAAAGTGAGTCAACATTTCAACGCCCCCCCCACCTCCATGTCATGCGTTGTCACAGTTAAGGCTTGTCATACATTCACACACACACACACACACACACACACACACACACACACACACACACACACACACACACACACACACACACACACACACACACACACACACACACACACACACACACACACACACACACACACACACACACACACACACACACATACACAAATAAATCAAATATTTCTCTAATACTGACAGCACCAACACAAGATTTCCTACCAAAATGACGAGTAACTAACTTTCACACTTATTGTTGCTTTGATTCAGTCATGCATGTTATATAAGACATGTGTTTCAACTTTGACCTTGGTAACAATGTGACCTTGACCTACAGGTACGTCCTGACCCAGGAAGAGAAGGACAGGCTCTCGTCCATCCACGCCAAGGTCACTACACAATCGGACGGGAGGTGAGTGCACGGCTATTTATAGTAACACCAGCTCACGTGACCAAAGACGGAAACACCGACTCGGCATACAGTATACTGGGGGGGGGGTATTTGGCGTGCCAAGGTCAGTGGTCAGTACTGACCAAAGTTTGCGGACACGTGACAAATACTGACCAACGATTGTGGTCACATAAAAATAGAACTGACCAATGATTGTGGATAACTGACAAACAGTGACCAATGATTGTGGATAACTGACAAACAGTGACCAATGATTGTGGATAACTGACAAACAGTGATCAATGATTGTGGATAACTGACAAGCAGTGACCAATGATTGTGGACACATGCCTTGTGGCCAACATCTAAATCCTCAATGGTCACGAATCTGACCCCACGAAGATTGTACCACTAGATCTAGTCCAGGGTCTGGTGAGCAGAGTATCACAATGTGAACAACTCTACTAGCACGGGTTCGGATCCCGGACGGGAAACTTGAGGACTGTGTCCAGCCAAATCAGACTGGTCAAGTGGAGTTGGTCTATAGCACGACCTGTAGAAATGAAACCATTTTATTGTTGGGTAATGTTTGACCAATGAAGCCAACACATGTTTACGTGTAGCACTAACTTACAGTGTAGTAACACTTTGGTGAACCAAGGGGTGTTTAATTTCCCCATGAAGATAGGGACAGAGGGTAATTGGTTTAACGGTTTAACGGTTTAACGTTTTTTTTTAAAAACTACAAATGTGCAGAGGCAGATGGGGGGGGGGGGTTGTTAAGTTGTTTTTTTCTGGGCGGAAGTGAGAAAGGTGAAATGTGGGGTGGGGGTGTTTGCCTGGCCCCGTGTGTAACACACTGTGTGATTGGTCCAGTGTGTCAGGATGTCCAAACACGCGTCAGTTTTCACACTTGTGACTACAACTCTTCGGCCTCGTAAATCCCCCTCCCCCCTCCATATCAACCAGTTTTCTGACGTAACAGTGACGACCTATTTACGCTCTCAGCTGACTGTAGCCCCGCCCCTTTCTCTCACGACCCAGTTAACCCTCCCCTTAATGTTAACCAACTAAAAAAATAATTCTCACACTTCGCTCTGGACCCCCCCTCCCTCCCCCGTGTTGCTATAAACTACGAGGGAAGTTCAAACCCAACTCGTGGCGCAGGATACCCTCTCTAACTTTTCACGAGATCGTTTCATTGGTCCTTGTAAACAAGTTTTAACTTTTCTAAAATTGATCAATGTTAGTTTTTTAATGTGCGAGATTAAATGAGATCTAGGCAGATCTAGGTAGATATTTTCACGACACTGTTTCAGACTAGTAGACAACTGCCAGACGACTTTGATATTTGTAAACACCGTCTCGATTCAATGGTTTCTAACGAGTGAGGGGATTGGTCAGTCTGGCCCCCCACCTCACCCCGCCCCTCACCAAACAGGAAACCACCGCGGCAAGCGTCACGTTTGTCTCCGTATGTCACTGGAATGTGTACCGTGTACTGTAGTGTACAAACGTGCTAGTTGTGTACTAGTGTGTACTGTAGGACTGAGCGAGACTGAGTGAATCATTGCTGCGTGTCGTCGGTTTCTGGGATGTCCTAGGTCACCGTTTTTGGTGGAGGATTTTTTCTGTGTGGTCTGCTAGAGGTGGAGAAATTTTTCTGTGTCGTCTGCTAGAGGTGATCACTCGCTGAGGTTTCTAATTATTTCCGGATTATTTGGATGTATATAACGGATTAAAAGTTTCATGACGTAAGTTCAGGTTGGCGCAGTGATGTAGCGGGGAGTTTTCTGGTGTCATTTTTAAAAAAATGTAATTAGTAATTGGTAAGATACAGTTGTGGACAGGTAGGAGAATCCTCCAGTTATGGTTAGTGATGGTTAACTTACTACAATAAACTATGTGCTACACTACTTTAAATCTAAATGTGAAACGGATAGCCACTACACTAGACATAGCCAGTGATTGCCTATAAGTAAAGATTCATGCTAGATCTAGAAAATCTAGATCGTTACTGATATCTCTAAAGTCTAAATAGTGTCATTGAGAAGTTGTCCTATGCTTTTCCCCATCCAATTTATTGTTGGTAAATAGTGAAAATAGTTTTAAAACGAGGACTACTTTGATTGGTGACTGAATTAAGACCTGCTTTACATTTACTCACAATTTGTAAGGCATTTAAAAAACCTATATCTATATTCTGCGATGACAATAAAACTAGGGTGACAAACAATAGTAGTACACTATAAGTAACAAACCAGCTGGATCTGTGTGACAGTGTAAGAAATCTAGCTAGTCGAGTGCTACACACCCCGAGATGGTCGAGTGCTACACACCTTCACTTTTGTACCCAGTGATTGAGTGACGACACGCTAATTTATGTAAATGCCAGTCTAATGCGATTTATTTCGGACCGATTTTCCGCGTAGATCTGGGCGTAGATATTTCTTGTCGGAATCAATCATTCGGTCGTCTGCTGAAAGCGTGATGTCAGATAACGTCAGCCAGTAATCTGACCAAAGCCGTTGGCTAAGATTTGGCAGACGTTAACGTATGCACTATGGATTAGTCTTTGGTTGTTTTAGTAGGCTACGTCGCCTCAAACTATTTTAAATTTATTTTTAAGTTCATCACGAAGTCTGGAGCTTTAATGAAAGGTTATTGACCAGCTGTGGTCACCAAGTCCTAATGTACCATCAGACTTTTCCAGCGGTGGTCAGCTTTCCATTTATTTTTTCCTCTGAAATTAAAATATTTTGTCGCTGGGTTTCCGTTTACAAGTTAATTTCTTTTTCTAGCAAACACTCGTCAACACACACACACTTTCATCTACACACAGACACACTAGACACTATCGAGAAAACCAGTTAAAACCAGAGGCACTATCTTCTGGTTGTGTGAATCAAAGCCCTGCAATGTCTCAACACCTCCCATACCCCCCCCCCCCCGTTTTACCAAAACTTTATCAGGGGAGGTCAGGGGTTGCTGGAATGGGACGTAACAAAATTAGATTCACAGAAATCACGACGTGCGCAGGGGAGGTAGGAGGTGGGGGTAGAGGTGGGGGCATCCTGTTGAACGTGATAAGATCAGAAAAACTGGAGTCTTGTGGTGCACGTGCATGTCTCCTGCTGTGAACCACCCACCACCAGCCCCCCTCTACCTGACACCCCCCTCTACCTGACACCCCCCTCTACCTGACACCGCCAGCCCCCCTCTACCTGACACCCCCAGCCCCCGTCTACCTGACACCCCCAGCCCCCCTCTACCTGACACCCCCAGCCCCCCCCTCTACCTGACACCCCCAGCCCCCCTCTACCTGACACACCCAGCCCCCCTCTACCTGACACCGCCAGCCCCCCTCTACCTGACACCGCCAGCCCCCCTCTACCTGACACACCCAGCCCCCCTCTACCTGACACCCACAGCCCCCCTCTACCTGACACCCACAGCCCCCCCCCCCTCTACCTGACACCCACAGCCCCCCCCTCTACCTGACACCACCAGCCCCCCTCTACCTGACACCCACAGCCCCCCCTCTACCTGACACCCACAGCCCCCCTCTACCTGACACCGCCAGCCCCCCTCTACCTGACACCGCCAGCCCCCCTCTACCTGACACCACCAGCCCCCTCTACCTGACACCGCCAGCCCCCCTCTACCTGACACCCCCAGCCCCCCTCTACCTGACACCGCCAGCCCCCCTCTACCTGACACCCCCAGCCCCCCCCCCCTCTACCTGACACCCCCAGCCCCCCCCCCCCCTCTACCTGACACACCCAGCCCCCCTCTACCTGACACCGCCAGCCCCCCCTCTACCTGACACCGCCAGCCCCCCTCTACCTGACACCCCCCTCTACCTGACACCCCCAGCCCCCCTCTACCTGACACCACCAGCCCCCTCTACCTGACACCCCCCTCTACGTGACACCACCAGCCCCCCCCTCTACCTGACACCACCAGCCCCCCTCTACCTGACACCACCAGCCCCCCTCTACCTGACACCACCAGCCCCCCTCTACCTGACACCCCCAGCCCCCCTCTACCTGACACCCCCAGCCCCCCTCTACCTGACACCGCCAGCCCCCCTCTACCTGACACCGCCAGCCCCCCTCTACCTGACACCGCCAGCCCCCCTCTACCTGACACCACCAGCCCCCCTCTACCTGACACCACCAGCCCCCCTCTACCTGACACCGCCAGCCCCCCCCTCTACCTGACACCGCCAGCCCCCCTCTACCTGACACCGCCAGCCCCCCTCTACCTGACACCCCCAGCCCCCCTCTACCTGACACCACCAGCCCCCTCTACCTGACACCGCCAGCCCCCCTCTACCTGACACCCCCAGCCCCCCTCTACCTGACACCCCCAGCCCCCCTCTACCTGACACCGCCAGCCCCCCTCTACCTGACACCGCCAGCCCCCCTCTACCTGACACCGCCAGCCCCCCTCTACCTGACACCCCCCTCTACCTGACACCCCCAGCCCCCCTCTACCTGACACCCCCAGCCCCCCTCTACCTGACACCGCCAGCCCCCCTCTACCTGACACCCCCAGCCCCCCTCTACCTGACACCCCCCTCTACCTGACACCGCCAGCCCCCCTCTACCTGACACCGCCAGCCCCCCTCTACCTGACACCCCCAGCCCCCCCCCCCTCTACCTGACACCCCCAGCCCCCCTCTACCTGACACCCCCAGCCCCCCCCCCCCTCTACCTGACACCCCCAGCCCCCCTCTACCTGACACCGCCAGCCCCCCTCTACCTGACACCGCCAGCCCCCCTCTACCTGACACCGCCAGCCCCCCTCTACCTGACACCGCCAGCCCCCCTCTACCTGACACCCCCAGCCCCCCTCTACCTGACACCCCCAGCCCCCCTCTACCTGACACCCCCAGCCCCCCTCTACCTGACACCGCCAGCCCCCCTCTACCTGACACCCCCAGCCCCCCTCTACCTGACACCCCCAGCCCCCCTCTACCTGACACCCCCAGCCCCCCTCTACCTGACACCCCCAGC